GAGGAACCAAGACGGCTGATAGTAGTCTGGGTCGTAAATGTACACTCTGTCTCGATTCTGCTTACTGCGGAAGAAAGACTTAAACTTAGATTTCACAGATTTGAAACTTGGCATATCGTAAACGAATGTATTGAACAGTTCTAACAGATAGCAAGTGAAATTAAAAGGAATGAAAAAGCGAACGTGCACCTATAAATATGGTGACTCCTTTATCAAATCCTTTTTTCAAACGGTGAAATAAACATGTGTGGCTGAATTTTAGCAATGTGCGCGGCTCACGCGGCTTACACATATCAGTATCACTATCAGTGCAGTATCAGCCACATATGTTTATTTCACCGTAATTGAGAATACTATCAAACTATACAGTGTACTTGGGCACAGAATGCTCACATTCAATGAACATATTGTACCCTTTGAGTTTAGTGCATTTGGCATTGTGCATTATTTTCAGAATCTGTAAAAGAATTGACCCGCGTAAGCCGCGCACATGGCTAAATTTCAGCCACACATGTTTATTTCACCGTTTGAAAAAAGGATTTGATAAAGGAGTCACCATATTTATAGGTGCACGTTCGCTTTTTCATTCCTTTTAATTTCACTTGCTATCTGTTAGAACTGTTCAATACATTCGTTTACGATATGCCAAGTTTCAAATCTGTGAAATCTAAGTTTAAGTCTTTCTTCCGCAGTAAGCAGAATCGAGACAGAGTGTACATTTACGACCCAGACTACTATCAGCCGTCTTGGTTCCTCAGGTTCTACCAAGCAATGGGCTGCATCAGCATACCTCAACCAGAGAAGTATAATCCGGACAAGTTTACAGATATTTTCGACTTGTTTAAGCCTGATGTCGACGAGGAAGAAAAAGAATATTCTAACCCATCAAAACTTCAGTCGACATCATCTGAAACATGGGAAGATCAAGATTGTGACTTCGCGGAACTGGAAGAGGATCTTGAAGTTATAATCCTTGGGGAGGACCTACCACCAGTGGAGTCAGAGGGGAGCCAGGAGGAACCGTTACCATTGCTTGTTGCTTGGGAAGAGTCTGAGCCACGGTTCTTTTATCTAGGCTACTATTAACAGTTTTTGTAACTGGATCAATTTGATGTTCCGTCAACAATTTCTAGTTTTCAATAATTTAACGATTTCAGTTTTTGGGAATAGGGATGGTTTTTGGGTAAGAGGGAGGGTAATCTATTTCTTTCAGAACGACGTTACACTGGCCGCGGTTACAGTTACAAAGCTTGACCTCAAGAGAACACGGTAAAGTTATAAGAAGACTTAACGGGTAATCTCAGATCAGGTAATTAAGATTTCAGCCGGCTTTTCAGTTTGATGATAGATTCACATTTACATTTGTTCTTTTCAACTTACCCCACTTATTACAGGTAAGAAGAGTTACAGCTAGTCGAGCTGTCAAGGAGATACCAATTCGACTTAGTCATGGTCAGTGAACAGCTGGGAGTGAAGTTCCGAACACAAAGATTTCGCCCAAGAGAAGCAAAAAGATTTCAGCCAAGCAAGAGATTTCGCCCAAGAGAAGCAAGAAGATGTCATTGTGACGCAGATGAAGACAAGCGATTGATTTAATTTTATGTATTCATTTGGTTTACGTTGCTTATCTTTATTCCTTTTTTAGAAATCAGCAACGTCAATCAAATTATTAACTTACAAAATTTCTTAAAATTTACTTTTCCAAGAACGAAATATTTGTGTATTACCTGCTTACAATCTCTAATAGTAATATATTATAGTCTACTGTTAAGACTCTACAGAATTAATTATAATTACGATTAGCTCTCATTGAGGCACACTGGTAAAGTACGCTTCTAATGATGTCAGTTTCAATTTCAGCTGCAAACTGTGTTAATTGTGGTCGGGGTGGCACACAGCCACAGGATTGATGCACATGGAATAAAATTAAGAATACTATCAAAGTCAAACTACACAATGTACTTTTGAAAGAGAATAACAAGCTCAAAAACGCTACTGACGTATTTCTCCATAAAATTAAAAAGCACAATAGCGTGAGAAGCTTTTGTCGAGGTTGACGGATGTTACTCGTCTAAATTTCTTCGAAGTAGCGCGCGCCGCTTTCTTCTCGACGGCAAGTGCTAGTGCTACGAAGTAGCGCGCGCCGGGCCAGACCATTAACAATGGTCAATTGTCGAGGTGCCTCTAAAGTGATCTTAAACGATTCCCCGTTCAATTTTGGTCGAAGAACGCCAACTAGTGATTTTAGTAAGGCTTTTGACACAGTCCCCCACTTTAGACTTCTATCTAAATTGGAGGGGTTTGGGGTCAAGGGAAAAGTTGTAGATGTTATAAAAGACTTTCTGACAGACAGCTAACCATGAGGGTTTGTGTAGAAGGACAATGGTCTGAGGTGTAACACGTGTTTATCTGGTGTTCCCCAGGGGTCAGTATTGTGTACTTTGCTATTTATTCTTTATATAAACGATTTACCTGACATTGTTAAAAATAAGATTAAATTATTTGCAGATGATCTCAAGTTATGCAGCTAACTATAGAAATAGAAGTGAATCTGATGACATTTTAGAACTCGAAATTTTGGAGAGTATTTGGCACTTAAACTTCAATCCTGCCAAGTGTAAAGTAGTTCATATTAATCTGAATAATAATCCTAACTTAAACTATATTGTAAATGGAGTAGAACTAGAAGTATCTGCAAAGGAAAAAGATTTGGGGGTTATTACCCATAGCTCCTTGCTTTGGAATGAACAGATAAAAGCTTGTATTTCTAAAGCAAATCGTATGATCTGCTGGATTGTAAGGAACTTAGTTATTAGAGAAAAGGTTGTAATGATAGCTATTTATAAAGCTTTGATAAGACCTCATCTTGAGTTTACCCGCCTTATTGATGAGGTGGGTACTCTTCCATACAGCCGTAGACTGGATATCCTCAATGGCAGAGCGGCGAATACGTGTGACCTTATTGAAGCTTTTAAAGTAACTAGTAGTTTGACTGAATATGGATCGGGTTTGTTCAGAATGAGCAGATCTGGTCTTAATCTTGTTTCAACCAATAGATGTAGTAAGAGTGTAACTAAAGTCAAGAATCTCCCGTCTTCTTTTCTTCCGGAGCGAATCACCCTGATTTTTTGTGAAACTTGGTTTCGAGATAGCCAATTGACCAACAAACTAAGACCGGATACCGAACTTTTGAGGGGATCCCGGACCCCAACCGCCAAACGGTGCCCGCGGGGCAACCACGCCCATATTTGGTCCAAATTAGGCCCAATTTAGCCAAATACCCGCAACATGCCCAAAACTCAGGTTTTAGGTGCAAAAAATGACTGAGTTATACTTATGAGCTAAAAACTATATGACTATATTTAGGCATATGTACCAAATTTGATCGATTTTGGCCCATAAATTGGTCTACTTTTGAATGAAACCAACTTTATACTTTTGTATAAACGGTAAGCCTAAACTACACATTCTCTACGATTATCAGCTCAAGATCTACCTAACTGTGGATTCTGTGTTCAAATAATCGTAAAAATCTGGGTTTTGGGCATGTTGAGGGTATTTGGCTAAATTGGGCCTAATTTAGACCAAATATGGGCGTGGCTGCCCCGCGGGCACCGTTTGGCGGTTGGGGTCCGGGACCCCCTCAAAATTTCGGTCACCGGTCTTAGTTTGTTGATCAACTGCTATCTCGAAACCAAGTTTCACAAAAAATCAGGGCGAACCCCCCCCCCCCCCCCCCTTCTATTTAGTGCAATGATATTTTGTAGACACTTGTGATGATGTTACTTACTAGTGCACAACCAAGGAAGTTATAGACATATGTCATACGTATCAAATTGGATATGTGATGTGCTTTTGGCGGAGATATAACTTGCGCCCTTTTTTAGACCTCACCCCACGTAAACCAACATTGGCTTACATGTTGTGAATTATACCATAGTTAAAAATAGGATAAGCGATAAGAAAGCACCTTAAATTACTCTCAGCCCTCAATTAAGACACCCTGTTTGAGGAATAAATTGAGTCAAAGATTTGAGTTAAAGTGCTAGTTATGAACAATATTGTGATATTTTAACATTGTGTTTCTTTCTTCAGTTTTAACTTTTAATGCCCTTGAATGGTATACGAAACATACTTCCTCCCTTAGTTCTTGGCCAAATAAAAACTCCTGATTCCAAAATATAGCCGAGCACAGATTGATCAATCTAATCGACGTTAATTTAGTCTACAACATGAATGACTTACAATATCGCTACGTGTACGGCGTCAGGCTTTTTATCGACTGCCCGGTCTCCTCGATACTACTGATCAGTAATTGGACACAATTAGTACGGAAAAAGTTATCTACCAACATCCGTTTAGTATTGAATGGATCAATTATTGTATATCGATCACGCGCGTAGATAGCGTAGTAAACGTACGTGCGCGCCGTTGTATTTAAGAAAAATACTATCGCGTCAGAGCTTAAAATTCAAAGAAGACCCTTTATAAATTGTGCCCCATTAATGTCCCTAACACACTAAGCAAGACTAAAGAATGAAAATGGGCTGGAACTTGGAAGAAAACCAACCATAATTTACTTTAATATCGTTACCTTGAGATAACTTCATATTCTGGAATTTAGCAAGCAAAATTTTACCATATATTGGCATATTCCTGGTTCATTAAAATAATACACCATCTAACCCACTCAATAAGTTATATCTTACAATCTAATACAAGGGAATAATATTTATAAAATTTTAACTGGTCAAAGTATCAAACTAACTAAATTTGCCTTCTTGGTACGGAGGATTTTTCGACAAAACTATTTCTGTGATAAAGATAAAGCAAAAGCAAAAGTAAAGTAACCTCAAGAAGCTCCACAGTCTCTTTGGAAATGAAAAAAATAACGACTGTATTTAATCTGACATAGAGTTAAGAACCGAAGAAAAGTACGAAACTTAACAAAATAAGATCTCGTAAACAACCAAGAAAATTAAAAAAGAAGTATATAAAACTGGTCAAGACCTTAAAGACAGATCAAAATACAAAATTCAGTAAATAAGAGTTTTACTGAAGTAACGTTGACCAATTAAATGGTTTAAATTTTAAACTGTAACATGATAGCAAGTGTTGGACAGAAAGTGGCAACCAATCTTATTTTATTCATGACCCTGACCCTGACCCTGACCCTGACCCTGACCCTGACCCTGACCCTGACCCTGACCCTGACCCTGACCCTGACCCTGACCCTGACCCTGACCCTGACCCTGACCCTGACCCTGACCCTGACCCTGACCCTGACCCTGACCCTGACCCTGACCCTGACCCTGACCCTGACCCTGACCCTGACCCTGACCCTGACCCTGACCCTGACCCTGACCCTGACCCTGGTTATTAAGCGTAGGGATCTGCCACCACTCACTTGCTCAGATTAAAAGCAGTTACAATCACTTGCAAAACAGTGTCACAAGAAGTCAGTGAAGGTCACCACTTCCTATTTACAAAGCAAGTTGTTTGCCCGGCACCAATTCAACATTGACTCGTTGGTAGGTATTCTGGCAAGGAACCGGTGGTTTTCACCCAGCTTAATACGATCTGATGCGTTCCTCTGCAAACAACGCTCGATGAAATCTCTGATGTGATCACTGAATCCTGGACCTGAAAGCAAATGTTAGTTATCCAATACTGGCAAAGTATCTATATTTATATCAAGTGCGACGCGATGATTCATTTCAAATTTTAGAAGAAACCATGACAATTTTGATTAACCTTGAAAAAAAGATTGTGCATTTAAATATTTGGGCGGAGACCAAAATCCTTGGAGCACATACTTTTGGAACTACGGGGGAACTACACATGTTGTATCTAAATCTTTTCAAACAATACATAATTATACAGAATTGAATGCTTCTAAATAAACCCAGATATAAAAAACGATGTGCCACACCCGAAAGTGTCACCTTTACTTCTCCTTAATGTCTCCTTAACGTCTCCTTAACGTCTCCTTAATGTCTCCTTAACGTCTCCTTAACGTCTCCTTAACGTCCCCTTAACGTCTCCTTAGTACGACTCGTTGTGGTACGAATAAAATGTAAGTTACACAAACCTGTAAGTCGTGGGGGAGGTTGTTCGACAATAACCACCAGGATATCCAGCTCAATAAGATCGCCGTTATCTCTAACCGCTTGTGATAATATAGGGTGCTCACCAGTTGCTGAGGAACACACGAATTAATTATTTAATTTCTCAATTAATTATTTAATTTCTCAATTAAGGGGGCAGGGGGGGGTCTTCATGGAAATTTTCTCAAAATCGACTTTTTAGTTGTTTCTGATAGAGGGGAGTGATATCTATCAGATGCTTTTAGTCCAATAGAAAAATATTGTTCCTAGCCGAAATTATTGCCGGTCAAAGGTCAGCGCTTGTGTGTAATTGTATTGCGCGAGCGATTTTCAATCGCGTGCCCTGAAAATCGAGTCTAAAAATCTATCTTCTCCTACATTTTTTGATCAATCACCCTCAAACTTTCAGGATATGTTCTAAGGATCATTTAGAAGAGATTGTCCAGGCAAAATTTCGAGATAGGCCTTTAAACATTTTTTATTCGATTTTAAAAATCTTGGACCTGGTTTTTTGACGATTTTTCGAGGTCCAAGATTTTTAAAATCGAATAAAAAATGTTTAAAGGCCTATCTCGAAATTTTGCCTGGACAATCTCTTCTAAATGATCCTTAGAACATATCCTGAAAGTTTGAGGGTGATTGCTCAAAAAATGTAGGAGAAGATAGATTTTTAGACTCGATTTTCAGGGCACGCGATTGAAAATCGCTCGCGCAATACAATAACACACAAGCGCTGACCTTTGACCGGCGATAATTTCGGCTAGGAACAATATTTTTCTATCGGACTAAAAGCATCTGATAGATATCACTCCCCTCTATCAGAAACAACTAAAAAGTCGATTTTGAGAAAATTTCCATGAAGACCCCCCCCTGCCCCCTTAATTATGTTATTTCTCAATTGATTATGTAATTTCTCAATTGATTATGTAATTTCTCAATTGATTATGTAATTTCTCGACTGATTATGTAATTTCTCAATACCTCAACACAGTTGCGAAATGATGGTATTTAAATTCAGTTGCGGTATGTGAAAGGGTGATTCCGTTAAATTACCTTAGTTCCCAAAAATTTGTGTGCCATTATATTGAGCACAATTTATTTGAGCCCGAAAAATTTGGGCAGAAAATTTGAACTCATTTGGGCGACCGAAAATTTGGGCACAAATTCTTCGAAAAATGAACGATTTTCCACTAAAATTTCAGTTAGATATTTGCCTTAGTTCATTATTATTCCTTATTATTCCAGTCATTTTGCTTTCAATTTTAAGCATGTAGTGGTAGTCTGAGTTGTTTCAAATTATGAAATTTACGATCTGCCCAGTAACTACTAAAAAATACTGTGATGATGGCACAGTACAAAATGATAGATATCAATAGTGATATTTGTCCGAATCGGTAGTTTTCACCCACTTACATCAGATTATCGTTTCCTTTCAAACAACATTATGAACTCCATGATGTGTCACTGAAGTTGGACTGAAAGAAATGTTTAGTTATCCAATGCTGGCAAAAGTAATACGTTATTTTATCAGTGCGATGATTCATTTCAAATTTTAGAAGAAATGATGACAATTTTGATTGACCTTGAAAAAAGATTGTATTAATGCATTTAAATATTTGGGCGAAGACCAAAATCCTTGGAGCACATACTTTTGGAACTACGGGGGAACTACAAATTTTGTATCTAAATCTTTTCAAACAATACATAATTATACAGAATTGAATACTTCTAAATAAACCCAGATATAAAAAAACGATGTGCCACACCCGAAAGTGTCACCTTTACGTCTCCTTAACGTCTCCTTGACGTCTCCTTAACGTCTCCTTAATGTCTCCTTAACGTCTCCTTAATTTCTCCTTAGTATGACTCCTTTACGTCTCCTTAATGTCTCCTTAATGTCTCCTTAACGTCTCCTTAATTTCTCCTTAGTATGACTCCTTTACGTCTCCTTAATGTCTCCTTAATGTCTCCTTAATGTCTCCTTAACGTCTCCTTAATGTCTCCTTAATGTCTCCTTAATTTCTCCTTAGTATGACTCCTTTACGTCTCCTTAATGTCTCCTTAACGCCTCCTTAACGTCTCCTTAATGTCTCCTTAAAGTCTCCTTAGTATGACTCGTTGTGGTACGAATAAAATGTAAAACACAAACCTGTAAGTCGTGGGGGAGGTTGTTCGACAATAACCACCAGGATATCCAGCTCAATAAGATCGCCGTTATCTCTAACCGCTTGTGATAATATAGGGTGCTCACCCGTTGCTGAGGAACACACCAATTAATTATGTAATTTCTCAATTAATTATGTAATTTCTCAATTAATTATTTAATTTCTCAATTTATTATTTAATTTCTCAATTAATTATGTAATTTCTCAATTAATTATGTAATTTCTCAATTAATTATTTAATTTCTCAATTAATTATGTAATTTCTCAATTAATTATTTAATTTCTCAATTAATTATGTAATTTTTCAATTGATTATGTAATTTCTCGATTGATTATGTAATTTCTCAATACCTCAACACAGTTCCGAAATGATGGTATTTAAATTCAGTTGCGGTATGTGAGAGGGGGATTTCGTTAAATTATATAGTTTTCCAATTGTCGCGTTAAATTTTCATTGCTCACTTAAATGACGTTAGTTTCAAGATTACCTAATCCCGATATTATAGAGTACCTAGATTCAAGATAAAGTACCTAGTTTCAAGATAAAGTGCCTAGTTTCAAGATAAAGTACCTAGTTTCAAGATAAAGTACCTAGTTTCAAGATAAAGTACCTAGTTTCAAGATAAAGTACTTAGTTTCAAGATAAAGTACCTAGTTTCAAGATAAAGTACTTAGTTTCAAGACAAAGTACCTAGTTTCAAGATAAAATACCTAGTTTCAAGATAAAGTACCTAGTTTCAAGATAAAGTACCTAGCTCGAGGATAGAAATGCCGATACTCCAAACATCTGCTGGTGTCCCGTATCCATCGGTCGTTCGCTCGATCCTCTCAGGCGAGATGTACCCCAAACATCCTATACCTGAGATACAGTCCCAATTAGCACAATCACTCAATTAGCACAATTAGCACAATTAGTTCAAAATACCTGAGATACAGTCCCAATTAGCATAATTAGTTCAAAATACCTGAGATACACTCCCAATTAGCACAATTAGCACAATTAGTTCAAAAGAACTTCATCGAACTGAATGAAATGACTTATAACAATGAACTTGAAATCAGCGTAACACTTAAAAACCTGTAAATAAACTACCGAGTCAACTTAATGCAGTTAAAAGTTTTACCTTTAGTGTATGCTCTGCTGTCAACCAGTTTCCTTGCTAGCCCAAAATCAGTTACTTTTACACTTCCATCGTTACCCACCAGAATATTGCTGGGCTTTATGTCCCTGTTTAGCGTGATATTATGGTTAGATTATCTTCTTCTTCTTCGTAGGGGGCTGTGGTCATTATCACTAATGGTAAGATCGTGACCACTGTAAGATAGAGCATTGGAGCCCTGTGCTTACCCCGGTAAAATTAATAAATCAAGAAAAAAAAATGTTTAGATTTTGTTTTCTTTGCATTTAGTAAATCGTTTTGTTGCTTGTATGAAGCCGTTGGATTATCACTATATTATGCCTTATCTTGCTAAAAAGTAGACCGTCTTATATTCGAGCAACCTTACAGTTATTCCTCGTTATTAGAAAATATAATTATATGGAATTGTATAAATTCATAACACTTTTACACTCAACACCATTCCGCATTCCATTCAAATCCTATATTTCACCGAATAAATTTGTCAGTTTAGTTATCTTTACTTAAAACCAATATAAAATGACATCATATAATTCGGAATTAAAATCCGTTAATCGTTAAAAGCTCCCATTTATATCCACTAACCATTCACTATTCAGATCCACTACAATATCTAGTGCTGATGGTTAAATTGCTCTAATATTGGTTTAAGTGGTTAATAAGTTTATAGTAGTTTAAAGGATTTTATTATATTGGCATCTTGGCAGCCTGGGCTGTCCTAAGAGGGTGTTCTTGTGGTCACGTGGTCTTGTGGTCACGTGGTCTTGTGGTCACGTGACCTAAGAGGCACGTGACCACATTCCCCATTTATTGGTCTCACGCGAGACTACCTAATGCACGGCTGGTTATCTGACAGATTGTGATGTAACGTCTGTAAAAATATCATTAAATAATAGATATTGCTGTATGCAGCGGAACCATGTCTTTTTGACACGTCGTGGCAGCGATTTACTAATCAGCTTCCATAATTAGCCAATTAAAACCTAGGATCACTGTCACATTCTTTGTTACAGTGGAGTATGCCTTATGTCATGTCGGGAAATCTTTTTTTAATTTAAAGAAGCTTATTTGCTGATATTTTGCCCCGGCCATGGCGACTTTTATCTTTCCAAATCCGTAAATCCTCAAGAATGCCAAATATTAACAATGCTAGAATCTAACGAAGTAAGACATTAGACAGTGTCCTAAATTGTAACTGTCTCAATTGATTAACAAAGCTACTGTTAGATATCGAGCTGTGGCTCATTGCCAGGTTTGTAAAACGCAGACAGTTCAATTGAAATACCACCGGGCACTACATTCTGTTTGGATCAATATCCCATTAGCATTGTGCCGACAAGGACTTAGACTCCCCTTTTGTCAAAGACTTGCTATGAATGACAAGTAAGACTGTAAGTACCTGCCAAGATGCCAGGTAAAAGCCTGCCAAAGTGTCATGCAGCTGTCAGGTGCAGTGGTCACGTGAATATATATTGGTCACGTGATTATATATTGGTCACGTGATTATATATTGGTCACGTGATTATATATTGGTCACGTGATTATATATTGGTCACGTGATTATATATTGGTCACGTGATTATATATTGGTCACGTGATTATATATTGGTCACGTGATTATATATTGGTCACGTGATTATATATTGGTCACGTGACTGTTTAATAGAGGCTATGATTGTCATCTCCCTAAGATATAAAGGATAAAGTTGCGATAGATTATCTGGGAATAAAATTCTTTTAATGACATCAGCTAATCTTATGATTGGATAACCTAAAATAAATATTAAATATGACGCTTAATTGAGATTATATTGTCACGATGGTAGCTCTGGTATTCCTTAGAAAACCGAATATGGCGGTAGTGTCAAAATGCCTAAAAACTTGTGCAGAGTCCAAGGCTTTCTTGAAGCGATGAGCAATCCTAAAATTGGTTTGTAGAAATACTCGCTACTTGACAAGAATCTGCTAGAAACGACAAGGTGTGGAACTAAATCACCAGAACATACCCTCTGAAACACAGCCAAACACAGAAATCACAAACAATTATTTAATTATTATTTAATTATTTAATGAGCTCTTCTGATCTATCAGTGGTAATAATATAGAGATGAGTTCTGACCTGTGTATGACTGAGTGAGCCTCTTTAAGATACCAGAGCGCGCTGTAGGTACTGTAAGCTATCTTAGCCAACACTTCTTCAGGAAACACGTATTCTTGCTTCTGGTCTTTTGAGTTTTTTATCAGCTTTTCCTGTAGCCTGGGCATCAGCTGATTATTATATTATAAAGAATTTGTTTTAACTTGTTTGTATGAAAAGCATCAATATTGAATATTAAATTATATAATATTCTAATGATAAACGGTTAAATTTAGAATGACTTTAAGTTCCAAGTCGTGAAAATTAATTTGAATTGCCAGTTATGTATTATAGTGTCTTGTATTATCAGGTGTCATGTAACAGTCATGTATTATGCTGTCAACTGATAAAGAAGATAACATTAATAAAAAAGATTAAATTAAACGACCAGTCATGGATATGTAGGAAGCTTACTTTTCTAAGCACGTATTCATGAGTTCAAAGTAAAGGTGGACGTTCATAGCAGTGTCGATAGCTCCGTAGTGGTTCACAAGGTGTTCGTGTTTACAGTTTTTCCAGAGCTGCTTCTCTGTTTCCGCATACCTGGCGGATTACATTATGCTACTAATAAAGAGAAGCACAATGAATATCTTGTGTGTAATCCTCATGTTGCTAAAAAACGCTTTATGAACTTATAAATAGTAGTGGAAAGTATGTAAATTAGATTCTTTTTAACTTGGTTGTCTAGGCCAATAGATTTAAGATAATTTTTAAACTTTAGTAGATATATTTTTGATGATGTGTGATGATGTTTGTGTCATTATATTTTGATTTGATTTGATTTTAGCCGAGTTATATAACGCAGACATACGTAGAAATACGTTTAATTGGGGGTTAGAGCTTAGCTAGATTTATTAAATCATGAGGAAGCTAATTAGTTGGGTTTTGGTGTCAGGATTTGAAACCCGGAATGTTTGTGGAATCTGAGGTTCTAGCAGGGTTTACAGATTACCAGGGATCAAAGATTGGGCAAGAGGACGGTAATTAAAAATCTTGAACTGCTACTAGAGCAAATTGTAATAACTGTTATTTATTGTTACTGTTACTTATTGCTACCTGTCTAAGTTTGCTGTTCCTTTTGTCACAATCTTCTCGGCCATCACATGGTTAGTTTGTCTGTGTCGCTTCCGGTACACGGTACCAAATCTTCCTGACCCTATCGGGAACTGGAACCCATCTTCCTCTAGGATATCTGAGGAATTATTACATCTGTCATAACATTACATGTGACAGATAGTACAGCAGTACAAGTAGTGTACCCCCCCCCCCCCCCCCCTCTACTCTCTAGTGTACAGTTCTCCCGCTCACATTCCGTAACACCAGATATGCATTATGCAATGTGTAGCGTTCACAATCTGACGTCAGCCTATATAAAGTATATATAATATTAATGGAGTAGGACCTGCCGCAAATATTGATTATTTAATAATATTCAATAAAAAGTAAATTACCAGATAGTTTGGTGCTGTGAGGTGCTCCATTTACCACAAACTCAGCAACGCTATCAGTCCTCCTGGTGTTCGTATCGAATAGTCCATTTAGAGACAACTTCATCAGTCATAGAATCTCACGTGGTCATGTCTTAACTAGAATTTAAGGAATTTAAGGAATTTAAGGAATTTAGTTAGTTATTCGTTAGTTTAGGTCTAAGAAGCTGATCAATTTCATGGTTCCGTGTTGTAAGTGGACCTTATTTAAATCAGTGATGAATAATGAATTAAATTCAGAGGCATCATTAAGATGCGCCAGAAAATCGCGAATTATGCGATTTACCGCAAATTATTCGGTGCAAAGTTAAACATAAAAATACAAAAAAACTCATTTTCATTCTGTAAACAAATGGCAAATAATATATAATGTAAACGAGGAATATGTACAGAAATCAGATAATTAATTAATTAATTAACTATCGTCAATAATTGATTAATGATGACCTCTCTTATAATATAAATACAATTCAAATCAAAACCTAGTCTTACTAAACATATTTATAGCTTTACAGAACGTATAGCTTAGTATAGCTTAGTCTATAGCTTAGTATAGCTTAGTCACAACAGCTTGACAGTTAACTATTTAAGTATTAAACAGATATTTATTAAAAAATTAAACAAAAAAGAATGTCAGGCTTGTAAATAGTACAACATCGCAGGGCCAGGATCTACATGAATTTACTAATTACTAATTACTAATTACTAATTACTAATTACTAATTACTAATTACTAATTAGTAGATTTCATTACTATTTCAAGTCTCATTAAGTTATTAAGTTCTAATTAGTAGATTTCATTACTATTTCAAGTCTTATTAAGTTATTAGGACAATTTTACTAGAATGGAGTGTGCCCAGTGCAGGTACAAAACGGAACATTCCAGAAAATCCAGAAACGCCTTTACAACACACTTAACACCCTTAGCAGTTCTCCGGAGGAGGTAATAATGGTATTGTATGTAGTTTATAATGGTATTGTATGTGGTAGGTCACCTAAGATGAGAAATACGTACGGTACGTACCTTTAAAAGTTGCTGTATCGTACGTACTTTAAGCCCAGTACCGTACGTACTTCTCATTATAGAGCAGGTGACAATGCAACAAAGAAATATTAAAAATTATTACATCTACTTGAGATATGAAAAAACGAAGGTAGCCACAACTCACAAGACTCAAGGCACGAGTGCTAATGTTTGATTAATGTAATGTAAGATTTTCTTTTATTAGAATATGATGAAGAAGAAACCGAAACTGAAGAAACCGAAACTGAAGAAACCGATACTGAACCTAAGGTAACCAATAACCACTTTTTACAACACCTGATCATGCAGTATCAGTAATCGTACAAAATTAAATTAAATCAGAGTGAGAATATGAAATCATCAAGAGTGCGTCAAAAGTCAGAAACTAAAATAACGCATCATGTGAAGAAATGCAGACAAATCCATAATGACAAGCACAGTTGTACTTTACTATGCAGTAAAATATCCAAAGGTAGCGACACTTGCAACAGTAAACCTAAGCACCAACAGTGAACCTACTATGTTCCATATTTTAGTGAAGTAGATAGTAAACACGACACTTTGTGAACTTTTAATAATAATGATTTAACAACAGAAGACAGGAAAGGTAGCGTAGGTGGGATCAAATTTCTTTGTAATATAAAACTAAGCATAAATACAGTACGGTCCGGAAATAGCATCGCAACCTTATTTTCAGTAGCGTTATATCGTCATCAGTACAGCGTCATCAGTACTGATGACGTCATCAGTATAGCGTCATCAGTACTGATGACGTCATCAGTACAGCGTCATCAGTAGTTTCAGTACTAAGCGGTATTAACTATACTGTGTGAGACATGGTTTATCTACATACTAAAAATTGGATTTCAGCATCTAGAAAAATAATAAGTGTGTATTGTTGGAGCCGTTATTAGTATTAAATTGTAACTATTTCACAAAGCCAAGGTATTCACAACCACTTTTTACAAAAATCCCTGATAAACAACAGAACATTATCACTATTATTACAGTATCGGTACAATATCGATACACTTCTGTAGAAACTAGAAACGTATTAAACCGATACAATCATACAGCGTAATGCTCATTAATGACAATAAAACTCCGATACTCCTTTGTGTACTACTCATACCAACAATCCATCTAGTCAATCAAAAGCAGAAGCTCTCAAGAAGTAGGGATAATATTACTGTCCAACACTTCCTCCTTCACCACAACATTCACCCCAGGCTCGCTCTTAGGGAAGTCCCCCGCCCCCTGGGGCTCCAACTTCACCAAGAACTCAGAGCCCGCCATCACGTGATCCGGTCCAGCCAGCACGTGATCTAAACCTGTGGTCACGTGATCCCCACTTTTATCTCCGTCTTTAGACATGTCCGATAAGATAGGCTTTTGATCGAGAGAGTTGTTGTTGTTGTTATTGGTGTTGTTAAAGTTGTTGATGTTGTTGTTGTTGTTATCGGGGTACTGTGGTGGGGGAAGTTGGCCGGATAATAGAGGCTGGGAGGGGAGAGGTTGGGAGGAGGGTGGTAGTTGGGGTGGAGGGGGTGGTGGCATCATGATCTCCTCTTCCACCGGCTGACACTTTGGTTTCCTCTTGCTTAGGCTCTCACATACCTGTAGAGTGTAGATGGGGTTAAGTTAAGACTCGAGGAGTTTTAATTAATTTCTCGGCCACTTGATGAAGCAACGACATATTTTAGGTAAGGACATTGTCATTGTGCGATTTTACTATGGAGTTTGACTTTCGTCTTCATTTCATATGAAGTCTTATTCCATTTCATCAGATTAACATATTAATTTAGATTACGATTACATCACAAACAACGATATTCAAAGAGCCGTTACCGACCTTCTTATGAGTGAACCAATGCATCTTCTGACATGTAGCATTACAATAGAACACTTGTTTACACGCGCTACACCGCTTCTCCGCGTTCATTTCCCCGCACGTGCGGCACGCGAACTCGTCCACATCCACGTGCCGGCCGTTTAGAGTAGTCATCACGAAATACAGCGCTGGTTTTCCTGGAGTTTTAGATTTAGATCACGGACGTCCGGACGAACTATTTTTCTCGCAACCGTAAGAATGTGATATATATACGAACAAATGAGATTCATTGGAATCTTTTCCAGAATCAAATGTTAAGAAATTAAAATTCTATAGATAGGAAGGTAAACGAAAATAAACTAAACGCACATATCTTGAGGTAATTAACAGGTAATTAACAATTAACATAATATGACAGTAAAACATATGTCTGTTCAATTGAAATATTATTTTACAAAACATAATCCTACCAGCTCCGGGAGTGATAGCAGCAATAGTCCGGACCAGCTGCATCACCAGCTGACTCTGCACAAACTTGAAAGTGCGGATAGCACGGCGCACCAGCTGCTCCACGTTTATCGGGAACCCGTCTAGTTTCCGTCCCAGTAGGAAGTACCGGATAGTTCCGTCAACACCGTCCGTTCTCTTGTGTACCTGTACAGATTACTGATTAATTAATTAATTAATTATAATTCTCAGCTTAATCTGGACATGGTGGATCTGGTTACAATGGTTGTCTAGGACTAGGTCGGATATTGAATTATCAGATTAGGTCTGTTTTTTTTCGCTGGAGAACTGGCAGTGAAAAAAAAGCAAATTTGTGCTGATTCTTTACAGCGGTTAAATTGCTGTTGTCCATGGATTTAAAACGCAAGGAAACATTTCCTGTACTTTGTCTGTATAAATATAAGATTTGCTTCCTAATACTGCCTCTCTCCAGTAGGGAGGTGGTACATTGCACTGGACTGGGTCTGGACAGTAATACCAGTGTAGTCTACCTCATTCACATTAGGGGGCCTCCAGACAGCCCCACAAAATGCAACAAAAAGGAGGATTCTCCTCACCTTGAAACTCAATCATGAGAGATTCTCTCTAACTTTTAGATCCCCAAAATTATATTTAGAAGTTGTTAATAATAATGCGAGCAGTTATTAATATTATGGCAAATTACTCAACAAATTCATCATTGGATCTGGTTTTTTCGCTGGAGAACTGGCAGTGAAAAACGAGCAAATTTTGCTATGTTTTTCATGGATTTAAAACGCAAGAAAATGTTTCCTAAGATTTACTAGTATGAATAAAGCATTTGCTTCCCTATCCTGCCTCTCTTAAGTAGGGAGGTGGTACATTGCACTGGACTGGGTCTGGACAGTAATACCAGTGCCATCTATCTTATACTAACACGGAAGGGGGTCACCAGGTAGCCCCACAAAATGGACCACAAAGGAGGATTCTCCTTAGCTTGAGTTTAAACTAGGAGGGAATTCTCTCTAAATTTTAGTTCCCCCAAAGCAAAAGGATTACATCATGCAGCTGTTCATAATAATGTAACCAATTATGAACAAATTACTCAACAAATCAATCATTGGTCGCGGATATTTGTGTTGGGTTTGTATCACAAAAAAAACTAAACCTTAAATCTTTAGGTGCCTTTATCAGTGGTGTAGCTGCTAAAAGATAACTTGAGGATGATTTCATAAGGTTTTATAATGATAACCTCGCAATATATTTAAAGTTTTTGGTAAGGGTGGAGTCTTCAAAACATCTGAAAATGTATATTATCATTGCCTGGGTAGGAGCGGTTTTCTTGGAGACAAGCACATGTTGGTGATTTAGGTTTGAGACTACGAGTCGCAGTTAAAAGATTGGCAATTAAGATATAGAATAGGATAGAAAAAGTAATTATGCCATGCATGCTATAGCGACTTCTTAAGGGACCACTAAAACGTATAAAAGCCAATCACGTGATTCAGTGAAGGGCTGTTACTGGATGGTATGATCTCCGGCCCCCCGGGCCCCCGGCCCCGGGCACTCATGTTTATTTAGGAATTTCAGAACAAGGATTTGTGATAAGCCTAATTTGTAAGGTCTTTATAGATAAGACAACATTATACGGATGTCATTTTTTATTTGCTCCTGAATCTGAAAAGCTTGGATAACGACTCGGATAATTTGACCAATGACGGCAACAGGGTACCTCTTGCCTCGTCTCCTGATTCTCTTGATGGTGAACTATGATGTCATCAACGCAGGTAAATGTTTGTCACTTTGTCAGAGCATTACATCATTTCAGTCAGAATGAAAAGATTCGTAGAAGCGGTAAAACTGAATGATATAACTTCACTCTTAAATTGAGGTTCGTATCACTCACACTCCATTTGAGAACTATAATTGTTTCAGGAAAAGTCACACCCGCGTCTGTGAGTCAAATCAGCACACTCTTGTGGTGGAAGGATGGCGTTCAAGTCTACCAGAATGCGGAACTAGCTACTGACGGCGATGTGGAAACAGTTTCTTCTACTGAGGGAGGGTGGAACACTGACTTATGGTTCAAAATGAAGTTTGATGATTTCTTCTGCTTCTCTGAAGTGGTCATCATCCAGGCTCAGCTTGGCTGGAATGCTCATCGCATGCAGGGCGCGAAAGTATTTGTAGTCAACACGGAAACAGGAGCTATAAACCTCTGTGGAGTTCTCACTGTGATCAGAGAGTATACTATAGAGGGTCAGACGTACAAATTTCCCTGTAAGCTCAAGTGTGGAGATGAAGTGAAGGTGACGTTGAGACATGACCATGGCAGCTATGCTGACGAACCGATGATTCACATGAGAGAAATTACAGTGTTTGGAAAAGGTATGTCATGAATTTTAGGGTGTGTCAGGGTTAATATGCTTAAATTGGTTGTGTACTAGACTATAATAAGTACACAAAGTCCACACTGCTTGTCGAAATCTCTTTAAATAAATCTTAGAACCTATCAGTTTATATTACTAAAGATAACTTTTTCAGTTGACCAAGTTTCCTGTTATAATGGTCGAATCGATCGAATAAACGGACAGCTACATTGCTTGTCAGCCGGTAAGTTTTCGATATAAAGATAACACAGATAACACTGAATTAATAAACTCTCCCCACCCTTACCCAGCCCTTTCTCATATAATAATAGTAATGACCATTGAGAAGACCTCTCAAATACAAGTCATCTCTTAACTCAGATATAATTATCACAGAACATACGCTTAGTTTAAATTCCATGTCGCATTTTTAAACAGGCAGAAGTTTTATGACTGTGGAAAGTATTACATGACCTTTCTCTCCTAGGTTACGTAATATTATGTAAACGGTTTCTTACTCACTCCATATGAATAAAATATAAAGTATTAGGTCGATATAAATTCCGATAAAATACTGACCTCTTCCAATAAGCAGGTGATGTAATGCATCTTAAAGGCGATCACCTCGTTTATTATCTCTTTAAACTGTTTATCAATCAGCCTATCCAGTACTCTGTTTATCTGTATAATATAATATTGGTTATAGGTTTCTGAGGACTGACTGACTGGGGTTTATAGGTTATCGGTATAAATAATTGGTATGCTTAATATAAGTAAACAGAACATGATTCAATATACTAATCATCAGTGACTTAATTTAAGAGCCAATCAGCCAACACTACAATTAAAATTGGCAAAAAATGATCAATAAAATTATGTAACTAATGTCGACTATATAATTGCTTGTGTAATTGATTGTCGACCTGGACTTTGTTGGCAGGATTAGCGACAGCAGGATTGTCCTTGACATAAAGGAGCATCTTGACAGGGTTTAAGTTAGTCATGCAGCACAGGTAATGTAGAGGAGGTGCTAGGTCAGGAGGCAGGAAGTCAGTCTTGTCAAGACCACGTGGAACCGTGTGGTACAGCAGCTCTGGGGAGGTTAGTTAGTGGTTAGTAGGTGGTTAGTTTGTGGTTAGTTAGTGGTTAGTTTGTGGTTAGTAGGTGGTTAGTTTGTGGTTAGTTTGTGGTTAGTTGGTGGTTGGTTGGTGGTTAGTTGGTGGTTAGTTTGCGGTTAGTAGGTGGTTAGATGGTGGTTAGTTAGTGGTTAGTTGGTGGTTAGTAGGTGTTTATTTTGTGGTTAGTAGGTGGTTAGTTTGTGGCTAATTGCCGAGCCTGCACTGCACTATTCAAATGTTGTATTACTTGAAAAAAACAATTCGTATTTTACGTCAAAAAGTAAATCATTTTACAAAATTATCTTCTAGTTCTTTTAACATTTCCCAATAAAATAATTCTAAGAGGACTAAACTTCAAATAACTGTGACATACCTGATAGAGGTAGAAAGTTGTTGATGATTCTGAGGCACTCCTTGGAGCCAACAAAAGCAGCCATGTTGGCAGCATTCTTGTCTAACTTGTTCCTCTTCTCAGGATTAGCTCCAGCTCTCAACAGTAACTCAACTACCTCTCCTCTCCCTGTATAGATAAAATAGTTTATTATAATTTAACCAAACTTATCAAAATTTTGCAAATTTTTCCGTCCACTTTTATCCGCTAATGTCCGCCTATGCACTGTCCTGTCCTGTGCTGTCCTTTTTAGATTCTATGAGACAAGCGGACATAGTGTCACCCCGGCCACCCACATCAATAAGACTGTAATGGTATATACCTGCCAGGTACATAGCAATTGTCATAAAAATGAGGAATTTATGATGCTTTCCAGTGGCGTAACATTGCCTGTTGGCCACCCCCCCCCGCCCGCCGAAAATGCGCCCCCCTATTGGCGCCGCTCCCCTTTTGGCGCCCCTCCCTAAAACTGAACAAATTTAAAGGTGATTTTAGAGGATACGCCGGTAAAATCTCTAAAAAAGCGTGTTTCTAGAGCAAAACGCACAGTTTTGCTAGTACCTCAGTTAAGTTTTCAAAATTGTCCCAACAACGATTTTGCGCCCCCCTAAGATGGTGCCCTCCACACAGCGGGGGCAGCGGGGCCCTTCATTACGCCACTGATACTTTCACAGCATTTTTAAATAGTTAAATGGTTCATCAGCCATCACTATGTTATGTACATCAATCAGATGGTAAAATACCTGCCAGGGTAGCGAGCATCAGAGCAGTGAAGTAATCCTTAGTGGTCTCCTTGTCAACTTCTGCTCCTTGGTCAAGAAGGAGCGAGCACATGTCGGTATGTCCATTATATGCTGGGGGATAAAACAAATCATACTCGTGATCATGATGTTCTGCTTTTATAAATTAAATCAAACACTGACCACACAACAATCTTTTAATATTATGTGGTTTGTTTTGGACAGTTGAATCTAACTTTTAGCGATCAACTTACATTACCATTGCATTTGTTATTACCTGCATGCATGAGCCCAGACATGCCATCTGAATCAGTCACGTTCACGTTAGCCCTCTTCTCTTTCAATATAAGAGAAACTTTATCAGCATCACCATCTTTACACAGTTGTAAAAATTCTGCATCCATTGTGTCCTTAGCTTGAGTAACAGAAAGGTTAAGTCTTGAGGTTTCATAAAGAATAACAAAGTGTTAAAGAAAACAAAATGCTTTTTTTATTGGTTCAGAATTCAATACAAATTCATTTAAAAAATATACACAGATAAATTAAACACAACAACAACAAGATACAAGGGCAGGTCTCACCCGAACATTGGGATGGCCTGAGGTGCTTATCTCCTTTTCAGTAACCCTAAGCCACTCTGTGCCGAGGCACTATACTAGCTGAAGGGGGGTTAGTCCTACGAGCCAGAGGGTGTGTATCACCAGCCGAAGCTGTACCAAATCACAGCTTGGTAACTGGCCGACTTGCATCCGACCGGATTTGAACCCGGGTCTTCTGCTTGGGAGGCGATCGTGTTACCACTACACCACCCGGCCGACAGCAAGGTTTATTGTCTAAACTCAACAAATTTTTAATCTTAAACAAATTGCCATCTTAAACATGGATCACTTCCGCATGAATAGTTGATTCCGCTAAATCTTGTGTCCAAATAGAGCTAAGATCCCAGTCCTGATTAAATTTGACTGATCCTGGCCAATTTCAAATTGGATAAAAAATCCCATTCCTGGTCAAAATTGACCAATCCCGGTACCGGCCATTGCAAAATTCTTATCCCGGTCGTTTGCTGTGAAAATGTATATATATCATTACCTGGGTAGGAGCGTTTTTTTTGTTGATACAAGCACAATCTAACATGCCAGGTCTTCTGGTTCGGATCCTAAGGTCCAATAGCAGGTGCTTGGGACAACACCATCAATGCCCATGCTCAATTTACCAAAAGTTATGGAATAAATTACATTTTTTTATTTTCCTTATTTTTCGGTCAATATGTTCATTATATGCAAGCCTCTTGATTTATAATCACCGCGACCGGGTATAGTAATTGTTTAAGAGAGTTCTCTTGCAGTTACGAAACTCGAGAGACTGTGGGATACTGAAGGGAAAGGAAGCAGTTCTAACGAGCGCTTCTCAAACACAAGGATATATCTTGTGAACTTGGCTAGTATATATGAAACATTTGACATGGTGTTGTAGAGTGAGTTATGTGCCTCGCCGGGCTAAAGTAGTGGATGTCCTTGCTGTACGGCAAGTTAAACAAGGAACTGAAACTACTAGGTTCCGTACAGACTCAACTCTGCACCCATGTCAATATATGTTCATTATATGCAAGCCTCTTGATTTATAATCACCGGGTCTAGTAATTGTTTAAGAGAGTTCTCTGGCAGTTATGAAACTCGAGAGACTGTGGGATACTGAAGGGAAAGGAAGCAGTTCTAACGAGCGCTTCTCAAACACAAGGATATATCTTGTGAACTTGGCTAGTATATATTGAAAACATTTGTCATGGTGTTGTAGAGTGAGTTATGTGCCTCGCCGGGCTAAAGTAGTGGATGTCCTTGCTGTACGGCAAGTTAAACAAGGAACTGAAACTACTAGGTTCCGTACAGACTCAACTCTGCACCCATGTCAATATGTTCATTATATGCAAGCCTCTTGATTTAAAATCAAAAATCAACAAGAATTGCGCTGGTTAGCGGATGCTAGATTTCCATCAACCGTAGTGATTGCTATGCCTTTTAAAATTTAAAATTAAAATTAACGATAGTTTCATGTTGGTCAAAATATTAAATAATGGTTCTTTATTCACCATTCTTGGGGCGCTACAGAACACAAAATGGAGGGGTTGCCATTGTCAATTAGTCAAATTTAAAAAGTTAAATGACCGGACACCGTAGCGCCTGCGCCTGTGTGGTGATATGCAGTTAAAAGTCGTGAAATCCGTAGTAGGTAATGCAACTCATAATAACATTTATGGTCCATTTCGTATAACAAATCAAGCACTCACAACAAAACGAGATGTTCATGTTAGTACGTTGTTCCGCATCATGATCAATGATCAAGTAAAGAAAAGCGTGAGCTACTTAACACATCCGGGAAATCGCTTGTTATCTAAATCAATTGGGGCCGCGCAATCGAAAGTGTAATTCGATCAATCGTCAACTCGTGCAAACGTATGCGGAGGGTAACCATGGCGACTACACCATAACTGCTCTGCGCGCAGAGAATATGCATTAAAATAACGTGGGGTTATGCATGTTTTCCTTTGTGACACGACTCACGAAAAAGCTACCTACCCACTATACCCATTCTCAAATCCTTCCACTTCTATACATCTATTGCCCTTTTAAAGAAAAAGACAGTTGATGTAAAAAATAAACATTTTTGATACCGTACTCTATATTGCGCTGAAATTTAGCTATGCTCAATAATAAGAGGACAGGAAGTCAGCCAGGTCAGCCTACTCCTGCTTCCACTCTTTCACCGTGAACTCCTCAAACTCATTTTCCTCCTCCAACTGGCCAAGGTTGTGATCACCATTGATCTAAAGTGTTACCATAGGGGGGGTACCACTGTCCATTTTGTCCATTTTGTCTTTGTCTTTTTTTACATTTTTTTGTGAAGGACAGTGTTTTGGGGACAAAATGGACAATACTAGGGACAAAAGGGACAAAAGGGACAAAACTTTTGGACAAATGAGACAAAAAATTAGACAAGCTCAAATGTAGAGAATGTGTATATTCTACTCGACATCAACAATTTAGATTTTCATGTCAGTGTTTTGCTGTACTTAGAATCAACTGAAACCACTGAAGGGACTGAAATAAGCAGAATTCATCAACGGCATCACATAATTAAATGTGTACACGGTTCAGTCAATATTTCATTAATCCCATTAATCAAGTGGTGATATCAAAAAAGTCATCATCTTTTAATATCATAACGCTCATAGCGGTTAATGGAAAATTACTTTTCCATTAACCATATGCCGACAATATCGAGCTAATGGGTATTCGCTTTTTCCTATGAAGTAGGAGAAAAAGCATGCCCGTCCTCTAATCAAGATTTTCTTATTCCTCCTCTTTTTCCTGAACATGATGGTGTCTCCAGGACGAATCATTTGAGAGTCACATTCGTCACAGTTTACGCTGAACTGATAGGAACTTCTGAGATGATGGGCAGTGAATCTGTCCAGCCTATTTGAAGGCGGGAGAGTTGTCCGGCCACCTTGACCATAGAAATTCACTAGAGACATTAAATTCAAACGTCAAATGTGAATCAGTGAGCAGGCATATCGGACTAGACGAAGTTGTCTTGAACAGTGAGTACACTAAGGCTGATATATAACCAAGATTGACTTTACCGTTCTGTCTGAATTTACCCAACTTATTAGCTTGTTGGAACTGTGCCTGAACTTATTTTTTGCATTTCAACGGATAATTGACCTTATTTTCTTTACTATCCATTTTGTCCCTGTCTATTTGTCTAGTTTGTCCCTGTCCTTTTTGTCCATTTTGTCCATTTTGTCCATTTTGTCCCTGTATTTTTGTCCTTTTTGTCCCCGTCTTTTTTGTCTTTTTTGTCTTTTTGTCCCTATTATCTTTTTTTGTCCCTTTTGTCCCTCTTGTCCCTTTTGTCCCTTTTGTCTTTGTCTTTTTTCAGTTTTTTTTGTGCAGGGATAAAATGGACAGTGGTACCCCCCCCCCCCCCCCCCCCCCATAGGCAAATCTCAAAAAAAATGTTTGTCTAAAATCAGGCCAAAAAACGTTGAAAACATAACATGCAATTGTGTTCAAGTTGAGTTGATGACTTTGTGAAGGTTTTTTAGAAATACTTGTCTAGGATGTTGGAGAACTTCTTCCCAATATTAGTTTCCACATTTGATCTATGTATCTATGAGAGTCTGCAGAGAGGAGAGGAGCCAGGAATTTTGTCAAATCTCCATGATCCATGGTTGTCAGTTAAACTTAGTAGTTTCAATACAGGAAATTCACCGAGCATAATTTTAAAAGGTCCTTGCAATTAACCCCGGTCTATTCATACAAATTTAATTGGTATATTTTGGCGACACTAAAGGTCTCCCTGCAAAAACATCCTCTAGGCTCCGTGTCAATGCACAAAATTACTCTGGAATAAAATTTGCTCGCACAAAACCTAGTTATCATGAATATGGAGCCTAGTACTCAGCCTCCTGAGGGCCAATAACGGACATGGAATCAAGTCACGTGATTCAGTGATAAGGTTTCATTGGATATATATACTCTTAATATAGATATGTAATGGGCAACCTCCCCCAGTTAAAATTCATGCCTAGACAGTTTTAATTGCTTAATTCCACCTGGTTAATAAATAAAACATTCAAAGTAACATCCTTCTGACTCCCCTGGCCCTTGATTATTATTATCCAGGAGACACAGTATGATGGGTTGCACTGCCTGTTACTCACTTTGACTTGATAACAACTCAGATTATTTGACCAATGATGGCAAGAGGGGACCTCTTGCTTTGTCTTCTGATTCTCTTGATGGTGAACTATGATGTCATCAACGCAGGTAAACGTTTGTCACTTTGTCTGAGCATTACATCATTTCAGTTAGAATGAAAAGATTTGTAGAAGCCGTAAAACTGAATGATATAACTTCACTCTTAAATTGAGGTTCGTATCACTCACACTCCATTTAAGAACTATAATTGTTTCAGGAAAGGTCACACCTGCATCTGTGAGTCAAATCAGCACACGCCTGTCGTGGGAGGGTGGCGTTCAAGTCTACCGGAACGCGAACCGTGCTACTGACGGCGATGTGGGAACAGTATCTTCTACTGCAGGGGGATTTTCGTTGAACTTGTGGTTCAAAATGAAGTTTGATGACTTCTTCTGCTTCTCTGAAGTGGTCATCATCCAGGCTCAGCTTGACGGAATGCTTATCGTATGCAGGGCACGAGAGTATTTGTAGTCAACACGGAAACAGGAGCTATAAACCTTTGTGGAGTTCTCACTGTAAGCAGCGAGTATACTATAGATGGTCAGACGTACAAATTTCCCTGTAAGCTCAAGTGTGGAGATGAAGTGAAGGTGACGTTGAGACATGACCATGGCAGCTATGCTAACGAAGCAATGATTCACATGAGAGAAATTACAGTGTTTGGAAAAGGTATGTCATGAATTTTAGTTACAGAGAGGTGTCGGGGTGAATATGCTGATTGGTTGTGTACTAGACTATTAGCACACGAAGTCCACACTGCTTGTCGAAATCTCTTTAAATAAATCTTAGAACCTATCAGTTTATATTACTAAAGATAACTTTTTCAGTTGACCAAGTTTCCTGTTATAATGGTCGAATCGATCGAATAAACGGACAGCTACATTGCTTGTCAGCCGGTAAGTTTTCGATATAAAGATAACACAGACACTAAATTTAATGAACTCTTCCCACCCCTACCCAGCCCTTTCCATATAATAATATTGATGACCATTGAGAAGATCTCTCAAATCCAAGTCATCTCTTAACTCAGATATAATTATCACAGAACATACGCTTAAAGTAAAGTAAAGTAAAGTAAAGTAAAAATTATGACATAATTAATACTTTCAACACTACTATATATAACAAATAATTTGAGGAAAATTTATTGTGGGAAGGTGAAAGTTGGGCCCGTAATGTTAATATAAACCACCAATGCTACATCTTAAGTTGTAGAACCACAAAAACTCGCCTCTTTACTGTGTATAACATCATCACACTTGTCTACAAAGTATCAAATCACTATATGGAAAAATATAAATATCTTACCACCAAAATTAATAAATTATTAACTACAACTTTATTTAAAAAATTTCAAATAAATTCAAAAAGCATCCCCAAAAGATAACCGCTTAATTCAAATTGCTTGCATTTTTAAACAGGCAGAAGTTATATGACTGTGGAAAGTAGACAAGGGTAAGCTTTTCCAAACCTTGGCCTTCTAGGTTACGTAATATGTAAACGGTTTCTTACGCACTCTATATAGATGAAATATAAAGTAATAGGTCGATATAAATTCCGATAAATACTGACCTCTTCCAGCAGGCAGGTCACAGGGGGAGCTGAAACCAGGTTTTCGATCAAACGCAGCCATGTGTAATCAGTAATGCATCTTAAAGGCGATCACCTCGTTTATTATCTCTTTAAACTGTTTATCAATCAGTCTATACTCTGTTTATCTGTTTAATATAATATTGGTTAGTAACGTTATCAGTTATAGGTTTAAGAGGTTTATGAGGTTTAAGAGGTTTATGAGGTTTATGAGGTTTATGAGGTTTATGAGGTTTATGAGGTTTATGAGGTTTGTGAGGTTTGTAGGTTTTCGGGAAAAATAATTGGTATGCTTAATACCAATTATTACCGCCCAATAAAAGTTGCTCCACACTGTAAGCCTGTCATTCACACTTGTCATTCCGCCAAATCTCTATTCATATGTTTTTGAACATTATAGCTTGGGTAACAAATCACGGGGCACGGCAGGTTTGTAAAATAGGAAATACGACGCGAATTTGATTGTTTAGGGCTCGTCGCTCAAATGAGTGTTGTGTATGGTATTTAATTTAGTGGGCATGTCATTCCGCTGGATCTCTATTCATATTTATTGATTTTACGTCATATGTTTTAATTTCTATTTGTATGTTTAAAATCATTTAACACTAGACTGTCATGTGACCTTTAAAGGTCACCATAATAACGAAATGAGTTGGTTTTTGACAAACATTTTATATTTTTGCTTCCAAATCAGTTAGGTCAACAGAATTTTGTCAAGTATACATTTGTTTTGTAAGGTACATTGATTTAAAACTGGCGAATGGCGCCGTGGTGGGGGCCTTTCAAGAAAATTGTCGAAGATCGCAATCGAGCGTAGTGATTTTGTCATTACTCTTAATTGACGATGTCAATTTATCGCAGCTCGGCGAGGCACAGTAGCGCATTTTGCCGATCTAGCAAGAGAAGCCTCATTGAGAAGCCTCATTGAGAAGCCTCATTGAGAAGCCTCATTGAGAAGCCTCATTGAGAAGCCTCATTGAGAAGCCTCATTGAGAAGCCTCATCGAGAAGCCTCATTGAGAAGCCTCATTGAGAAGCCTCATTGAGAAGCCTCATTGAGAAGCCTCATTGAGAAGCCTCATTGAGAAGCCTCATTGAGAAGCCTCATTGAGTGCGCGGCGCGGCACAGTAACGCATCGCGCTACAATCATTGCTCTATGCAGAGCCCTTGCGTTTGTATTGTGGTGGCGTGCGCCTCGCCTTCCGGCTTTTCTTTATTTGTGAAATTACAAGCGCGCCGCGCCCGCAATGGCACGAAAGCATATGGTTAGTAGGTGAAATCTTGTCAAGTAGCGCGATACATGGCACCGCTGTATACTGGGCCGCGCCGCGCATCAAACAATGAATAATGCTTCTCGCATCTTCTTCGTTGGATCAGCAAAATGCACCTGCACCACTAAACTGGGCCACACCGAGCTGCGCAGGATTGACATCGTCAATTATATGAAGAGTTATCATGATTTAGCAGTACGTTCGTAGACATGCGGCTTTGAATGAGACCTTCACATAGCCATGTGCCTACGCGTACTGCGTGACTCGCTTGTTTCACAACCGCCTTGTTTCACAACCGCCTCCGGCGGTCGCGCGCTACTGCAAGCGCGGCGAGAGGGCTCTGGTTAGAGCAAAATGAGACCGTTTCTTTCGTGTTTCGGTTACAATCATATAACGGTTACTGGGCGCAGGGCGGCGCTCAGCCTGCCATTCGATTCCGCGCCTTTATATCGTCAAATTGGGCCGGGTTTATGAGCGGAAAAAGCCTGATGTCTACATAGCAGGAAATTAACGGTTAATCGGCAAAAACAAGTCACTTGACATATTACTTGGGAACACTTTATTGTTCATAAACATATAGAATAGCATAGAGAATCGGCGGAATGACAATCGACAGGCTTAGCGCCGCCCAGTAACTGTTATAAGTGACATAGCGTTGGCGATTGTTGCTTGGGGACCTCGCGTCCCGGGCTTTTTCTGTTCGCGTCATAATATAAACAGAAACCGGGGCGGAATAACACATAACAGGCCGCCGCGCCGAGTGATGGCAAGTACAGATCGAGTGGATACTGGATAAGTATTATAAGTAAAAGCACAGCCTCACAGCCTGGTCCATTGACAATGTATGCCGACTCAAATTCAATTAATTTTAAATGCCAAGCTACTAGTATATATAGCTGAGTTGTGCGTATTATTTCATATTAAATTTAAGCTTTCTGATAAAATTGGAAAATTAGACATTAAAATGTTGTCGTGGGTCTTATGGTGTAGTGGTTAGCACTCAGGACTCTGAATCCTGCGACCCGAGTTCGAATCCCGGTAAGACCTTGTTTTGTATCTCTTTATTTTCCCCGCGAAATGTAGTGTCAATCCTCTTAAATTCCATAAAACACTGGACGGCATCCTTTCCGCTGGGATTTTAATGCTTAACCAATTGTACATCAGAGACAGCAACGCAACCTTAATGTACTTGTAGCACTGTTTCAAAACCTGTCCACACTGTGCATGATTTAGCGATTCTTACATTATTACAACATACCAGGGTGCCCGGGGTGGCCTTTCTGCAATTTGGGGGTACGTTAAACGTTGTCTGTAATTCATCGCAGTGTGTGTCTGAACTATCAAGGGTGAACATAGTTTATCAATACTATATTCAATGTTATGGCCTCGTAAATGATTAAAACGCCAACCTCTGATTTCTGGTAAACTTAAAATAATCAAAAACATAAAAATATTGAAAGTTATATAATCCACTCTGTGAGCGTAGAAATATTTGAAGCAGAAAGAAGATAACAATGAGAAGAACTAGAGTTAACGGCTTGCTTCCCAGTTCCAATACTCAGGGATCATTAATATGTCAGCACCTTTTCGTCGATTCTTACCTGATTACTCGATCGACCACCCAAATGGTTCATTTGGAATAAAATATGCGAAATGACATATTCTTCCATTTCCAAGACTAAGATTAAAATATTCGCACATGACACGAATATGAATCTCATAAAATTTAAAATATTTCATCGCAATCATCAACTAATACTCTTATTAGTCCACAGTTTGAATGTTCTGTCATAGCTAGCGGTGACAATGTACTTCTTGTCCCAACTACAGTCCACGCACATGACCTTGTTGTCGTGTCCGGTCAGACTCTTCAGTGGCATCCACCCTTTGTGTGACCACACCTGGAATGTTAGTTAGTGATTAACTAGAAATTAGTTAGTGATTAGTCAGTAATTAGTTAGTGATTAATTATGAATTAGTTAGTGATTAATTATAAATTAGTTATAAATTAGCTAAAAGATTAAATTACGAAGTAATGTTCTGTATACAAGCAATCACACACAATATCATTGTATACAACTATTGACATTTTAATTAATACAGGTTATACCCAGTGAGCATTAAGCAAGGGCTTCCCCTGGCTCCAGCAGTTTTAAAGTATATCAATAATAATTATAACATAGTACAGTAATATATATATATATATATATAGTGAAACATCAAAGAAAACCTTAAAAAACCGCCAACTAACGCCCGGAACAAACCTTGGCAGTAGAATCGTAGCTAGCAGTCAACAACATACTATTATTAGGTGTGCCAGCGAACTTGCAGTAAGTAACCATATTATTATGAGCCGGAATACTGTAAATACTCTTGTGCTGCCTCAGATCCCAGATTTTACAGCTGTTATCCTCAGAACCAGTCCCCAGATGATAACCGTCTGGAGCGAAATCACAACTCAGAACTGATTTCAGGTGTCCCTCAAGGAAGAGGACTGCCCGGCCCGTCCTGAGGTCCCAGACCCGGCAGTAGGAGTCCAGTCCTCCGGTCGCTAGGAGGGACCCGTCTCGGTGGAATGAGATACTGTACACTGGGTGAGAACGAATTTTTATATCTTAAAAAAAAACAGTTAAAATTCGATTTTTATGGTTAGCTTCAAGGTTATGGTAAGGGTTTGGGCTGGGGTTACGGTTAGTTATGTAAAACCGTTTTCTTCGACTGCAAACCGTAAAAACTCAAGACACGTGATAATTTTTGGGCGAGTGAAATAATATGAGCCGATATAAGATAATAAAAATGTAAATACAGTTTCCTCGATATAAGGCGCCCCAATTTACCGCAACCCCTAATTTACCGCGGATGTTTCCTTTCCCCCAAATCCAATCTCCGCGGTAAATCGGGGTTTTACTGTATTACTTTTATTGGTTGGAAACTTTAAACAGAATTTAAAAATAACTGTTGATGTTAAACCAACAGTTGTCTTACCTGGCCCACTGTGCCCTTCTTGATGGAGGATTTCAGTTGATGATTCCAGGTCCCAGAATCTCCAGGAGTGGTCGTAACACGCCGTTCCCAGAAACCTTCCTGACAAACAGATTTTGGAATTATTGGATGCGATGTTCTGTAATCAATGGCTTGGTGCATTATCTGCTGATAACATTGGCACACTCAAACTGTTTAATAATTTTACAAGGAGAACCTCATAAAACATTACACAAATTCAACTAACTGAACAGTAAAATAAGTAAGTTTAGACAGTACCTGAAGGATGATAGTTAAGTCTGGCGACCCTGCAGCCGTGACCAGGGAGATTAGCCACAGGTCGAGTTGAGGACATGGACCACAAGTTGACAACGCCATCTGAGTCGCACGAGGACAGACACGCTACGTTGTCAGCTAGACCAGCCTGGAAATTAAGTGTAAATGTCACGTGGGGTAAATGTCACGTGCGGTAAATGTCATGTGTAGTGGGATATGTTAATTCATAGGAAGGGATTTCGATCAGTTTTATCTACTTTAAAATATAGAATTCCATTAATAGACGGCGTATGAAAATGTAAATTAATCCAACCTGAGGACTAAAAGTCACAGCTCCAATTCTACCATTATGTCCTGTAAGTGTTGCGACAGGATTGCAGCTAGGTAGCCTCCACAGTTTCACTAAACCAGACCAAGATCCCGTTGCTAGGTAACCAGAACAGGGTGAAATGTTACAGTAACTGAAAATAAAGGGGTATTATCAACACATTTTTACTGCTTGACTAGTAATTGTGTTACATTCCTGCACGAGAATGTTTCTTCAATGATTGTAGAATTAAGTCAGATTATCCTTAAATGTCTGCTTTTGAAACTTTCACTATTCAAATATTTCAATGTGAAGACAATAAGCCAGCTAATCTTGAAACATTTACTCATGTATATTCAACAATCAGCGAACCCACTCGAGCTTACGCTTGTTCGCTCGAGTGGGTAACACAATGGTTGAGACCAAATGCAAGATTAAGATAAGCACTAAACTTAAAGAATAGCCTGAATAATGCAGCACTAGCCCCTGCAGACTCTAGATTTAGACCCAGTAAACCCGGTTTTGCTTTACTCATGGTTTCTACAGGTCTAGCGTGACACAATAGTGATCCAGGCATCGTTTCATGCACGTCATTAATGTGATGGTATTATCGGTATATCCGACCCCAATACAATCGCACTGTAATTTCTCTGTCTCCAAAAGAAGTTTAATAGCGTTTATGCCATCTCATTCCCGACACCCTTTTGTTCAGCTAATCGAGGTTTGACCACCGGGTTCGTCCTTTTGTTTGCCATGTTCTCGAGATTGGAAAAGTTAATTGTCGGACTGAATATATTCACAAGCTTTTCCTGTGGTATCGTGGATGTAGCCTGTCTGGTGGGATTTAAGAAATAATAATAATAGTGTCATTGTAGTCAGGTGTAGTCAGGTGTGTTTATAAAGTGTTTATAATGATGTGCTGACTGTGCCGCTTTCTCTTTTCAATTGATTGTTTTTCTCGTGTTTCAAACAAAGACTTGTGATATGTGACGGATGTTTGAGGGTGTATAATGTGAGAATGAAGAAGAGGATTCACAGTTAGAACAAGTAGGAACCAATATTCTTTCATTTCATTTTCTGTGCACTTGCACATTTTTCCATTACTTTAGTTTTTTTTGGTGAGAAGCATGATGTCTTATAATACGGGACCGGATTATGAAATCTTTATATAATAGATTTTGCTATTTGTTAAGATTGGGAAATCGTGGCGGTTTCGTTAAATATCGACGGCAAGTGTCAGGCCAGGCAACGTAATAATTTGCATAATTTGTAAATTTCGTAGATTCCTCTACAGGGTCATCGAATAGTTCGACCGCCCTTGTTTTACAGTACACTACATTGTAGATGCTCTGAAGGAGTATCCTAAGATTTTTGATCTTTTGGCACAGGCACCCCTCCTCATTTAACTCTCAATCAAGTTTCCTATCATTCGGCTGAGTCGACCGAGGAGATCGCATAGATCCAATGAATCCTTAGCTACTCCCTAGACTGAGTGAAACTGGGATTCGAACCCTGAACCTTCTGTACAGAAGGCGGAAGCTCTAACCACTAGGCCACTCAGCCACGTTTGGCTGCTGGCAAGAGCTTTTTACCAAAAAGTTACATTGGTTCCATGTGGAGTCTTTTCATTTCAAGAAATTTGACACACTTAGCCAGAGTAACAAGGTGTAGCATAATATTGGCGTTATCGCTCATGTAATTGTAAGCATGTTAAACTCGCATGAATATTAATATCTTTCTGTTAACTTGTAGCTAACATATTATAGCCTTCGTTTAACTTCCAATCTGCGATCATTTTGCCCCGATTTTGGTACATATTTTGGTACTTGACAATCACAACACCCCGACCCAAACATCTTATAAAAGGGGCCGGGAATCTTGAAGGTAAGGTTGCAGATCATGATTCTCTAAAAAAGGAAAATGGTATAGAGGTACGGATAATTGGAGGGGTGCGTTAACGCAATTTTCAACCGCCATTTCCCAAAAATATAGACAACCATAGCATATATTGGCCTGAATGCATCTTCTGTTCTCAAAGTTGAAAAGAAAAAACCACTTATTCTTCGAATGACGGTTATAGAATTAGACATAATTCACAATTTAAAACAAAAGATGGTCGCGGTGAATAAAATTTTGAAAGCCTGATAAGAAAATCATGACCCTCTAAATTGTATAAGTGGTTTCTTGACGTCACAATACATGCAACCGTTAGTATTGGAGTAATAGCCTAGCTGGCAATTTATATTGTTGAAGACCAATCATATCATCACGTCGGGGATTTGAGTGTAATCTCCTATGTTTTCGGACGCCTTTAGTTTATACTGGCTTTAAAGAATAGGTAGGTCATCATGCATATAGGGCCTGTCGTGATATCATGGATCGCTTAGGTTCCACCAGGATCTGGTAGTCCTCATAATTCTGCGGCCTCTATGTATCGCCATCTCGTACAACTCTTTAAGAATCTTAGGGATTTGGCATGTGAAAATTTGCAGTCTTCCAGACATTGATTGGGTTAACGAGGTGTCGTACGTCACCTCAAGATCGGGTGACAGGGGGCTGACCAGGCCAGAACCCAATTGATTGGGTCTGAAGTCACGTGACTATGAGCCTGAAGTCACGTGACTATGACGTCACCAGACCTTGTTCTCCATTTCCCGCTCATTGGACCAGGTGAGCAAGACACATTGGAAATTCTTACTTCCATAAGATTCGGAATTTTTTTAAACGCCGAAGTATATCGGAATTTTATAAAATTTAATCACACTTATCAACCTTTGAACGGTTAATCGAACACAATGATTTTCAAGCTTGTCAACCCTGAAAATTACATTTTAACTACATACAAAGTTGTCTAACCAATTTTAAGTTTTGATCATTTATATCTACTATGTAAATAAAACACTTTCTATAATTACTCACGTTCAAATTGCATGACCAATGACTAAAGATGTTAAATTAACTTCGATATTAGGCAAACAATTATCCATAAAAACATTTTCTATGTCTTCCTAACTAGAATTGTAATCGTTTTGTAGACGGAAACATTCGGGAATTGAAAATGTTAACATGATCTAACACCAGAAAAGAACCTTTACATTGAAGAGTTTTACATTTTTCTCTTCCAAGTAGTTCATTATACCACTTGCTATTCCCCGTCCTGAACGTTCAAAAATTACGAATTAGCCATATTATATCAATCAAATGAATCCGGCTGCAAAGAGCAAAGTTGCCATTTCTATTTTGTTTGTACTCAAATCTGTTAAACGGACAAAAACAACATGAGCCCCCCTCCTCCCTTGTACATTATAACAATGTGGGTGTGTACAGTGTAGTGTATTTTGTACTTCACAGACAGTCGATTGTCTACATTAAACTACCTTACACCCCGACATACTTCACATCATTATTCCTATTTAATATTTATAACCGCTGCATACCAAGTATTTCATGTTCATTTCATGTATTCGTAACATTATTACGAATTTTGACATAAATATAATATTGTAACTACATTGAACAGTTATTCTTGCCTGAAAAGAGCAGTTCCCCGTCCTTTTAACAGATTCATCATAACAATATTACGACGCATAAATAAATTTACTGTCCGGAAATTACTTAAATATAGAATGGGAGTGAGTATTACAAACCTCAGGTCAGTTAACGAGTAATAAAAGTTTCCAAGGACCGTGAATCAGTAGAATAGAATAAGCATCAGTAGAATAAGCATTTTTGTCATTGGTCATGCAACTTGAACGTGAGTAATTATAGAAAGTGTTTTATTTACATAGTAGATATAAATGATCAAAACTCAAAATTGGTTAGAAAACTTTGCATGTAGTTAAAATGTTATTTTCAGCGTTGACAAGCTTGAAAATCATTGTGTTCGATTAACCGTTCAAAGGTTGATAAGTGTGATTAAATTTTATAAAATTCCGATATACTTCGGCGTTTAAAAAAATTCCGAATCTTATGGAAGTAAGAATTTCCAATGTGTCTTATCGAAAGTGAGTGAAAGAAACACTTGTGGCAATTTTATTTACTGATACTCTTATTTGTAAAGCTATCCTCGATACATATGCAGTTACAAAGTGAGATAACTGTTTCAACAGGGGTCGAATTCACAAAAATAACGTAAACCATTGATTTAAAGCTACCGCCGCTCCTGTCTCTTGATTGCTGATGATGATCAGGAACACATGACGTATCATCACGACGATTATTGGTCACTCGAAATCGACCCGTTAGGAATGCAATGTAGGTCTGATGGTTGTTTCTGCGTATTTGTTAGGTACCTGTTACTAATTAATCAACAGGATCATAATGTTGATTGTATCGATAAAACATGGATTTTAAGGCATAAAGAAGCATTGTTGAGTCCTGAAACCAAGTTTAATCGATTTCTCGTGCAATTTTGGGGGGGGGGGGGGGGGGGGGGGGGGGGGTGTAACCCAAAAAAACCCAAAAAAACCCAATCCCAGTATGACCTTTTTCAGGGTAGGAGTTGGGTTTTTTTGGGTTTTTTACAAATTTTTCATTTAAAGGAAATAAAATCATGTAGGCACCTAGCAAAACAATTATCAGTACAACATCACTGTTGTGGTTCATCACTACAACATTACAATAGATATAATCGCTTAAATATCACCCAAAAGCAGTATTTTATTCACTGATGTGCTCAGAAGAAGTTGGCCATCCAGATATGATATCAGCCATATGTAATGCTCACTTCGATGGCCATGGCAAATTGAGTTAGTAGGGACGCAACTCACTGATGACCTCCACCCTGACCGCAACCGGTACGAGAGGAATAAAGCCTTTCTTCTCACCTTCACGATCTCTGTTTCCGTTTTCCTGATCATCCGCTTAACGAGAAACCATGCTCTATCTCCAACTGAAAGAATCTTGCAGTTACCATCATGATCAGCTGCATGATCACATGTGATATTAAGTGATATCTTCGCTTGTTTATGGCCCTGGAGTCGCTAAAATCTTGACTCGGATGGCATTCGATCTCGCCCTCCATTGAGGTTAACCTCAACAGCCGTATCATGATGCAGAGCATCACCATACACAGTTACTATTTTCGCCCATTCCTCTGATGAGTCAATATCCTCCACTTCCTCTTCTTCATCATCTGTTTCCGCTTCGTCACTCTCTGCTCCGTCAGAAGATGGTTGGAAAGCCTCTCCTTCAAAGTTACAGTGTTCTTGAAGGAGTTCTCTACCCATTGAGACTCCCTTCTTTATAGCTTGTAACAATCTTGGGATTGAAGTATCTTTACCTCTAAATAGTTTCTCTGCTTTCGGATGCGGTATAACAAGCTTGTTGCGAGAGTGGGCAACTGTTACAGGGATCAAACTTTTGCAGAGTGCATCAAGCTCGAGGGAACGGTTTGATTTGCCCATGCCAACCAACATATCCTTAGAACACAGATTAGTTCTAATGCCTGCATGGAGGCCTATGCGCAGGAAAGCACAAAGTTTGCTCGCAGGCATCGGATGTAAACAGCCAGGGCATAAAGTGTTGATAACTGTTGTCAGCTGTTGCATTGAGAATGTACAGCATCAGACCCTCGACTGTAATAATCGCATCATCAAAATTTTTACAAGTAGGCAGGTGGTCTTTCAATGGTTGTGTGAAGCTTAGGTGGCCCAAGGCGTCACCGCTGGATAGAAGCTGGGTGGAAGCCCTGGTCTGATGTGAGGCTCCCAGAACTTTGAAAAGGGGTATCCTGCTGGTGCCCTCTTCCAGACACTCATCGGACAGCATGATGAAAGCCACTACCTCCGCGTGGTGAAGACTGGATACTGGACAGGGGGTCCAGGCTAAAGGCAGGACGGTCGACGGGAGACATTGAGCCCCGGAAGTTCAAAAATTTGATCTATTGACTCCTTAACTCTTGGTCTACAAGAGGCTTTGAGACTCGTAAATCTTTACTGTGGATTGCACAGTAACTAAAAAGGTGTTGGCTGTTACCCTGTTCAACCTAGTCTACTATGACGCAGCTAGACTGGACCACACTCTGGTAGTCAGGATACGGCTCCCTATGCCCGGGGTACCGGGTAACGAGGTAGTCAGGGGAAGGGTTAGTCCCCGCTAAAGTGTGGCTCTGTTCTCACTCTAACCTCCTTATGCTTTGGGATAAAATCGGACAGTCCCACACTTGAGCAGGTGACGATTGGGTAAGGATTACAACTGATGCTGTTGGGTAGAAAAAGGAAGTGTCACATTTGTCTTGTATGTTCGTGCAATTACATGCTCAAGATATCCAAGATATTATGGTGAGAGTAAAAGATGGCTATTGTTCAAGCGGATGCCCTTAACCTTTTAGTGGCGCAAGAGTTAAGAACACAATCCACTGCCAATGTGCAGGGGACTGCACAGGATTGTGAGCCAACTGAAAAGTCAAGATGAAGTTTATCAACAGCTTAAGGGTTAAAGCCCCTTATTTTTCTAGTGGAAGTGGTTGCCGGGGTAATTACGCTGCTATTACAGAAGCTGATGACTCGGTCTCCACAACACGACAACCTATTTCAACAGAAAGTCAAACAAGAAAACATCAACAAAATATGAACAACAATTGTATTGTATCATGTAAAAGGACTGCTAAGGTTAGCACATTTAACATAAGAACAGCCAGAGAACAGCACAAACGCATCAAACTTGCAGAACTATGTTCTCGAAGCAAGCTGCACATCCTTGGCCTGCAAGAACATGTAGTGCATTCTGAGCCTACCAGGATAGAAAAGATGAACAAAGGGAATCATCTAGTGACCTCATCTGCGTGGAGAAACGCAGCTGGCGCTTCTAATGGGAGAGTAGGAGTCATCTTGACGAGGACAGCATATGAGGCTATTTAAGTCTTATAAAATCTTACAGCGCAAGGATCCTCACCATGTCTTTCAATGGAAGGCGCAGGCTCACTGTCATCACATGCTACAGTCATACAGAAGCCTCATCTGATGAGGAGGCAGAAAATCTCTTTTGTCTAAAACCAAGCATCTTACTGTTAATTTAGTAGAAGAGGAGCCACACACAATAACTTCTAAGGACGGACATGCCTTAGAGGAAGTTGAGGATTTTTTCTACCTAGGAGCCTGGACAAGTACAACGGAGCACGACTTTAGGGTACGCAAGGCCAAGGCATGGGCTGCCTACCACAAAATGAAGGCTATATGGAGGTCCAATTTGCGCCGAGATTTAAAGATCCGTCTGTTTCAAGGCTACAGTTGAATCAATCTTCCTGTATGGAACGGAAACGTGGACAATGACAGAATCTTTGAAAAGAATAGACGGATGTTACAGTAGAATGTTTTGGATGGCCCTAAACGTGGACTGCATTTTCACACTTTCTGCATTCATATGGATTATATCTCGATGAACTAGACATCCTCTTTGCTATCATGATAACATAATTTTATTATAAACACACTTATATACTATGTAAAATTGTAAACTATCTATTAAGTTAAGACATGAGAACAACACGTAGGTAAGACTCAGTGGGAAATAATTCACATTCAATACAACAAATGAAATGGCTAGAATTTTGATTAAATTTTGTTTAAAAAACCCAAAAAAACCCAAAAAAACCCAATCCCAGTATTACCTTTTCTTGGGTAGGAGTTGGGTTTTTTTGGGTTACACCCCCCCCCCCCCCCCCCCCCCCCCCCCCCCCCCAATTTTAGGTCAGGAATGGTCATCAAAATAAATTTATAACAATGTCGATATTTTGGTAAATTTCTAGCTTTCTGCCAGAAAATAAATTTTCGGTTTCTATAGGGGTTAATTAGGTATAAACTACAGTACAGCTGTACTTACACCCACATTCACAAGCATGCAAGCTCACCTGGTCCAATGAGCGGGAAATGGAGAACAAGGTCTGGACTTCAGGCTCATAATCACGTGACCTCAGACCCAATCAATTGGGTTCTGGCCTGGTCAGCCCCCTGTCACCCGATCTTGAGGTGACGTACGACACCTCGTTAACCCAATCAATGTCTGGAAGGCTGCAAATTTTCACATGCCAAATCTCTAAGATTCTTAAAGAGTTGTACGAGATGACGATACATAGAGGCCGCAGAATTATGAGGACTACCAGATCCTGGTGGAACCTAAGCGATCCATGATATCACGACAGGCCCTATCATGCATATTGCGTAACGTGGTCATACGTGTAATTGGACATAATAAATCATGCACATTTTAAAGGGCATATTTATTTTCACTTCAAATCTTTGGACTGTCCGCTCAGATAAATTTCGAATGATTTTTAACGTGTCACGTTACAGAAATCTATCACATTATCAGCTCCATCGTTCATTTCAGGGTATAATGTATAGATTGTTACTAACATGTGGGTTGGTTCTGCAGCTAGGAGACTCTCAAACTACTGTTTACCAACTACTCAAAAAGGGAAAAATTAATAAAATTAAGACATTTGTTCAGGTTAGTTCAAAATATCCAGATTTAATTAATTAATTAATTGGCAATTTGGTAATCTAGCTAGGCACACTTGGGGCACAGTTGGGGCACAAAATTGTATTTCCTTGGGCACACTTGGGGCAAAAAGTTACTTGGGGCACACTTGGGGCACACTTGGGGCAGATACAGTTGGGGACCAGCTGGGGCACGCTTGGGGTAAAAATGACTAAGGTAAACAATCTTCTGGTGTAATAATAAGTAACAATGTATACGTAATTTTTAACTTAATTAAAATTAACCTAATTCCTGAATACCAATACATTAAACAACTTTAGGACCGGGGGGCAGTGTTAGGCCTAGAAGGTCGAACAACAGGACTTGAATGAAGGATACATGGGTCGATGGTAACCACTATTTGGTTACTGTCGGACTCATCTGTGAGAAGAGCCTTTAATAGCGAAATCCCTAAGCTTATGAGAAGAGTATTATCCTGAATAGTTGAATGTATAATTTTATTAATGTATTGGTTGTATTGGTATTCAGGAATGAGGTTAATTTTAATTAAGTTAAAAATTACGTATACATTGTTACATATTATTACACCAGAAGATTGTTTACCTTAGTCATTTTTGCCCCAAGTGTGCCCCAGCTGGTCCCAAACTGTATCTGCCCCAAGTAACTTTGTGCCCCAAGTGTGCCCCAGGAAATACAATTTTGTGCCCCAAGTGTGCCTAGCTAGATTACCAAATTGCCAATTAATTAATAATAAAAGTCATTTAAAACCATATCATCTCATCTTTAGTATAAAACAATTAATTTTGATTGTTCTATCTAACATACTGTTTAATTGAACTCATTAGTGTTCGTTTCAGGATCTCAGTGAGACACTGTCTGATATCCACGAGAAAAACACCTCTTACAAATTGTTGAAAGGAAGCTACGCTCAAGTAAAAGTGAGTGCAGCCCCATTCGAGGATGCACACTGGGATAATATCATATCTGGTATGAGCAAGCATGTAGACAGTGTCACCCAGAAGAGAAAGGACAATCTCTTGGACATAGTGACCAAAGTGGGCGCCCATGCCACCAAAAAAGAAGATGGCAAAAGAAACATAACTACCTACTTGCAGTGGTACCATGAACCCGGTCATCCGATCGAAGTTTTTGTTCCGGTCGTCAAAACCAACTTGAACGGAACACAAAACGACGTGGATTGGACCGATGATGCCTTTGCTTCAGTTACGGAACTCCAGGACTCGGCTGACAGATATTTTATCGGAACTACCCATGCAGTGCTGAGATTCTCACCGGAACAAACCTGGCCCAGAAAGCACGACATGTACGACAGTAGACTGCAGCCGTGGTTCCTTGATGCTGCAAGTTCTAAACACGATATCGCACTGATGATCGATAGAAGCGGTTCAGTATACGGAATAACGCTTGATTCAATAATGAAATTCGCAAAACATCTCATCAAACTCATTCCATCAAACTACCGTTTTAACGTTTTTCTCTTCAACAACAAGTTTACAGAACTGAAGAGCTGCTTTGGGAAGGGACCATTGCAAGCGGACGAGACCGTCAAAAGTGCTTTCATCGCCGGAATGAAGGATTTCGAGGCGGCAAATAGGAGCGATTTAAATGTGGCGCTGCAAAATGTTAAGGAACATTTCTTTAACTCGACGTTCGAAACAGAAGGTGAGCAGAACAAGCGGATGGCCATCCTGTTTACGGATGGAATGATGGAGTTTGATGTAGAGGAGCTGAAAGAAAGGGTGAAGGACATGTCCCTGAAGCTTCTGGTGCTGGACTTTGCAAGTCCCGTATCCCCGGGGCCTAATAAGGGTCTGCAGAAGATGACGTGTGAGGCAGGAGGACACTACGTTTTTGTAAAAAACATTGGAGACTGGTTCGCTGTGGTCGATATGTTCTTTGACACCGTCGCCGCTCGCTCAGTGACTGATATATCTGCCGTGGAAGGACAGGTTAGATGGTCCCAACCTACTGTCACATATTATAACGCCAGAGAAACAAGGAAGAGCATCATTCTGACCTCTCCTGTTTTTAAGAAAAATGAAACAACCAATTTACACTTACTCCAAGGCGTACTTGGAACAGATATTTTGTTGGATGATTTCACGTCCAACTTTGATTTAGACGCAGGGAGCCTGGCGTACGGGATTATTTCTTTGCGAAATGGGAAAGTCATAAACCACCCTAGGCTATTGTCCTCTGAAATTGTTCCCACGTTAGCTCAAGTCGAAGTTGAAGAGATGTCGGAAGTGCTCTACCCCATGCAATACCTCACTGACTCCCCGATCACTAAGATAGGACCTAAAATCATAGAACGGATAATCGACGGAACAATCGATCAGGTGAAGTATCAACTAGTTATTCCAGCAAACGATGCTGTTAAAGTTACGATGGACACTAAAAATCTAGAAGGCCAAGGGAGGCTCGGAAATCTTAACAACGATAATTTGTTCATTAGACCTTTCACAGATGAACAAACCATGAACAAGGACGCTGTAATACAGTGCGTCAGAGATCTCGGATCATGCGCTGATCCCAGGTTGCTTTCCTTAGCTCAAGATCTCATCATCACCAAATCAGTATTCAACAAATGGGAAGGAAACGACGAATCAGCCCACAAACTTGGTAACTTTCTAATAACCAGTAACGGTTTATTATGGAGTACGGTTAACATAACAGACTATAGGAGGGGTATAGCCAAGAACATTGCTGATTATTTGGAGTTTAGCGCAGATCCCGATAAGTTTACAGCAGAAACTCTTTTGGTGACAAGACCGTACGGAAAACCAATACATCTCTCAAGAAGTATAACTACAGATGAAACTGGAGGATCCGAGGTGGATCAACTGGTACTGGCTGTTTTGGGAGCGCGGATTGATAATACCATTATTTCCGCCAAAATTAAGCAATTGATCGATGGTTTGAGCCTGGATGAAAACTGGACCACATATCTTCTGGACCATAAAGGATATGTTCTCTACTCACAAAACGAAACGGCTGAATCCATATTTTTCGGAGAGGTGAACAGTGCAGTGTTTGGAATACTGGTAAAGGAAGAATACTACAGTAACAGGACCTTCTATGATAGGATCTGTACTCAGATCGGAGAGAAATCTGCAGGGCATAAGATTTCTCTGTTCGTGATGGACTTTGCTACAAAAGCTTTTTCTTTAATATTATCTGTAATCATTAATTCTCTAATGATGGTCGGTCGAGGGCTGGCCTTCATTATGCCTGAAGCCAAAATTGTGAAAAACTGCCGTCGACAAATCTTTGCCTACGAAAGAAACTTTGCTGTGTCAGACTTCCACCAGGACAAGTACTCGTGTGAGAGGACGAACGAGACTGCCTGCACCGGACAATACGCAGTGCTACCAGTCCAGACACAAACACACTCATGGTCTTCATCAGAGAAGACGACTCCACCTGTAAATGTCCGCTACCATTTCCCAGAATAGGCTGGAAAGTGGAAGGGTTAGAGTATTGTGAGTTGCAGGACTCTTCCGTGGCGACCTCCCTCAACAAGGACCTCATCTACGATGAGAAGCATCACCAGGAGGACTTGATGGAGAAAGTTTGTAGTGACCTTGAAGAGGAGGTAGAGGAGCAGTAGATTCATAGTAACCAGTAGTAACCACTATAGTAACCAGTAGTAACCACTATAGTAACCAGTAGTAACCACTGTAGTGACCTTGAAGAGGAGGTAGAGGAGCAGTAGATTTGTGGTTTTACATTTTATAACAGTTTAAAACATGATTTTACTACTTCCACTTCATAGAGTAGAAGCAAGGAAGTTTACAAAGGTGTCTAGTGTGAGCCATAACAGATACGTAGCTTTCTCAAGATCAAACATTGAGTGAAATGACCAGGACCCTCCACCGTGCCAGTAATAATATCAGAGCGGTTGGGTCGAGTTGGCTGAGAAAATTGTTTCCATTGCTATGGAGAGGAGGGCTTACTGCTTATCCTACGTTATGATATGTATAATGGATGCGATCCGAGTTGCAATTTAAGATGTTTTTGTGGTTTTGAGTTGACATTTTCAGTTGAAAAGTAAAATTTTAGAGTGAACATTATTATCTCTCTAGATAATTGGTATATCCAACAAATCTCAATTTTATCTTAATACATTCTCTATCAGTCTTGTCATGGAATTGTCTTATCATTGAGAATACTCTAAAACTACATCCTGTAAACGAGAGCGCGTCAGGGGACTCAATGAATTGTGATTGATTATCTTTATGAATGAAACTTTAACCAAAGATTTATAATTACACTCTTCACTGTATAGCACATCGATCAAGAAAATACACTGAATAGTTTCGGCGTGTGTCTGCTTTCATATTGTATTTGTCTCTTTCTCTCTCTCGAGTCTCAGCAGTTCTACAGGATTGAACCACGTCATCTTAATGAACCACGTCTAAAGTTAAACTACACTGTCTAAATCATACTGCGGTGTGAGCCACCAGGAGACTCACTGATTTGGTCCCGTAATCTAAATGCCGCCAAAGCGCCAATTAGGGACCATTTGTCCAAGGTTAAACCAGTCTCGATTCAGGTGCATTCTCATTCTAAGTAGGCGATCTAAAATCTACACTGCAGTGTCAGTGTCAAAGCTGCTTTCTTGTGGAGACTCTGAATATTTTGTACACAATTTAAATAGATTCATAGGTACATGGAGAAAGAGTCTTTGAGACTATTGCAGTATCGTTTAGTAGATAATTGTTAGGTAAGTTCTGTTGAGATATGAACAGAGCACAAATTTGCGAATATTTCAACGATTCGTAACTATTTCAAAGACGAGTTTCGGTGAACTCCTGTGTGCATAAAATCATCTCAACTTCGATCAAACCCCAAATTTAGCAATCTTTGTAATTATATCGATATAATTGTATGTCGTGATTAAGCTTAACTGCTAAATATAGCTTGGGAAGAGCAATCTTTGTATTTTCTATCCGGCAAACCTTGTATGATAAAGATTATAATATCCTGGATGTTGACTTTCTGACAGGCCTGGAACTTGCGCGCGCGCACGTGTCACCCAAATTACCACCCGCCGACCACCTGTATAACATACCTTTGTGCGGGATTAAACTGATAATAGCGGTCAATTAAGCCGGTAATTAGCCAAAGATCTATGACAACGGACCTGGAGCGGTAGCTGGCTTGGAAGTACTACCCAGTCCATGTGCCTAATAGTATCAATTATCAAGTGAGCTGCCATCTTGTGGCCTGCACCAACCCTCGCTTAGCGTATCATTGACGCCATTTCGTGGGTACATTTGCTGGTGGGTTATTCTTCTTCTTAGCCAGCACAATTCAGGCTGCTTACCTTGTAATATTCTCTATTATAATATGCTGTGCCGGCTATTCACTTGCTTAATTGTGTTATAGGTCACAAAATATAACGTGAACAAGGGTATTATATCGGTGACGTGGGTATAAACTCTGTTCAAAGTATGATATAATACGTGACACCCAGGGGTACATTAGGATTCGATTGTCATCCTTGACCATTGTTCACCAGTTTCCTAACAAAGCTCCAAGCTGGGCACGTGTGGTATTTTAAAGGCACGTGACCACATTTCACGACTCACGTGACCACATTTCACGACTCACGTGTTAGCAAACTATTACAAAGGGGAAAGATGGCAACTTGTCTTTTATGTGGTCCTGAGTTTTGGTATTTTATGCGATTTAGGGGGTTTACAAAACCCGTTTATGTTTATACAGCTACTTTTACATATGTTGCATATGTTAACTCTGTAGCTAATGAGGGATACGACTAAACCTCAACCGTTTTTCCTTTTGTCCGAACGTTTAACATAAACACACCCTCTTTTTCTCCGTTCCTACTAACTCATTTCCCTTCTTCAACATAAACACACCCTCTTTTTCTCCGTTCCTACTAACTCATTTCCCTTAACACACCCTCTTTTTCTCCGTTCCTACTAACTCATTTCCCTTAACACACCCTCTTTTTCTCCGTTCCTACTAACTCATTTCCCTTAACACACCCTCTTTTTCTCCGTTCCTACTAACTCATTTCCCTTAACACACCCTCTTTTTCTCCGTTCCTACTAACTCATTTCCCTTAACACACCCTCTTTTTCTCCGTTCCTACTAACTCATTTCCCTTAACACACCCTCTTTTTCTCCGTTCCTACTAACTCATTTCCCTTAACACACCCTCTTTTTCTCCGTTCCTACTAACTCATTTCCCTTAACACACCCTCTTTTTCTCCGTTCCTACTAACTCATTTCCCTTAACACACCCTCTTTTTCTCCGTTCCTACTAACTCATTTCCCTTAACACACCCTCTTTTTCTCCGTTCCTACTAACTCATTTCCCTTAACACACCCTCTTTTTCTCCGTTCCTACTAACTCATTTCCCTTAACACACCCTCTTTTTCTCCGTTCCTACTAACTCATTTCCCTTAACACACCCTCTTTTTCTCCGTTCCTACTAACTCATTTCCCTTAACACACCCTCTTTTTCTCCGTTCCTACTAACTCATTTCCCTTAACACACCCTCTTTTTCTCCGTTCCTACTAACTCATTTCCCTTAACACACCCTCTTTTTCTCCGTTCCTACTAACTCATTTCCCTTAACACACCCTCTTTTTCTCCGTTCCTACTAACTCATTTCCCTTAACACACCCTCTTTTTCTCCGTTCCTACTAACTCATTTCCCTTAACACACCCTCTTTTTCTCCGTTCCTACTAACTCATTTCCCTTCTTCAACATAAACACACCCTCTTTTTCTCCGTTCCTACTAACTCATTTCCCTTAACACACCCTCTTTTTCTCCGTTCCTACTAACTCATTTCCCTTAACACACCCTCTTTTTCTCCGTTCCTACTAACTCATTTCCCTTAACACACCCTCTTTTTCTCCGTTCCTACTAACTCGTTTCCCTTAACACACCCTCTTTTTCTCCGTTCCTACTAACTCATTTCCCTAAACACACCCTCTTTTTCTCCGTTCCTACTAACTCATTTCCCTTAACACACCCTCTTTTTCTCCGTTCCTACTAACTCATTTCCCTTAACACACCCTCTTTTTCTCCGTTCCTACTAACTCATTTCCCTTAACACACCCTCTTTTTCTCCGTTCCTACTAACTCATTTCCCTTAACACACCCTCTTTTTCTCCGTTCCTACTAACTCATTTCCCTTAACACACCCTCTTTTTCTCCGTTCCTACTAACTCATTTCCCTTAACACACCCTCTTTTTCTCCGTTCCTACTAACTCATTTCCCTTAACACACCCTCTTTTTCTCCGTTCCTACTAACTCATTTCCCTTAACACACCCTCTTTTTCTCCGTTCCTACTAACTCATTTCCCTTAACACACCCTCTTTTTCTCCGTTCCTACTAACTCATTTCCCTTAACACACCCTCTTTTTCTCCGTTCCTACTAACTCATTTCCCATGTTTAGTCTGACGATCGACTATTTTCATGCTCATAAGATGATGATGATGCAGTTTCTCTCTCTGTTTGGTTGGATGATGTTCACATATCATTTTCACGGGTCTTTTGCTAACAAGGATTTCCAAAATAACGTCAACGAATTTGTTAAGGTAAGACCTTGTGGTACACATATAATAGTTATAATTTACTATTACTAATAGCTATCTGTAATACTGGTGCAATTTTCAGCATTTCACTTTATCCACTTCCCATTATTTCATTTTACATTATTCCCCAATAATACGTTAATCAACTAATTTTCAGAGCATCAACTGTACGTTGCAGATGTTCCACGAGAACGCGACCGCTTTCTCCACGCTGGACAAGAGCTACTCAGAGATACAGAAAACTGTCAGCCTGTTTGAGGACACCCACTGGAGAAACATTCTCTACCAAATCAGTAACCGAACTAACAATATAACAAAAGCACGACGACGGAGCTTACTGCAAAGGGCAGAGGTCTTGGAAAACAAAATATCGCAGTATGTGAAAAGCACAGCCGAGCCGAGTTATAACGACAGCGACTTTCGGAGGAAGGGTAAGGAAGGTTTCACGACTCCCTACCAGTGGTACTATCCATACCACCGGTCAAGTGACGTTTTCCTACCCATTGTCAAAACAACCGACAACGCCACCAACAACGATATCTTCTGGACAGAGAACCTGGTGGATATCAACCTCCCTCCCTCCAACGGCTACTTTATAGGTACCGTTAACAGTGTGCTGCGCTTCTACCCGGGCACCGTGTGGCCCCAGCAGTATGACATGTACGATGTTAGACATCAGTCTTGGTTTCTACAAGCGGCTAGTTCTAAACATGATATTGCCTTAGTGATTGATAGGAGTGGGTCTCTGTATGGGAGACCTCTGAAGACTATAAAGGGGATTGCTAGGTTGATAATTAAACTCATACCTGCTAACCACAGGTTCAATGTTTTCCTCTTCAATAACGAAACAGTTCCTCTTAAAGAGTGTTATGGGATGGAGCCTCTACCGGCTAACGCCTCAGTAAAAAGCGCCATGTTGGTGGAGCTAGACCGGATTGAAGCTACACAACCGGGGTTGTTCAATGACGCTCTGCTAAAATTGGAGAAGTCTTTCTTTGCAAAATCAGACAGGGACAAAACCTGTAAGAAAATGATCATCCTCTTCACCGATGGCAAGATAGACTTCGACCTCAAAAAAGTGCAAGAAACACTGAAACGTTTAAAGCTGAGTCTACTAGTGTTGAATTTTTCCAGCCCCAGCTCGTTTGGCCCGAACCAGAATCTCCGGGAGATGACATGTCAGGTTGGGGGACGCTTCGTGTTTGTTAACAGGATAGGGGACTATTTCAAGGCGGCAGACATGTTCTTTGATACGGTGTGCTCTCGTTCTGTCGGGAACATTGAGGCTGTTTCACCTCGGTGGTCAAATCCTATCGTGACATTTTACAACAAAAAGAGCATGATAGTTTCTTATCCTCTGTTCAACAAGACGGGAACAGCAAATATCTTGCAGGGTGTACTGGGAACAGAGATTTTGTTGGATGAGTTCGTTTCAGACTTCAGTCTTGAGGCTGGTGGTCTGGCCTATGGGATAATTTCTTTGCCAAACGGTAAAGTTATCAACCATCCTAGACTGATTTCATCTGATATAGTGCCTACGTTAGCTCAAGCCAGTGTTGAATCTGGTGAAATTCTGTATCCCTCCGAGATTATGGAGAGTTCCCCGATAACAAAAATACAATTTCCTGTGATAGAAGAGACTATAGACGGTACAATCGGTCAGTTGAAGTTTCAACTTGTCGTGCCTGAGAATGATGCCTACAATGTATCAATAAATAAGATTAAAAAAGAGATCGAAACTGCGGACGAAATTATTTACGACAACTATGGGGAAACGTTGTTTATACGACCCATAGAGAAAACGCTACACCCATTTAACTTCAAAGAGGAGCGAGTGTCCATGTTTGCCTTTGAAGCGTGCGGAGAAGGATGGCTTAAAACGGAAACACTCCGGAGAAATTGTCCCGACCACCAGAAGTACGTTCTCCCCATAGTCCGAGACGTGGTCGTGGCTAGAACTACGGTCAACTCGTGGAAGAAACTTGAAGACGCCAACAAACAAACATTCACCAGGGGAAACTTTCTACTTTCCAGAAACGGAGTACTGTGGAGCAATCTGTCTTACTACAGGAACGCGGTTCCTAACAAGGTTCCCGAGTACTTGGAGTTCAGTGCAGACCCTAAAAAGTTCCCAACTGGTACTCTGTTAGTGACTCGACCCATCAAGAACAGTATGCACCTTAGTAAGAGTGTAAACATCAATTACAAGGAGGGATACACTGTAGCCAGGGGAGATAAACAAAGTAACCAGAGTAACCAAAGTAACCGGATAGTTGTATCAGTTATGGGTGTCGCACTTAAGTACCCTCGATTTTCAGCGGTTATAGATAAACTGCAGGAAGAGTTTAGCCTGGATAATGAAAACTATCAGTTGTATTTACTGGACCACAAGGGTTACATAGTGCACTCTTCCCTGTCAAATGAGGTGGCGTTCTTTGGGGATGTTAACAGTGCCTTGTTTGATATCCTCGTTAAACACGGCTACTTTATTAAGAAGACTTTTAAAGATTGTCTATGTACAAAGGAAGTTGAGTTTAAATCAGAGGGTCAGAGACTATCTTTGTTCATTGTACAGCTAATAGCGAAATTTATCTCTTCCGCTGTGGCTGTTGCCGTGAGTTCTCTTTCTTTGATAAGAGAAGCCTTTTCATTCATAATGCCTGAGACCAAAATGGTAGAACAATGCTGCCGGACCATTTACGCTTACGAGCGGAACTTCACAGTCAGCAATTACAGGGGGGATGAGTATAACTTTTGTCCGAGAGACAAAGAAACTCACTGTACGGAGAGGTACGCCATACAACATGTTCCGAACACTAACTTACTCCTTGTTCTGACCATTAAAAGAGACAATCCGAACTGTAATTGCAGGCAGGTTCCCCAGTCAAGACTAGGTCCTGTGGTGAGGGTCTCCGATTGTCATGATGATTTAAAGGGTTCTGAGGGGTCGCTTAATGAGGATTTGTGTTACGATGACGTCACACTTGGTGATGATGACGTCACACTTGGTGGTCTGTCTGATGATGAAACTTGTGATGGAATAACCCCCAAACCCACTTTCTAATGTACTATTTTTCAGTTGAACATGTTATTATAAGTTCTATTGATTTTATTTTTAATCATTTATTACGTTAAGGGATATGTTTGTTTGTTCGGAAGCTAAATTAGAAATTGGTGAGGACTGCTTGAACAATACATAAACTGTTGATAATCTATAAGTATTTTACCGAAAGAGCTCGATTTAACCAAAGGTTGTTTTCGGTAAAATATTGAAAACTCTATTCAATTTTAATTGATTTAAAAACAGTCGAACCATGTCGCTGCGTGAAAATCTATTTAAAAACCCAAATATATCTTTTGTACCTGAGAGGGCGGGTATCACCAATCTGGGAACATTCGTTGTTGAGAGTGTGGACAAACTTGTGGATGTCCTGTTTTTCGGAGTGTTTGACGGTGGCGGGTTTTCCTTGCCACTCCCGAGCTAGCTGGAGCCGTTTCTTGGAACGTGGTATTGAATATTCTGCGGGGGATGTAGTGGGTGAGTGGGGGGGGGGGGGGGGGGGGGAATGGGGATGTAGTGGGTGAGTATAGGTTGGAAAATCACCGTCCGAACTTGATTTGGGTTCTATATAATGGAGCTTACCCTTAATTATTTTTCAAACGTCAAGAATCCACAAATTGAAAAGGATGAAAACGTAATACATACGTGTAAAATATAATAAATTCTAATAAAGTTATAAGGTGCATCAAACTACAACATAACTTTAAGCTACTGAAGACTTATAGTATAAGGTAAGTTAAAGTAAGTATTACTAATTAGTAATTACTTAAGTTAAAGAGTACCAACCAGCAATGAAGAATCTGGCTCGTTTGAGTGACCCAGTCCCCTCGTGGTACCAAACCTCTGGTTTCTCCTCCCCGTCATCTCCATCTTCTTGCATCTCTTGTTCAGCCACTAGATCTTTGTGAGTTGTTACTCCTGACAACTTGCCTGGTGGGGGAGGAGGGTTATAATTTAAATTGCTCTTTTAATTTTACTGAACCTTTCATAGGTTCATTTAATGAAAATAAACATCAAAAATTATCAGCTTTCATTTAACCTGGCTCCTTGATAGTTTGTGATGAAAAATAAAACCGGATGTTAATGTAATTTAATTAATTATGTTAATTACCGGCTGCGACAAGTAATTGTTTAAGTCGTTCTCTCCTCTCGTATGGGCCTTCTCCAAACAAACAAATTGGTTCCTCCATCTCCCTCAACATTGCTTTCACCTGCACAACGCAAAGTGAGTTTTCAAAATATAAACTTATTTTGAGCCTTGACGTTAGTCAACTTTGACAGTAATTGGACCAGATTAACAAGATCTGTTGAAATTAGGTTTAAAATATCTAGAAATTGAGTAGATGAAGGGCTGTTTACCCGTATGTCCTCAGTAGGTACAGCAATGTTCCTAGCAGCTTTCTTCTTAGCTAGTTCCTCCCACAACTCGGCTTGGTGCTCGTCTACCAGGGTTTGTACCCCCGACATGTCTGAAAGGGAATGTAAATGCTGAAAAAGTAAATCATTTGATCACGTCATGCACATTGTACACAGCATTATATAATTTATGGCAATTTTGACAGAAAAACTTAATACTCACATTTTACAGCACTCAGAAAGGAAGCAATAAAAACTTACCCTCCTCCCCAGAATCATCACTCTCGGTATCACTTTTCTCCGTAGAGAACTCTACCATCGGCTCCCCTTCCTCAGCAGCTGGTTTTGGAGCTGGAGCATCGAGGACTGTTTTGCTTTCCTCCAACGACCCAAAGTGTATCCTGTCCTTCTTGAAGTTGAGCTTAGTGACTCGTTCGTCATCGTCCGAATCTGACATGGCTACTGGCAAAACATTCGGTAAGATTTAACATGATCAGCAGAAACATGGGTATAAATCGTCTAATAACAATGTTTTATCTCAGAAATTGAGCATCTTTAGTATGATCATGATTGGATTTTGATGTTCGCATTAAGACAAATGATGGTCATATAAAAGTAACTTCAATAAATTAAGAAAGACGGTAGTAAAACATGGCTAATTTCACGATCACAGAAAAAAGAGCATAAAATAGCAAAATTTCAGATTAGAGCCATTACTTGAAGCACGAGCGGTGCACGAAGCGACTGACGGCAGCACTTGCTAAGAAAGCGTTTCATAACGAAACTACTTGTTTGCCTACACCTCTAAATCTCCTCGAACGGCACAAGATTACCGTTACCGAGACGGGCTTTCGGCCGAATCTAGCCGTTTGGGCGAGAGAACGTCCTTTTCGGTGCGAAAACTGAAGGCCACAGCGTCTACATCTAGAGAGAAAGATCGCGTTCTGACACCAGACGAGCTCACGTCTTGCTTTCCACAGGCATTGTAACTCTGTGACTCCAGCTCCTCCACTAACGTGTGTTCCTGCCCCAGCTCCAGGACTCCAGCTCCTCCACTAACGTGTGTTCCTGCCCCAGCTCCAGGACCCTAACTCCTCCACTAACGTGTGTTCCTGCCCCAGCTCCAGGACCCTAACTCTTCCACTAACGTGTGTTCCTGCCCCAGCTCCAGGACTCTAACTCCTCCACTAACGTGTGTTCCTGCCCCAGCTCCAGGACTCTAACTCCTCCACTAACGTGTGTTCCTGTCCCAGCTCCAGGACTCCAGCTCCTCCACTAACGTGTGTTCCTGCCCCAACTCCAGGACCCTAACTCCTCCACTAACGTGTGTTCCTGTCCCAGCTCCAGGACCCTAACTCCTCCACTAACGTGTGTTCCTGCCCCAGCTCCAGGACCCTAACTCCTCCACTAACGTGTGTTCCTGCCCCAGCTCCAGGACTCTAACTCCTCCACTAACGTGTGTTCCTGCCCCAGCTCCAGGACTCCAGCTCCTCCACTAACGTGTGTTCCTGCCCCAACTCCAGGACCCTAACTCCTCCACTAACGTGTGTTCCTGCCCCAACTCCAGGACTCTAACTCCTCCACTAACGTGTGTTCCTGCCCCAGCTCCAGGACTCTAACTCCTCCACTAACGTGTGTTCCTGCCCCAGCTCCAGGACCCTAACTCCTCCACTAACGTGTGTTCCTGCCCCAGCTCCAGGACCCTAACTCCTCCACTAACGTGTGTTCCTGCCCCAGCTCCAGGACCCTAACTCCTCCACTAACGTGTGTTCCTGCCCCAGCTCCAGGACTCTAACTCCTCCACTAACGTGTGTTCCTGCCCCAACTCCAGGACCCTAACTCCTCCACTAACGTGTGTTCCTGCCCCAGCTCCAGGACTCTAACTCCTCCACTAACGTGTGTTCCTGCCCCAACTCCAGGACCCTAACTCCTCCACTAACGTGTGTTCCTGCCCCAGCTCCAGGACTCTAACTCCTCCACTAACGTGTGTTCCTGCCCCAGCTCCAGGACCCTAACTCCTCAACTAATGTGTGTTCCTGCCCCAGCTCCAGGACTCTAACTCCTCCACTAACGTGTGTTCCTGCCCCAACTCCAGGACTCTAACTCCTCAACTAATGTGTGTTCCTGCCCCAGCTCCAGGACTCTAACTCCTCCACTAACGTGTGTTCCTGCCCCAACTCCAGGACTCTAACTCCTCAACTAATGTGTGTTCCTGCCCCAGCTCCAGGACCCTAACTCCTCCACTAACGTGTGTTCCTGCCCCAGCTCCAGGACCCTAACTTCTCCACTAACGTGTGTTCCTGCCCCAGCTCCAGGACTCTAACTCCTCAACTAACGTGTGTTCCTGCCCCAGCTCCAGGACCCTAACTCCTCCACTAACGTGTGTTCCTGCCCCAGCTCCAGGACTCTAACTCCTCCACTAACGTGTGTTCCTGCCCCAACTCCAGGACCCTAACTCCTCCACTAACGTGTGTTCCTGCCCCAGCTCCAGGACTCTAACTCCTCCACTAACGTGTGTTCCTGCCCCAGCTCCAGGACCCTAACTTCTCCACTAACGTGTGTTCCTGCCCCAGCTCCAGGACCCTAACTCCTCCACTAACGTGTGTTCCTGCCCCAACTCCAGGACCCTAACTCCTCCACTAACGTGTGTTCCTGCCCCAGCTCCAGGACCCTAACTCCTCCACTAACGTGTGTTCCTGCCCCAGCTCCAGCACCCTAACTCCTCCACTAACGTGTGTTCCTGCCCCAGCTCCAGGACCCTAACTCCTCCACTAACGTGTGTTCCTGCCCCAGCTCCAGGACCCTAACTCCTCCACTAACGTGTGTTCCTGCCCCAGCTCCAGGACCCTAACTCCTCCACTAACGTGTGTTCCTGCCCCAGCTCCAGGACCCTAACTCCTCCACTAACGTGTGTTCCTGCCCCAGCTCCAGGACCCTAACTCCTCCACTAACGTGTGTTCCTGCCCCAGCTCCAGGACCCTAACTCCTCCACTAACGTGTGTTCCTGCCCCAGCTCCAGGACCCTAACTCCTCCACTAACGTGTGTTCCTGCCCCAACTCCAGGACCCTAACTCCTCCACTAACGTGTGTTCCTGCCCCAGCTCCAGGACCCTAACTCCTCCACTAACGTGTGTTCCTGCCCCAACTCCAGGACCCTAACTCCTCCACTAACGTGTGTTCCTGCCCCAGCTCCAGGACCCTAACTCCTCCACTAACGTGTGTTCCTGCCCCAGCTCCAGGACCCAACTCTCCAGTTGAGTAAACGCAGCATAGTCCATCACCAGCTTGGTGTGTTGTAATATTGCTTTGGGGTGTACTGTCTCTGAGGTGAGCAGGTCTACACCTGGGTGAGAGAGGAATTTGTTAGGGACAACTTCTTCTTTTTTTTCATTTGTTAGGGAAAACTTATTTTAGATATTATGTGATATGTCGAATGAGTAAATCGTTAACATAGAAGCACGGTTCAGACTTGATGATTTGAAAATGAACGACTTGTTTGAACGATTGATGAGAGTATAGATACATTTTTGGATTTAGATTAATTCGATGTAATGGGTCCAAGTTACTGCGGACATAGTTCACTATGTGTTTACCGTGTTTGGGTGCCCATCATATTTTACAGATGGGGGCGATATTTTGAACGATTCTATTTTATATTCATCTATTGCTGTACTCTGTAAAATTTGAAATGTATTTAGTAAAATAACCCAGAATACCTGGATGAAAACAGATTTCTGTGTTCTGAGAAGCGCTCAGTCCTTCATACCCGGACACAAACAGAACACTCTCAGTGTTGAGCAACTCTTTAAATCCTATCAGTGAGGGGATCGTGAAGTTTTGTAGACTGTCCACTAGATAGAAGTCACCTTGTGCGTGTTTTGAGGTACATATTGCCTGCGGAGTAAGTTCGATTAATTAATTAATTAAGTAATTAACTGCTCAATCCGGTGATAATCTGAATGTAATATCTAGGGACTTTAATCAGACAATAGGATTTAGGATGAAAACGATGAGAACTACGGACTGACACTTCGACATTTTCTATACATACAAATTTTCTTATTGGCAGTGGTTTAAACCTAAAAAACAGTGTATCTTAACAAAGCACACGAGGTGCTAACATAAAGTGTTAAATAACAAACTCACTGAGAAACCAGCAGCAAGTACGTTGAGATCAATATCATAACCATGGTCACGAGGTCTCCTACCGAGGGGTCTGCCTCCAAACTTGAAGTGAGGGGCTCTTTTATCCTTCATCCTGGCTGCACCGGTACCCTGTTAGAGAGGGATATGAAGAATATGAATGGTAATTGGTAGTTGGTAATGAGAGTGAATATGTCCAATAACTTTATCGATAATTAATTAATTAATTGATTAATATTATACTTACTTATTAGAGTCATTATCATGACTTATCATAACGTACATGCAAATTAAAACCTACCTTCTGAGGTCGCAACTTCCTGCCACTCCCCGGCAGTTCACTCCTCACTAAAACCTACCTTCTGAGGTCGCAACTTCCTGCCACTCCCTGGCAGTTCACTCCTCACTAAAATCTACCTTCTGAGGTCGCAACTTCCTGCCACTCCCCGGCAGTTCACTCCTCACTAAAACCTACCTTCTGAGGTCGCAACTTCCTGCCACTCCCAGGCAGCTCACTCCTCACTAAAACCTACCTTCTGAGGTCGCAACTTCCTGCCACTCCCTGGCAGTTCACTCCTCACTAAAATCTACCTTCTGAGGTCGCAACTTCCTGCCACTCCCCGGCAGTTCACTCCTCACTAAAACCTACCTTCTGAGGTCGCAACTTATTGCCACCCCCCGGCAGTTCACTCCTCACTAAAACCTACCTTCTGAGGTCGCAACTTCCTGCCACTCCCTGGCAGTTCACTCCTCACTAAAACCTACCTTCTGAGGTCGCAACTTCCTGCCACTCCCTGGCAGTTCACTCCTCACTAAAACCTACCTTCTGAGGTCGCAACTTCCTGCCACTCCCCGGCAGTTCACTCCTCACTAAAATCTACCTTCTGAGGTCGCAACTTCCTGCCACTCCCCGGCAGTTCACTCCTCACTAAAACCTACCTTCTGAGGTCGCAACTTCCTGCCACTCCCCGGCAGTTCACTCCTCACTAAAACCTACCTTCTGAGGTCGCAACTTATTGCCACCCCCCGGCAGTTCACTCCTCACTAAAACCTACCTTCTGAGGTCGCAACTTCCTGCCACTCCCCGGCAGTTCACTCCTCACTAAAACCTACCTTCTGAGGTCGCAACTTCCTGCCACTCCCCGGCAGTTCACTCCTCACTAAAACCTACCTTCTGAGGTCGCAACTTCCTGCCACTCCCCGGCAGTTCACTCCTCTAAAACCTACCTTCTGAGGTCGCAACTTCCTGCCACTCCCTGGCAGTTCACTCCTCACTAAAACCTACCTTCTGAGGTCGCAACTTCCTGCCACTCCCCGGCAGTTCACTCCTCACTAAAACCTACCTTCTGAGGTCGCAACTTATTGCCACTCCCCGGCAGTTCACTCCTCACTAAAACCTACCTTCTGAGGTCGCAACTTCCTGCCACTCCCCGGCAGTTCACTCCTCACTAAAACCTACCTTCTGAGGTCGCAACTTCCTGCCACTCCCCGGCAGTTCACTCCTCATGTAAGCGATCTCATCCTCTCTGACACACTGATCTTGCCACTTTACTGTCTCGTGGATAAGGTCTATCCGAGGGTTTGCGCTGAACACCACCGGGTGCAGCTCCACTAGCCCTGTTGTTTTATTTATTAAATTTAATTATTTAATTACATAATTATTATTCATTATTATAATTGTTATTCAGCTATGCATTTCATTTATCGATAAATATTCCTTGCTCCTACATTAATTCCATGTCATAAACACTTTTTTAGTTTAAGTAAATGGTAGCCATAAGTTTGTGACTATTGAAATCTCACCGCGCTTGCTGAGATCTGTAAAGCTGTGTAACTTTGTGACTATTGTGACTATTTGTGACTATAAGTTTGTGACTATTGAAATCTCACCCCGCTTGCTGAGATCTGTAAAGCTGTGTAACCAGGCATGTCGGGGAGGACGGAACCGTCTGAAGGCCTCGTGGACCTGGAGAAGGGAACTAACGTTTTACTGAGTTTTAATACTTTCAACACTACTATATAACAAATAATTTGAGCATGAATACGAAGTTGTTACTTTGAAACGTCGTTCATCCTAACAGTGCAGTATAATTTGTCGCAAAAAATCAGAATAATCAGAAATTATTTGGAACTCCCAAAAACTGTCTAACGTTTTACCAGGACAAAGGTTTTGTGAATATTTGTGCATTAAATTTGCAATAGGACAACTGTGAGGTTACTGTCTGTTATTGTAAAATTCCGTACTTTAAATTTGGACCTTATTAATTATTTATTGCATTTGCATTTGTAGACAGGACATTTGATTAATTGTTGAAACAAAATATCATATTCACTGTACGTAACCCTGCGACAATTTAGCCGGCCTCAGATTTGTCAGTTAGATCTTAAGGTTGTCAACCCTAGTGAATGTGATGCTTGATACCTTATGTAATATTTATCCAGGCAGTATAAAATGTGCTCCCATTGATAATAATCGTATGTTGGTGTAGTGTAGAGCTCGAATAGTAGAGTTGAAATGTAACCTCAAGGATGGTTCACAAATTACGTAAGCCTGGGGGGGGGGGGGGGGGGGGCAGAGAGGTTTGGAAGAGCTTTGTTATGCCCAGAGTCCCAGACAATAGCTTATAGCTAGATGTATATAGTGACTTGCGGAGGGGTTTACGTAACATGTGAATGATCTGTTACAGAATAAGAACTAGAGGTTAAATAGTACCGCAGCTATTTTGGTCTTGAATGATATTTTCTAAGTTATAGTCTCTTTGTGTGTTTCTTGTTTATGAACAAAGACAACATCTTGTCCTACAGTAGGGGGACCTCATTAGACGGTCAGGTGACGTAGTTATGACGTAGGTCACGTGACGTAGTTATGACGTAGGTAGAGTTTGTGCTACAACATGGAAAAATACTTATGTGAATAGTGTCAGTGACAACGTGGAATTAGACAGTAGACGGTACCTATGCTTGCAGAGTTCTTTCTCTATTTCTGTCCTCATCCTTATTTTCACCTTACTAAGCTTTTAAGCTTTAAGACCTTGTTTGTCAGTGTTGTACATCGATAATTTGGTTTAAATGAAAAATAGTGTCCTGTTCCGGCAAAAACTATCACAGCATTTTATTTATTTTGGAACCTTTTCATTTTATTCACTTATCTAATTTCCAACTCACTGTGAGAGTCCTGGTATAGAACAGGTCGGAAGACATGGATATAAGCTCTCCTTCCTGTTCTACAGTTTCTGGAACATTTCTATCCTGATCGGCGGTCTCCTCTGAAAAATATTTGATAGTAATCGCAGATTTCATTTTCATGGTATTATAACCAATCTTTATCATGAAAGATTTCTAAGGTTAAGCTTTACTGGGTTTATGGGTTATCCAGCTTATGATTATGCAAAGCAAGTCCACAAAGTAGCGTGTGGTTTAATTAAGTAAAGGAGCACACGTGGCTGGGAGGGGGGCAGGGACAAAAGGAAATCGCGGCATGTACGGAATCGCGATTTTTCCCATTATTTGCGACAAATTTTGTGTATAGTTTAATGTATAGCCTGTTAAAAATCGCGGTATCGCGATTTTTGGCCAAAATAATCGCGAAATCCTTTTGTCCCTGGAGGGGGGGGGGGGGGGGAGCTGGGAGGGGGGGGGGGGGGGGGGGATATTCTGATAACTTACCAGCAGATTTAACATTGTTCCCGACTGCTGCCACACTACTGTTCCGGATCGAACCATTGAGTTGGGTTCTCGCGTTTGATAGCCGTAGCTGCAGGAGTCGACAACATATTCTATTCATGATCTATGTAATAGAGGGGTTACAGTCACCAAATTATTAAAATTTAAATATTGAGATATAATATGCTACATGACAATGCCATCCTTTTGGTGACACCTTTTATTTACAAAATTCCTCAATATAGTACAGTCAAATCCGTCCTAATTTAAGCCTTTGTCCCGTTAAAATCGCTTTGTTGCGAATTTTGTCCGACAAAAAGACGGATTTGACTGTACTAATATCCGATGTAATGATGTAGGAATGAGTAATGAAGGTAGGAGATATTATTACATTGCTGAGTAAGGACAGAGGCCGGAAACCCAGCTGTATCCGTACAATGATAAGAAATTTCTATAACCTCGCAGTTAATTATAACGCAAATTATAAGTGGGTATGGAGCGTGTGACTATTCATGGAGGGAACAAATTAAAGTATGCATCAGACAAAATTTGTAAAGGAATGCAAATAATAAAACAGTCAAATTGTGTAATCATCCAGAACCGACACATAATCATGAGTTATAAGTATCAAGGTTCAGACATTTGTAGCCTATGCTTGGTACATCGTGGCTCAGGACGTTGTCCCCCAGAACCTCTAGCCCCATCAGAGTAAGAGTTAGGGTTATAGTTAAGATTAGGGTAAGAATAAGAGTTAGAGTTTGGTTAGGCATACAATCTGGCTAATGATTAGATTTAATACAAGGCTCCTGGGCCGAGGCACGAGCTTCTTGGGCAGAACATAGTAAAACTTCGTGAAACATTATTGCTCCGTGCGCGGCTTGGGTGGGGTCCCGCATGGAACTAAACAAAGCGTCATGACGCAGCTGCTCTGACGCAGATCAATTGTTTAATTACAAACGGTGCAGAGTGCAGACGCAGTTTAACGTAAAATTAATTCATTAAAACTCGCATATCGATAAAAATTAAAATGCTGCCTCTCAATATCCAAATTTGTCGTTCAGTTTCGTTTTACCATCTCCAGATTGACCGACAGGGGGCGTCCAGTTAACAAAGTTTTCGTCGTTTACGTCATCCTCCCAATTGACGTTATCTAACAGGGTGGGATTTTGAGGAACTGGTTTTTTGGCTTTCTTTTTTGGAGGTTTTTTAAATTGTTTAGGAGATCTCGCCGTGCTATCAGCTGCGATATTATTGGAAGAGTCGGGCGTATTATCCCTAGGCTCACTGACGCCTGTCACTTCGGGTTCTGTTTCTGCACTAAATTCTGTTATTTCGGTTATTTTCTCAGATGTTAATCTACTCTCCTGATCGGCACCTTCACCCGCTGTTGAATCTGACTTTTGTTCTGATATTGGTAGTATAATTCCTGGTTTTTCGGTGTTTGCTGTGGGTTGTCGCGACTTTAATGACATGTTAATTTTAATCTTCTTTGAAGGTTGTAAAGTTTTAGTCTGCACAGGAAGCGTAGTTGATGAAGGGGTAGGTTTGGACACTTTCCCAACTTTTCCCGTCGTTACATTACTCGGTAGTGCAGACAACCTCTTAACCTGGATTAAATGCCAATTAATACAGACATGCTTAGAGATTTACTAATCCCTTATATTCTTACATAAAGCATTAATATTGAAATTCCTGTCCAATCACCAATGAATCAGTACAAAGTAACCTAAAGTAAGTAACAAGGTTCAGTAACATTGTTAAATCGGTGAATAGGAGTAATTCATTTCATTCACACCAATACATGAATCTAAGATGAGAAGTACGAATGAGTCGGACTTTTCAATTTACTCGTATCGTACGTACTTTTCAATTCTACTGAAAAGTTCTCCTTCTAGAAATCGATGGAAGAGTTCTAAATCGCTTGTTACGGACTAATATTGAGCGTTTTCAAAAACTTGTGTTTCTATATTCCAATCGTCGATTAACTTAGAGTTTAACTTTAAGAGAAACAAGCTGTTTAAATAAGTAAATTGTCTAGTAATTTTGTAGAATTTTTGTTTTACTTTTAAATGCTTGCCTGGCCTAAGAATTCTGTGTTTAATTTGTTCGCGAACGGTATATTTTGTCTAACATCGGCAATTAAAATTACATTTTACAACGGCCCCGATGATAATAATTCAAAAACAAAAAAATTCTATCTGAATCGTACGTCGTATGAGTCGGACTTTTCAAAGTTGCGTACAAGTACGTACTTTTCCCCCTAAACGAGTCCGTACTTCTCATCTTAGACATGAATAGTCATGGAATGATAGTCTCGTGTTCTTGACAGCCATAAAAGGTCGAAAGACCTGGCAAATATGAAGGGCATGGTTATATAATGTAATTGTCACCTCGGGTAATGCTATAGGTTTCGACATTTCACACAGTTTCTCCAGCTTGACACGGCTTTGTTTCAGATCATGCAGTCTCTTCTTCATCTCCTTCAGAGCCCCTGGTGGTGTTGTGGTGTTGTTGTGGTGTTGTTGTGGTGTTGTTGTTGTGGTGTTGTTGTTGTGGTGTGGTGGTGTTGTTGTGGTGTTGTTGTGGTGTTGTGGTGGTGTTGTTGTGGTGTTTTGGTGTTGTTGTGGTGGTGTTGTTGTTGTGGTGTTGTAGTGGTGTTGTGATGGTGTTGTAGTGGTGTTGTAGTGGTGTTGTTGTGGTGTTGTGGTGGTGTTGTTGTTGTGGTGTTGTAGTGGTGTTGTGGTGTTGTAGTGGTGTTGTTGTGGTGTTGTTGTTGTGGTGTTGTTGTGGTGTTGTTGTGGTGGTGTTGTGATGTTGTGGTGTTGTAGTGGTGTTGTTGTGGTGTTGTTGTTGTGGTGTTGTTGTGGTGTTGTTGTGGTGGTGTTGTGATGTTGTGGTGGTGTTGTTGTGGTGTTGTTGTGGTGTTGTTGTGGTGTTGTTGTAGTGTTGTTGTAGTGTTGTTGTGGTGTTGTTGTGGTGTTGTTGTGGTGTTGTTGTGGTGTTGTTGTGGTGTTGTTGTGGTGTTGTCGTGGTGTTGTCGTGGTGTTGTCGCGGTGTTGTCGTGGTGTTGTTGTGGTGTTGTTTTTGTGGTGTTGTTGTTGTGGTGTTGTTGTGGTGTTATTGTGGTGTTATTGTGGTGTTGTTGTGGTGTTGTTGTGGTGTTGTTGTGGTGTTGTAGTGGTGTTGTAGTGGTGTTGTGGTGTTGTTGTTGTGTTGTTGTTGTTGTGTTGTTGTTGTGTTGTTGTTGTGGTGTTGTTGTGGTGTTGTTGTGGTGTTGTTGTGGTGTTGTAGTGTTGTAGTGGTGTTGTAGTGGTGTTGTGGTGTTGTTGTGGTGTTGTTGTGGTGTTGTAGTGGTGTTGTTGTGGTGTTGTAGTGGTGTTGTGGTGTTGTTGTGTTGTTGTTGTGGTGTTGTTGTGGTGTTGTTGTGGTGTTGTTGTTGTGTTGTTGTGGTGTTGATGTGGTGTTGATGTGGTGTTGATTGTGGTGTTGTTGTTGTGGTGTTGTTGTGGTGTTGTTGTGGTGTTATTGTGGTGGTGTCGTTGTGGTGTTGTTGTGGTGTTGTTGTTGTGTTGTTGTGGTGTTATTGTGGTGTTGTTGTGGTGTTGTTGTGGTGTTGTTGTGGTGTTGTTGTGGTGTTGTTGTGGTGTTGTTGTTGTGTTGTTGTGGTGTTGATGTGGTGTTGATGTGGTGTTGATTGTGGTGTTGTTGTTGTGGTGTTGTTGTGGTGTTGTTGTGGTGTTATTGTGGTGGTGTCGTTGTGGTGTTGTTGTTGTGTTGTTGTGGTGTTATTGTGGTGTTGTTGTGGTGTTGTTGTGGTGTTGTTGTGGTGTTGTTGTGGTGTTGTAGTGGTGTTGTAGTGGTGTTGTGGTGTTGTTGTTGTGTTGTTGTGGTGTTGTTGTTGTGTTGTTGTTGTGGTGTTGTTGTGGTGTTGTTGTGGTGTTGTTGTGGTGTTGTTGTGGTGTTGTAGTGTTGTAGTGGTGTTGTAGTGGTGTTGTAGTGGTGTTGTGGTGTTGTTGTGGTGTTGTAGTGGTGTTGTTGTGGTGTTGTAGTGGTGTTGTGGTGTTGTTGTGTTGTTGTTGTGGTGTTGTTGTGGTGTTGTTGTGGTGTTGTTGTTGTGTTGTTGTGGTGTTGATGTGGTGTTGATTGTGGTGTTGTTGTTGTGGTGTTGTTGTGGTGTTGTTGTGGTGTTATTGTGGTGGTGTCGTTGTGGTGTTGTTGTGGTGTTGTTGTGGTGTTGTTGTTGTGTTGTTGTGGTGTTGTTGTGGTGTTGTTGTGATCATGTTTTGAGTTGTTGGGGTAAAACACTAAATAGCTTCAGGTTGTGGCAGCCATTTATGGCTGTATTCAATGTGAATATTAAATGTATTCAATTAAGAAACTAAGACAGCTATGTTTTAGTTTTTGTTGAGTAGATAACCTGAAGTAACGGTAGTATCTGAAACAGAAGCCATGAAGGAATCCAGGCTGTCTTGCTCGGCTTCTTGTTCCTGCGAGGCCTTACTCTCTGATATGGTCTTCTGTATTCTTGCTATTTCCTCGTTTGCCTGGGTGTCAACGGTATTCGGTGTTGCTTATTTATATTTTAATTATAATTATGTTTTTGTTTAAATATTTTTTTAAATCAGCTTATAACATCTGATTGATATTCGATGGTATATTAAATATATTATATGCTCTATTGACATTTGAGGATGATAACATTTCATACGGACCCGTCAGAAGCATAATTTTAGTAGTCACAAGTCATAGTTAATTGCCCTCTAAGATACAATGAAGGTTTCATCTACGCAAAACAATTATTTTGCGCACAATTCATTCACATCTGTAATTTCACGGAATATAATATGCGCATATTGCATAATAAATTACTAGATCTTGCAATATGTTTCAACACAGCATACTACCACTAGTATATATACTACTATAATAATACTACTACTATACCTGACTAGGGACAAAAGAAAATCGCGATTATTTTGCCCAAAAATCGCGATACCGCGATTTTTGACAGACTATGCATAAGACTATACATAAAATTTGTTGCAAAGAATGGGAAAAATCGCGATCCCGCACGTGCCGCGATTTCCTTTTGTCCCTGTACCTGATGTAACTCCTCACTCAACATATCATGACTTCTAGACTTCTGTATACCGTCCTGTACCCCCGCCCTTAACATTCGCCGCTTTCTTCTGTGTTCAACTTCTCCTGTTCGGTCCAGGAATGTGTCCTCGTCGCTTGGAAACAGAGTGATTAGCATTTTATTTACTAATTAGGGTAATTACTCAGCTAATTAGGTATTTGGTAATTAGAATAATTGCGTGATTATCAGTGAGTTGTGTACACTGTCTTTAAGGCCACCATGTAAATACGAAAACTATATACATGTGACCAGTTTATTGGTCGATAACCGAGATTTTAATTACAATGATATTTCTATATTTCGTTTTATACTGTACATTATACAACGATACTAAGATTGTTCAATATTCGGCTCATAAAAAGTTAAGCATGGAGTCGTGTTTTTGTGGTAGAATAGTTTGTGTCGTTGTTTGGTGCCACCTGGTAGTAAGTGAGTAATATTACACAAAAAGAGCATTAGTTCTGTGCCATTATCAGCTAAAGTGTTTGTTTTTTTCCGTTTCAGATTCAAATTATCGTCAAAAAGAGCATTATTTCTGTGCCATTATCAGCTAAAGTGTTTGTTTTTTCCGTTTCAGATTCAAATTATCGTCAAAAATAGCATTAGTTCTGTGCCATTATCAGCTAAAGTGTTTGTTTTTTTCCGTTTCAGATTCAAATTATCGTCAAAAAGAGCATTATTTCTGTGCCATTATCAGCTAAAGTGTTTGTTTTTTCCGTTTCAGATTCAAATTATCGTCTGAACAGTCTGGGTTTTAGTCACAAACATAAGCGATTATCTGTGAGCTACCCCGATAACTTTGGGGGTTTAGAGAAAGCCTATAAAATGATAGTAGGGATGTTTGACGTAAATTTATAAATTGGCACAGTGAGGCAAATGTTAAAGCTGTAAATCATTTATCACTTTGACTATAGGTTATCATTAGCGCATACCTATTGAACAACAGAGCATTCGTTTCTATCAACTCTATTATTCTATCAGTTATCAATAGTTATCTATGATCTTAATTAGCATTTGTATATCGTAATTGTGCTATAAAACGACATGATAACATAAGAATTGAGTACAATGATTCCTAAATTTCCGTTACGCGTGTGATAATTACTTAACTTTAATTAACTCTGATTCGGTTGTCATCGTAAATCTGCAGCTGTTAAAATTCATTTGACCATAATGACGTGACAGTAAGCCAATGCCGAGATTACTAGTAAGCCACCAGGACTGAGGACAGCCACCAGGACTGAGGACAGGCACCAGGACTGAGGACAGGCACCAGGACTGAGGACAGGAACCAGGACTGAGGAGAGGCACCAGGACTGAGGACAGGCACCAGGACTGAGGACAGGCACCAGGACTGAGGACAGGCACCAGGACTGAGGACAGGAACCAGGACTGAGGACAGGCACCAGTACTGAGGACAGGCACCAGGACTGAGGACAGGCACCAGGACTGAGGACAGGCACCAGGACTGAGGACAGGCACCAGGACTGAGGAAAGGCACCAGGACTGAGGACAGGCACCAGGACTGAGGACAGGCACCAGTACTGAGGACAGGCACCAGTACTGAGGACAGGCACCAGGACTGAGGACAGGCACCAGGACTGAGGACAGGCACCAGGACTGAGGACAGGCACCAGGACTGAGGACAGGCACCAGGACTGAGGACAGGCACCAGGACTGAGGACAGGCACCAGGACGTGACAGCATAGGATCTGCTAAAAGTTAATTCTCTTGTTGTATTGAACTGAAGCAAGGATATGACCACTGGATTGAGCCAATGAAATGGTCTAGACGCGCGCCAAAGAGGGACTGCGAGCCCTAATGCGGACCAGAAATATATAGAGAGGGTTATCTGGTGTAGATGGGACTCAGTTCCGACTAAATAAAGGGTGGGCTATAAGTCAGTGTGCATACGTTTGGGCTTATATCTCAATCACTGCTGACCAAAAATGAAAAAATGTTAGAGGCCCAAACGTTTGTACACTGACTTATGGCCCACCCTGTGGTATGAAGTAGTATTTGCTAGTATGTGGGATTGCCGGATGTGTTGTGAGATTATGTTACTTCCCACATAGCTATAGGTACAGAATAACAAGAGTTCTAGAGGCGAGAATATGGTCTACTAGTGCTAGGATATGGTCTACTAGTGCTAGGATATATGGTCTACTAGTGCTAGGATATGGTCTACTAGTGCTAGGATATGGTCTACTAGTGCTAGGATATGGTCTACTAGTGCTAGGATATGGTCTACTAGTGCTAGGATATGGTCTACTAGTGCTAGGATATGGTCTACTAGTGCTAGGATATGGTCTACTAGTGCTAGGATATGGTCTACTAGTGCTAGGATATGGTCTACTAGTGCTAGGATATGGTCTACTAGTGCTAGGATATGGTCTACTAGTGCTAGTACTAGATCTAGTGCAGTGTTTACTAGTGCAGTGTTTGCTGCTGGATGTACATATATTGTAGATTAAATGTGATTATTTAGTGTGCAGAGTTCGCTAACTTCACAACATGGCTATCACATGCAACAGGTGCAGACTGGTCGGTAATTTCACTCCCTCTACTGTATTGCGTGAAGTAGTTCTTTAGACTTTCGAACGTTTAATAATTTTTCAAATGCATATAATTTTTACTTTGCAATTTTCCATTAACGCTAACAGTTCACTGATATTATGGAGTATGGTACTTTCTGGAATTATCCATTTCCATAGTTCCTAGTTCCACGTGGGGGGAATTTGGAGCCGTAGACAGAGCAACTCGTTAGTATTAACTTTCATGTGGAGCAGTTGGTTGAAACCTATACTTCACCGTAAATAATTATCACATATTATAATATATTATGTACCAGCTAAATTAATCAAATTCAAAGTTTTTTGTTTCACGGTTCGAGCACATCTTGTTTTTCAAGGGCGTATTTTTTTCTAGAACTTTTCTTCTACAACTTTCACACGTGATATATGTAACGCACAGAGAGTTGTCCTAGGATAGGAGACTGAGTTCAACAGCACTCACATTACTTGTGTTAAGGTTCTTGCTTATATTTTAGGCTTGTAAACAAATTTCCTCAGACCGATATCAAGCTTTCATTTTTAAATATTGAGCAATTTAAAAACTTTTCCTTGTTAAGGGTATACAATAAAACCCCGATTTACTTCAGTGTTTGGGGAAGGAAACAGCCGCGGTAAATCGGGGTTATGTTTGTTCACGTTATGTACGTTAAGCCATTTTGAGAAATAAAAAGGAAATGGCCGCGGTAAATCGGGGTTTTATTGTATAATGATAGGTTTCTATAAGATGGCACCAAGCCAGTGTTACACGCCGGTCCCCTTGGCAACGTGCAGCCCTACACCGGTCCCATTACAAAGTTCCCCAGTAAACACGGAGTAGTCATTTGGGCCCCCATTTGTTAGGCCACTTACAACTTAGTAATGATATTCTCACCTAAAGAAAGGGGATCTAGACGCATGTAATTCGACTAACAATGAACCATTATGACCTGCAGTCATGCACAAGGCTGGGTTAGGGTTGCTCTATTGTTCATCGTTTAGGGTTAGGGTTGCTCTATTATTCATCGTTTGACACTCTTTGATTTTGCACCAGGGTTTCACTCTAACGGGGAGCGGTGTACACTGTACCCCAGCTATATGAGGCCTTTGAGCAGTACCTTACTCAGGTTTCCAGTCAAGACTTCAAAATTTCAGTTCGATACGTCAAACTTTGATGCAACAGTACTTTTTAAATGTTCCACCCAAACTATTTTGAGATCACCTCTTAGTTTAACTTTATCCTCTTAGTAAGATGCCATTATTAAGAGGGTTCTTTCGTTTCATCACATTGAAGTGTTTTTGCATGCGAAAGCTGGATTTAATTCCGTAGTAAGATGTGACGCAAGTTATTTCAGTTTTCCCAGAATTATACTTTCAAATATATACCAATCTTTAAAATGGACCAAGTTGTTCATATCAATTGAACTCCAACTCTCTGAGAGAGTAATTCCCAAAAACATCCCCCACACTGCCAGTGTCTCGATTCCCGCACTATATAGTGACAACACTATATAGTGACATGTCACTATATAGTCCTGTCACTATAAAGTGCGTTTTTCACACTATATGGTGACAAAGATCAGCTGTCATTATAAAGTGCTTGTCACTACTATATAGTGTTGTCACTATATAGTGCGATTACTAAAAACCTCCCCCACACTGCCAGTGGGGGGCTCAGTGCCACTAGAGTTTAAACCTCCAGTCAGAGAATCTGTGATAACGACTCTGAGAATTAGTGTCATTAACAGATCATGCTGTGGCCTGCAGCACTTGCGTCACATATGCTGTTACCTTGTAATGCATGGTTGCTCTTTTTATATTATGATTAGGAGGAATTTACTTTACCAATTACTCGATAACTTATTTAAGTTATTTATTTAATTATATAAATGTGGAGACAGGAAGTTTTACTTACTTATTTACTTACTTATTACTTATCTTTATTTATTACTTTATTTAAATTTACTTACTCCCATGTGGTCCAGTCCCATGTATCTATTTTATAAGAGCATTATTTGAATCTTATTTGAATCTAATTTGAATCACACCACAGAATGTACGTATACTATATTTATTATAATATATGCTCAACAAAATTCTTACATTAATAATTATGAACAAGTGTTGTTCTGGAATTTACTGTATCCTGACCCTATCCAGACATGTACTAAAATTAGTAACCACATATTTCTTTAACAATGGATTTTAACTATTAACTTAGCGTGAGTAATAAACAATTATCTCGCTCTCTCTTCGAGAAATATATTCTTCAAAGGTACCAGCTTGTGAAATAATGAATTGCACTGGTTTTTAATTACTCAATACTTATTATTGAATCCTCCAAGCATCGGGCATACATCTCAAATTTGTAGAATCGCAATAGTTATGCGCTTATACTGTAAACTTGAAACTTTTATTGTTGTGAATTGAATACCAAACTCTAGACTATATGTAATGCGTACAAAGATCGGAGTTATGGATCAATTAAATTCACCCTCATCAACAGTCAACCTCTCAGACTTAAAAATTAAACTCAATCCAAACCCTTTTACCCATATTTCATGACAATACAAACAATGAAACGATTACATTCAACATCTCAATATCTTCCTCAGGTAGCATGGTACTAGAGAGAGTACTACTTTGAGAGCTTGACTTCTTTTTACCTTACATCTTTTAGTTTTTATAATTTTCTGATATAATTGGAGTATAAACCCTTATCTTTATTAGGTACTGAAGATGTCCGAAAATGTTTTACCAATGATGTTATAAAGATTTTGTTGGAATTTTCAAACTCATTCGTTGTCTGACTGTGGGAACTATTGATTTTTGATAACATGGTACTAGACATGGAGTCCACTTCAACTGTGGCCAGTATCATGGAGCGTGCGGGGATACAAGAGTATCTCAGAGTATTACTAACTGTCCTTAACTTCCTTACCTTCCTGGTTGCTGTTATTGGAAACTCCCTTGTTCTTCTAGGTAGGACACTATTTTAATGTAAAATCCGGATTGGAGTATTGTTTATGAGTCGCACTGTTGCAATGTATTCTGTGTAAAATAAGAGCATTTTTACTTGTCGCAGTAACCGGGATAAAGATAATTTTACACAGAATACACTATTTTAATCATGTTTTTATTTTAAGTACCTTAAATGTTTCTGTCATGACAACGTTTCAAGGTTTATTAAGGTGACATTGGGGATAAGTATGATTTCTAGGGTATAGCCAGCAAGATATCAGAACCTTTATTAATATTTGTAATCGCCGTCCTGTTCACGCAGTTTAAAAGAGAGTTAACATAACAACATTTTATTTTTTAGGTACAATTCGTCACGACCTTATAAAAATGGACAGACCATCCCTCCTCTTCCTCCAATCAATCGCGGTATCAGACATAGTAATCGCCTTCTCCAGCTACCTCATTAAAGGCATAACCCTCGCCTTCGACCGGTGGGTCCTAGGTGACTTCCTCTGCAGGATCTCCAAGATAATCTTCACTACAGCCTTGTTTAACGAGGCTGGTGTTATTGCAATGCTCAGTGTTTACAGGGTGTGGATGTTGAAGCGGACACCAGCCAGGAGGAATTTAATAAATGTAACGATAATAAAGATAGTGTTAACGTGTTTCTTCTTTGTTGGAGCTGTGTATCTGACCATTCTGATGGTTTCTTTAGACGCTAAAATGTTTGTTAACCCTCACGAACACACCTGTTCATCCAAGATCTTCAGTGATTCTGAGTATAAAGTCTACGCTATCTCTACTGTTATTGTGTTTGTGTTTGTTCCCATGTTCGTTATAATCGTCTCCAATATTGTGACTATAGCTGTGTTCCTTAAGCACGACAAGAAAGCTAACCCTCGAACCAATCCGCGGAATAAATCTCGCTTGAACAACAGGAAATCCACTGTGTACTTATCAACTGAAGCTCAACCGGCTGCAGATACCACCGAAACCACCACCACTACCACCACCACTACCAGCAGCAATAACAGCAGCATGGAATCTCACTCCGAGTACGCCAGAATAATCATCACTCTTACAGCTATCTCAACAATGTTCGTGATATCATATATCCTGATTCTTGTGAAGAATACCATGGGGCTTCTGGGGTATGATATCCCAGATTGGATCGTGGTTGCCTGGCCCTATTTGTTGAGTATTAACGTGATGATGAACCCTGTTATTTATGCTCTGATGAACAAAAAGTTTAAGGCGTTCTTGAGAGACGTTTTTTTGGGACGTTATTATGGTAACTCTGTAAACGCGGGTTTTACGTGATTATTGATTTTGTTATCTCGTTTGTTAACTAAACTTGTTTTATAGTTACATTATTATCAGTTTTAAATTGGATCGTTAACTTATTGCTTACAGTTTATGTTCATTAATAGGAGCCATTTCAATAATTCACAATTCATAAATTTTGTGCTTAACTGTTCGACCCATTTCAAAAATTCAAAAGCATAATTGGCCAATTCCTACAGTAATTTAAAATTTAAAACCCTCAAAAATGTTAGAGGTGTTCCAGCCTCGAGGTACCTGTCGTAGAAGTCATTCTTCTCTAGTCTCTGTTTCCGAGTCTCTATATCCTCGTTCTTTCTGGAGGATCTGAGGACACCGTAGGCGTCCAGCAACCTACAGCCGTGCAGGGCGCATGCTAACACAGCATCTCTCTTCTTCCCAGAGGTTGTACCTGTAAAATAGACGGCGTTAGTGCAGGGCGCATGCTAACACATCATCTCTCTTCTTCCCAGAGGTGGTACCTGTAAAATAGACGGCGTTAGTGCAGGGCGCATGCTAACACAGCATCTCTCTTCTTCCCAGAGGTTGTACCTGTAAAATAGACGGCGTTAGTGCAGGGCGCATGCTAACACAGCATCTCTCTTCTTCCCAGAGGTTGTACCTGTAAAATAGACGGCGTTAGTGCAGGGCGCATGCTAACACAGCATCTCTCTTCTTCCCAGAGGTTGTACCTGTAAAATAGACGGCGTTAGTGCAGGGCGCATGCTAACACAGCATCTCTCTTCTTCCCAGAGGTTGTACCTGTAAAATAGACGGCGTTAGTGCAGGGCGCATGCTAACACAGCATCTCTCTTCTTCCCAGAGGTTGTACCTGTAAAATAGACGGCGTTAGTGCAGGGCGCATGCTAACACAGCATCTCTCTTCTTCCCAGAGGTTGTACCTGTAAAATAGACGGCGTTAGTGCAGGGCGCATGCTAACACAGCATCTCTCTTCTTCCCAGAGGTTGTACCTGTAAAATAGACGGCGTTAGTGCAGGGCGCATGCTAACACAGCATCTCTCTTCTTCCCAGAGGTTGTACCTGTAAAATAGACGGCGTTAGTGCAGGGCGCATGCTAACACAGCATCTCTCTTCTTCCCAGAGGTTGTACCTGTAAAATAGACGGAGTTAGTGCAGGGCGCATGCTAACACAGCATCTCTCTTCTTCCCAGAGGTTGTACCTGTAAAATAGACGGAGTTAGTGCAGGGCGCATGCTAACACAGCATCTCTCTTCTTCCCAGAGGTTGTACCTGTAAAATAGACGGCGTTAGTGCAGGGCGCATGCTAACACAGCATCTCTCTTCTTCCCAGAGGTTGTACCTGTAAAATAGACGGCGTTAGTGCAGGGCGCATGCTAACACAGCATCTCTCTTCTTCCCAGAGGTTGTACCTGTAAAATAGACGGAGTTAGTGCAGGGCGCATGCTAACACAGCATCTCTCTTCTTCCCAGAGGTTGTACCTGTAAAATAGACGGCGTTAGTGCAGGGCGCATGCTAACACAGCATCTCTCTTCTTCCCAGAGGTTGTACCTGTAAAATAGACGGAGTTAGTGCAGGGCGCATGCTAACACAGCATCTCTCTTCTTCCCAGAGGTTGTACCTGTAAAATAGACGGAGTTAGTGCAGGGCGCATGCTAACACAGCATCTCTCTTCTTCCCAGAGGTTGTACCTGTAAAATAGACGGCGTTAGTGCAGGGCGCATGCTAACACAGCATCTCTCTTCTTCCCAGAGGTTGTACCTGTAAAATAGACGGAGTTAGTGCAGGGCGCATGCTAACACAGCATCTCTCTTCTTCCCAGAGGTTGTACCTGTAAAATAGACGGAGTTAGTGCAGGGCGCATGCTAACACAGCATCTCTCTTCTTCCCAGAGGTTGTACCTGTAAAATAGACGGAGTTAGTGCAGGGCGCATGCTAACACAGCATCTCTCTTCTTCCCAGAGGTTGTACCTGTAAAATAGACGGAGTTAGTGCAGGGCGCATGCTAACACAGCATCTCTCTTCTTCCCAGAGGTTGTACCTGTAAAATAGACGGCGTTAGTGCAGGGCGCATGCTAACACAGCATCTCTCTTCTTCCCAGAGGTTGTACCTGTAAAATAGACGGAGTTAGTGCAGGGCGCATGCTAACACAGCATCTCTCTTCTTCCCAGAGGTTGTACCTGTAAAATAGACGGCGTTAGTGCAGGGCGCATGCTAACACAGCATCTCTCTTCTTCCCAGAGGTTGTACCTGTAAAATAGACGGCGTTAGTGCAGGGCGCATGCTAACACAGCATCTCTCTTCTTCCCAGAGGTTGTACCTGTAAAATAGACGGAGTTAGTGCAGGGCGCATGCTAACACAGCATCTCTCTTCTTCCCAGAGGTTGTACCTGTAAAATAGACGGCGTTAGTGCAGGGCGCATGCTAACACAGCATCTCTCTTCTTCCCAGAGGTTGTACCTGTAAAATAGACGGCGTTAGTGCAGGGCGCATGCTAACACAGCATCTCTCTTCTTCCCAGAGGTTGTACCTGTAAAATAGACGGAGTTAGTGCAGGGCGCATGCTAACACAGCATCTCTCTTCTTCCCAGAGGTTGTACCTGTAAAATAGACGGCGTTAGTGCAGGGCGCATGCTAACACAGCATCTCTCTTCTTCCCAGAGGTTGTACCTGTAAAATAGACGGAGTTAGTGCAGGGCGCATGCTAACACAGCATCTCTCTTCTTCCCAGAGGTTGTACCTGTAAAATAGACGGCGTTAGTGCAGGGCGCATGCTAACACAGCATCTCTCTTCTTCCCAGAGGTTGTACCTGTAAAATAGACGGAGTTAGTGCAGGGCGCATGCTAACACAGCATCTCTCTTCTTCCCAGAGGTTGTACCTGTAAAATAGACGGAGTTAGTGCAGGGCGCATGCTAACACAGCATCTCTCTTCTTCCCAGAGGTTGTACCTGTAAAATAGACGGAGTTAGTGCAGGGCGCATGCTAACACAGCATCTCTCTTCTTCCCAGAGGTTGTACCTGTAAAATAGACGGAGTTAGTGCAGGGCGCATGCTAACACAGCATCTCTCTTCTTCCCAGAGGTTGTACCTGTAAAATAGACGGCGTTAGTGCAGGGCGCATGCTAACACAGCATCTCTCTTCTTCCCAGAGGTTGTACCTGTAAAATAGACGGAGTTAGTGCAGGGCGCATGCTAACACAGCATCTCTCTTCTTCCCAGAGGTTGTACCTGTAAAATAGACGGAGTTAGTGCAGGGCGCATGCTAACACAGCATCTCTCTTCTTCCCAGAGGTTGTACCTGTAAAATAGACGGAGTTAGTGCAGGGCGCATGCTAACACAGCATCTCTCTTCTTCCCAGAGGTTGTACCTGTAAAATAGACGGAGTTAGTGCAGGGCGCATGCTAACACAGCATCTCTCTTCTTCCCAGAGGTTGTACCTGTAAAATAGACGGAGTTAGTGCAGGGCGCATGCTAACACAGCGTCTCTCTTCTTCCCAGAGGTTGTACCTGTAAAATAGACGGAGTTAGTGCAGGGCGCATGCTAACACAGCATCTCTCTTCTTCCCAGAGGTTGTACCTGTAAAATAGACGGCGTTAGTGCAGGGCGCATGCTAACACAGCATCTCTCTTCTTCCCAGAGGTTGTACCTGTAAAATAGACGGAGTTAGTGCAGGGCGCATGCTAACACAGCATCTCTCTTCTTCCCAGAGGTTGTACCTGTAAAATAGACGGCGTTAGTGCAGGGCGCATGCTAACACAGCATCTCTCTTCTTCCCAGAGGTTGTACCTGTAAAATAGACGGCGTTAGTGCAGGGCGCATGCTAACACAGCATCTCTCTTCTTCCCAGAGGTTGTACCTGTAAAATAGACGGCGTTAGTGCAGGGCGCATGCTAACACAGCATCTCTCTTCTTCCCAGAGGTTGTACCTGTAAAATAGACGGCGTTAGTGCAGGGCGCATGCTAACACAGCATCTCTCTTCTTCCCAGAGGTTGTACCTGTAAAATAGACGGAGTTAGTGCAGGGCGCATGCTAACACAGCATCTCTCTTCTTCCCAGAGGTTGTACCTGTAAATAGACGGAGTTAGTGCAGGGCGCATGCTAACACAGCGTCTCTCTTCTTCCCAGAGGTTGTACCTGTAAAATAGACGGAGTTAGTGCAGGGCGCATGCTAACACAGCATTTTCTTTCTTCCCAGAGGTTGTACCTGTAAAATAGACGGCGTTAGTGCAGGGCGCATGCTAACACAGCATCTCTCTTCTTCCCAGAGGTTGTACCTGTAAAATAGACGGAGTTAGTGCAGGGCGCATGCTAACACAGCATCTCTCTTCTTCCCAGAGGTTGTACCTGTAAAATAGACGGTGTTAGTGCAGGGCGCATTCTAACACAGCATCTCTCTTCTTCCAGAGGTTGTACCTGTAAAATAGACGGCGTTAGTGCAGGGCGCATGCTAACACAGCATCTCTCTTCTTCCCAGAGGTTGTACCTGTAAAATAGACGGAGTTAGTGCAGGGCGCATGCTAACACAGCATCTCTCTTCTTCCCAGAGGTTGTACCTGTAAAATAGACGGCGTTAGTGCAGGGCGCATGCTAACACAGCATCTCTCTTCTTCCCAGAGGTTGTACCTGTAAAATAGACGGCGTTAGTGCAGGGCGCATGCTAACACAGCATCTCTCTTCTTCCCAGAGGTTGTACCTGTAAAATAGACGGCGTTAGTGCAGGGCGCATGCTAACACAGCATCTCTCTTCTTCCCAGAGGTTGTACCTGTAAAATAGACGGAGTTAGTGCAGGGCGCATGCTAACACAGCAGCTCTCTTCTTCCCAGAGGTTGTACCTGTAAAATAGACGGAGTTAGTGCAGGGCGCATGCTAACACAGCATCTCTCTTCTTCCCAGAGGTTGTACCTGTAAAATAGACGGAGTTAGTGCAGGGCGCATGCTAACACAGCATCTCTCTTCTTCCCAGAGGTTGTACCTGTAAAATAGACGGAGTTAGTGCAGGGCGCATGCTAACACAGCATCTCTCTTCTTCCCAGAGGTTGTACCTGTAAAATAGACGGAGTTAGTGCAGGGCGCATGCTAACACAGCATCTCTCTTCTTCCCAGAGGTTGTACCTGTAAAATAGACGGCGTTAGTGCAGGGCGCATGCTAACACAGCATCTCTCTTCTTCCCAGAGGTTGTACCTGTAAAATAGACGGCGTTAGTGCAGGGCGCATGCTAACACAGCATCTCTCTTCTTCCCAGAGGTTGTACCTGTAAAATAGACGGTGTTAGTGCAGGGCGCATGCTAACACAGCATCTCTCTTCTTCCCAGAGGTTGTACCTGTAAAATAGACGGAGTTAGTGCAGGGCGCATGCTAACACAGCATCTCTCTTCTTCCCAGAGGTTGTACCTGTAAAATAGACGGAGTTAGTGCAGGGCGCATGCTAACACAGCATCTCTCTTCTTCCCAGAGGTTGTACCTGTAAAATAGACGGCGTTAGTGCAGGGCGCATGCTAACACAGCATCTCTCTTCTTCCCAGAGGTTGTACCTGTAAAATAGACGGAGTTAGTGCAGGGCGCATGCTAACACAGCATCTCTCTTCTTCCCAGAGGTTGTACCTGTAAAATAGACGGCGTTAGTGCAGGGCGCATGCTAACACAGCATCTCTCTTCTTCCCAGAGGTTGTACCTGTAAAATAGACGGAGTTAGTGCAGGGCGCATGCTAACACAGCATCTCTCTTCTTCCCAGAGGTTGTACCTGTAAAATAGACGGCGTTAGTGCAGGGCGCATGCTAACACAGCATCTCTCTTCTTCCCAGAGGTTGTACCTGTAAAATAGACGGCGTTAGTGCAGGGCGCATGCTAACACAGCATCTCTCTTCTTCCCAGAGGTTGTACCTGTAAAATAGACGGCGTTAGTGCAGGGCGCATGCTAACACAGCATCTCTCTTCTTCCCAGAGGTTGTACCTGTAAAATAGACGGCGTTAGTGCAGGGCGCATGCTAACACAGCATCTCTCTTCTTCCCAGAGGTTGTACCTGTAAAATAGACGGCGTTAGTGCAGGGCGCATGCTAACACAGCATCTCTCTTCTTCCCAGAGGTTGTACCTGTAAAATAGACGGCGTTAGTGCAGGGCGCATGCTAACACAGCATCTCTCTTCTTCCCAGAGGTTGTACCTGTTAAATAGAGGGCGTTAGTGCAGGGCGCATGCTAACACAGCATCTCTCTTCTTCCCAGAGGTTGTACCTGTAAAATAGACGGAGTTAGTGCAGGGCGCATGCTATCACAGCATCTCTCTTCTTCCCAGAGGTGGTACCTGTAAAATAGACGGAGTTAGTGCAGGGCGCATGCTAACACAGCATCTCTCTTCTTCCCAGAGGTTGTACCTGTAAAATAGACGGCGTTAGTGCAGGGCGCATGCTAACACAGCATCTCTCTTCTTCCCAGAGGTTGTACCTGTAAAATAGACGGAGTTAGTGCAGGGCGCATGCTATCACAGCATCTCTCTTCTTCCCAGAGGTGGTACCTGTAAAATAGACGGAGTTAGTGCAGGGCGCATGCTAACACAGCATCTCTCTTCTTCCCAGAGGTTGTACCTGTAAAATAGACGGCGTTAGTGCAGGGCGCATGCTAACACAGCATCTCTCTTCTTCCCAGAGGTTGTACCTGTAAAATAGACGGCGTTACAACATACTACTCTTACTATACTTACTATACAGTATACTTACTATCTGCAATGTTATCCACCGGCGCAAATATATATATCATTTACCTTTTTCGCGATGAAAATTGCTTAAATTTGACTTACTGTCATGTTGAAAGTGAAAGTGTTTCGTTTGAAAATCATCATTTTCAATACAGACATGAAGTTGAAACTCAATTATATACATACCTTCAGCATAAACAGGATTAGGGGTATCAATGGGGAGTTCCACTTTGCAGATGTACTGGTGATGTTTGCCGACTCCTTTCTCCGTTACAACGTACTCTAATTCAACTCCTTCCCGCTCGAAAAACCCGCGCAGAGTTTTTTTAGGATCCTTGAAGTCTGCTGGACGGGACATTAACGTCAAGTCCAGCTTCAGCTCTCCATCTCTTCCTCTGGCGCGTCTTCTCTGAAGAAAGGGAAAATATCATAAATTAAATTATATACTAAGTCGTACTCATCAATTTAAAAGGTGGAAACTTTTGGCATTTTTTATGATTACAATCTGCCTTTTGCTTAGAAAACCCCGCCAGAGTGTAAATCACAATGCAATATGTTATTCTTGATGGTACACGTACCCTCTAGGTTGACATGTACTGAAGACAGGGGTTATTTCTCGCGAACTTAACTTGTCGAACTAGAGTACGTGTCTAACTAGAGTACGTGAAATTAAATCATTCTTAAGTCAAGAAATGAGGTATTTATATCCCGCTCATATGATTAACCAACAACACAGGGAAGGTGGTTAACCATGTCAGAGCGGCTGACTGTGAGTGATGTGAGCAAATATGTAAATCTGAACAAATGTGCACCTGCACCCTGGAAACTGTTGTAGAGACAAATTCTAACCTGAAGCCCCAGCTGACACCCCCTTCAGTTTCTTTCTCAGCTGAAAGATCTATATCTGTCTCCCGTGATTTCAGCATGTTCAACATTATTTCTGCTTCTTCAGATGCTAAGATTCCTGAGGCATTGATCTTCAATACCAAAAAATATAAATATACATATAAACGGCAAAGATATAATTAACATAGCAGGGTTTTGGGAGTGAAGAGAGGGATGGAGATCAGGGACAAAGGGATTTCGCGATTATTTTGTCCAAAAATCGCAATACCACGATTTTTAACAGACTATACATTAAACTATACATAAAATTCGTCGCAAATAATGGGAAAAATCGCGATTCCGTACATGCGATTTCCTTTTGTCCCTGATGGAGATTATCTACCTAATTTGTTGATCTTGTTTTCTACTGAAGCGTCCTTAATGTCCGCTGGTTCTGGCACCATATCCTCTTCATCTTCAAACGCTTCTTCCAATGGTCCCTGGAAACGATTACTTCTAGTGAACATCAACTGAGATCATGTCAGGACACAGGAACGTATCTCTGTACATAACAGTGACTTCAGTTTTTGTTCTTGTGTACAATTATGACGGTTCACGATAGTGGGCATATAATTTAATTTTAATCCTGTGTAATCCTAATAATTCCTAATCCTATTCTTAAACTGTATACCTTACTCGGGAATATTATAGCGGGTTAATTTATGACTGGGAAAATTAATGACCGGGAAAAATATGGCAGAATTTTCCAAAACCCACCACTTTATCCCAGTCATAATATTCCCGAGTAAGGTAGCTGGAATAACGTACCTTTACAATGTAGAGGCGGGTACTGGCACCAAACTTGATAACATATCCGGTCTTCATCATGTAGTAGGTCCGGGCTGAGATCTTCACCTTGTTTATTGTAGTGCCGTAGCTGCTCCCTAGATCGTACAAGAACACTGCTCCCGCCGTCTCTCCCTCTGAATCATTTATTATTCTAATAATAACAGATAGTAATGATTGATTGATTGAAAGCCCCTCGTTAGGGAGTCGTCTCTAATGGACTAATTTATTGATTACAATCATAATAAGTTAAAAATAAAGACCCCAATGGGCACTCCTGAAAACATAACCACTAGAAAATATATCAAAACTAAATATAAAAAATAAACTGACGACAAATGTGATAAAATCGCAACAAACTGCAAATAATGGAAAATACGTCAAGCAAATTTTTTTTCAAATCACGTTTACAAATGGGTTTGAGATTGAATTTCAAAATTAATTTCACTGTAAACTAATTACTTAACTACCACTAACCGGCAGGTTTGTGTTGGAAGACAGCATGATATCTGGAGATGGAGGGGTGAAGACAGGGAACATCACAGGATGGCAATCTGCCAACTGTCACAAAGCACGACTCACTGATGTCCACCTAGAGGAGGTATAAAGATTTAGCTTAAGAAACTTCTGAGGACGTTTTTAAGGTTTGTTCGTGTTTCATTAGGAGCTACGACTGGTGAGCATTCATTTCAGAAAGTAAATGTAAACATCAAAGCAGAGAACTAACTTCCTCAAGGATCTTCCCGCTCTTCAGGACTTCCAACGTATAAGGAAACGCGGCGGGACCACTCCACTTCGGCTCCTTATACTGTAAAACTGCTACTTCCGGCTCTACTTTACGTTTTTCCTCAACTTTAGGTGGGTTTTCAGGTTTAGACTCCGCAGCTTGATCAGCAGGTTTGGCTAACTTGTCAGGAGCTTTGAGGTCGCTTGCATCATCAGCATCGGTACAAGGTTTAGTGGTCAGATTTTGGGGTGATTTGTCATCAACTTTTGGATCAGGTACTGGTCCTTTCTTCGCACTGCCAGTTACTTTGACATCGAGCTTTATTTTTGTGCTCCCATCATTCAAACTTTCCTTTTTAGGCTCTTCGTTTTTAGCATCGCCTTTCTTTGTAGGCCTCAAAGCTTTTGGTAGAGCAAAACTTCCGCCATCCATAGGCTAAGGGGATTTTACATGGTGTTATAAATTACAAACGTACCGAAATTCTCCAATTAAATACATTCGGCATTTCATTAATTGAAAGTCACTTAGACAAACAATTATGAAATATCAATCACCCAATGAAAATCGTGATCAGCATCTGAATTTAATAATAAGCTTACGAAGTGATTTGCAAGATAAAAATCCCCAGATTTAAAATTGTGGCAAATTTTAGTTGTCGTAAAACACTTGCCGGGCCGAGGATCACATAAAAAGGGTCACTAAAAATTCGGCAATTTATGTTAATACAAATCCCAAGCAAAGAATTTAACATCACAATCATTTACAAACAACAATACAAAACTCACAAATTACGAAAATGTCACTTGGAAAAAACTCTTTCCTTTAACCTCACCCACAGACTAGAACTCCTAGAGTTAGACTTATCATCTGATAATATAAAGTTTGTTTCAACAGCATCAGCATTCTGCTCGTAACCCGTGTGATCCGCGTCTCCCAACAAGTTTACAAACACCCTGTCTTCGTTCACAATGGATGCCACATAATTGGCGGTATGCCAAGGAGGTGCCCGTCTGTCTTTAGCAGCGGTAGTTATAAAAACATCACAACCTGAATTAACGGTGCCTAAGTCTAGAGGTCTGAACCCATTGCTGTCATCCGGGGATTCATAACCCCATTCTTCTTTCTCCTCCGAAGACAGAGGTAAAGAGGGATTCAACATAGCAGTGTGAAGATCCAGGAATGGAAACCGGAGGACCAGCTTGCTGACAATTCCAGGAACAGAGTGTGCAGCGCGCGCTGCGATAAGCGCCCCGCTGGAGGAAGCGTGGAGTGTGGAGGAGGACGGGGTTGTGAGGTTGAGGGATTGTACGTGTTTTATACAATTCAGTGTGTCGAGGACACTGTTTTCTTTCTTAGTTCCGATACCCTGTAGTTTGGTGATATTAGAATTGACAAAGACATTTATCATAATTAACCTTTCTAATATCCATACACAAAATAATCACTCAGGACGTAAACCACCAAAAATATATGTTTGAACCTAAAGTTTCAGATTTATCTATGGACTCTGGCTTCCTCTTAAATACAGCGAGGGAAAATGTCGGCCATCTATATTCTATACTCTATACACGAACCTGTAGATACCAGCTGTGGCCGAGTTCATGCTGCAAGTATCAACAAGTAAGTTAAGATTATACCTTATAATAACATACATGTTAACATGGGTATTAATGTATATTAGAGAAATTTTGAATAATTTTGGGGAACTTTGGGGAACTTTTTTTTGGGGGACTTCAGAAATCTTGGGTGACTTTCCCAAAGTTCCCCTTGGACCCCCCCCCCCCCCCCCTCCTATACACGAACCTGTAGATACCAGCTGCGGCCGAGTTCTCCTCCACCCCTCACATGACACAGCACAACTTTCCAGTTCTTATCAAGAAGCTCCCTGGGCAGAGTCTCCCAGGAGTAAAACAGATTCTCACCATAGCAACCGTACGTGATAAACAGACAGGGTGAGCACTCAGCGAGAGAGTCTTCATTCGCTGCAATGTTTCATAACATTCCAGGATAATTTAAACAGTCAAAGTTTAAGTATCTACAGTGCTTACGGGTGTTTCGGATAGGGCTTGTGCAAATATGCGCAAAAAGCAAGATCATGCACGAGTACATCTGATCACAAAGAGCAGATTAAATCAGGTTATACAGAATTAGGCTAACCTATGATACTTTCAACACTACTATATAACAAATAATTTGAGAATATGAGTATGACGTAGAAATGTCGATACGTTATTCAGCTTTATATTTTCATTAGAATCTGTCTTCACTGAGTCTATTCAGAAATTTGAATGAAAGAACTAACCTATAATGGTGATGGGAACGTTAACATCCCCAGAGGGAGCTGAATCAGTGAACATCTCGTATCTCCCACGTGATATGAGCCTGCCACGTGATATCTGGAACTTGGAGAAGGGAATAGAGAGCTGCTTCACTGGTTTCGTCAGACTGTGTACCTTGATGTTCAGATGGGTCTGAGGGAGATAAGGTTTAAATATCCAGTGGGAGATCCAGACTAGGGCCGGTCGTTCACATATCATGTAATCACTTTTTGAACAATTTTTACCCCCCCCCCCCCCGCTCCGTAATCAGTTTTACACATAGCTATTGAATCAAAATTACACCAGCGTATTTCATTTGGAAACCCCCCTCTCCCCTCGGGTGATTATGTAATATGTGAACGACCCCCTATTTACAGGTTGTGGAGCAGACAAATTAAACAGTGTCTGAAAGAAGAGTATTGAGCTGCTACCTGGTGAGGAGATGAGTTAGAGTTTGGGGATACAAGAGAAACATCAGCTGGGAAGGGTATCTCCGCAATAGTATTAGAGTAGTCCTCTGGGTCCAGCAGGGTCACTTTGTAGTTACCTCTGAAATTATACATTTTCCAGGTATATGTAGTCAATGACTAGACAGGGTTATTGAAAATTACAAAGAATAAAATGGCGTCTGGACTTGGGACCAGCTCATAGTACATTTCATTAATGCCCTCTGAAAACCATTTTGCTAGCTCAAATTATTTGTTATATAGTAGTGTTGAAAGTATTAAAACTGTTGATAATGATATGGAAAATTAGTTTTTAATGCTATTTTATAGAAAATTGGACCCAATGAAGGAAAAAAAACTTTCCCAACGTATAGTATTAATATGGTGCGAGGTCCGGTCCTTCAGTATATAATATACTCAACTTTAAACATTAAAAATTACCTGTTTCCTGAATCGTCCAGAGTTGAATGATAAACCACAATTCCCCTGTCAAATGTTTCTAATTCATGAATAACTCCAAAATCATTAGGGTGGGCTGAGAAAGTTTCTGTTTTAGGGTAAGTTGGGACAGATTCAGGAGCTTTGTTTATAGGGTCAGACCAGTAAAGGTGTAGATTAGGGTTATCCGTGGATGACTTTATCGCTATCAACCGGTCTCCGTGATGATCGATGTAGCATTTGCTATCTGAAATAAGAGGAATAATCATGAATATTTTAAAATTACAATTGCAATACGAAATAGGCACCGGTATCAAGTCCCCGCTAATATGATCGATGTAGCATTTACTATCTGAAATGAGAGGAATAATTATGAATATTTTAAAATTACAATTGCAATACGAAATAGGCACCGGTATCAAGTCCCCGCTAATATGATCGATGTAGCATTTGCTATCTGAAATAAGAGGAATAATTATGAATATTTTAAAATTACAATTGCAATACGAAATAGGCACCGGTATCAAGTCCCCGCTAATATGATCGATGTAGCATTTACTATCTGAAATGGGAGGAATAATTATGAATATTTTAAAATTGCAATACGAAATAGGCACCGGTATCAAGTCCCCGCTAATATGATCGATGTAGCATTTACTATCTGAAATGAGAGGAATAATTATGAATATTTTAAAATTGCAATTGCAATAACAAATAGGCACCGGTATCAAGTCCCCGCTAATATGATCGATGTAGCATTTACTATCTGAAATGGGAGGAATAATTATGAATATTTTAAAATTGCAATACGAAATAGGCACCGGTATCAAGTCCCCGCTAATATGATCGATGTAGCATTTACTATCTGAAATGAGAGGAATAATTATGAATATTTTAAAATTGCAATTGCAATAAGAAATAGGCACCGGTATCAAGTCCCCGCTAATACTGCTATCTCGGCCAGGATAAAAATGTTGATTCCCTGATCGTTATTACAGCACAAATCCCATAGGTAAGCAGCGCAGAAATCCCTGTTACACATTGTGTAAACACTAAACACGCTAGTAACCTACCCTGTAGAGGATGATGCACCAGGTTCTCCTCCCCACATTGTGTAAACACTAAACACGCTAGTAACCTACCCTGTAGAGGATGATGAACCAGGTTCTCCTCCCCACATTGTGTAAACACTAAACACGCTAGTAACCTACCCTGTAGAGGATGATGAACCAGGTTCTCCTCCCCACATTGTGTAAACACTAAACACGCTAGTAACCTACCCTGTAGAGGATGATGAACCAGGTTCTCCTCCCCACATTGTGTAAACACTAAACACGCTAGTAACCTACCCTGTAGAGGATGATGAACCAGGTTCTCCTCCCCACATTGTGTAAACACTAAACACGCTAGTAACCTACCCTGTAGAGGATGATGCACCAGGTTCTCCTCCCCACATTGTGTAAACACTAAACACGCTAGTAACCTACCCTGTAGAGGATGATGAACCAGGTTCTCCTCCCCACATTGTGTAAACACTAAACACGCTAGTAACCTACCCTGTAGAGGATGATGAACCAGGTTCTCCTCCCCACATTGTGTAAACACTAAACACGCTAGTAACCTACCCTGTAGAGGATGATGAACCAGGTTCTCCTCCCCACATTGTGTAACACTAAACACGCTAGTAACCTACCCTGTAGAGGATGATGAACCAGGTTCTCCTCCCCACATTGTGTAAACACTAAACACGCTAGTAACCTACCCTGTAGAGGATGATGAACCAGGTTCTCCTCCCCACATTGTGTAAACACTAAACACGCTAGTAACCTACCCTGTAGAGGATGATGAACCAGGTTCTCCTCCCCACATTGTGTAAACACTAAACACGCTAGTAACCTACCCTGTAGAGGATGATGAACCAGGTTCTCCTCCCCACATTGTGTAAACACTAAACACGCTAGTAACCTACCCTGTAGAGGATGATGAACCAGGTTCTCCTCCCCACATTGTGTAAACACTAAACACGCTAGTAACCTACCCTGTAGAGGATGATGAACCAGGTTCTCCTCCCCACATTGTGTAAACACTAAACACGCTAGTAACCTACCCTGTAGAGGATGATGAACCAGGTTCTCCTCCCCACATTGTGTAAACACTAAACACGCTAGTAACCTACCCTGTAGAGGATGATGAACCAGGTTCTCCTCCCCACATTGTGTAAACACTAAACACGCTAGTAACCTACCCTGTAGAGGATGATGAACCAGGTTCTCCTCCCCACAGCACTCCCCCAGGTTACCCAACAGGTACACGTGACTTGTTAACTTAGTGTTAACGTTTACAGCAGTTAACTTCTTATCTTTAGAGCACGTGACACTGACCACCTCATCCGACCTACAGCTCTGGTGAACTGTGTGTTGTTCTCCAGTCTCCAGGTTGAGGAAGATAGCGGTGTCAGGTCTCATGTTGGTGTTGATGGTGGTGTAGATTATGCTGGAGTCTGTGGTCCACTGCAGCTGGTGACCAGAGTCTAGTGTTTTTATTAGAGTACCTGTTTCTTCCTGGTTGGAAGTTTTGTTTATTCATTGATAATTTGAAATAGTTAACATTATAAAGGGATAATTCCTAACAAGGACTGATACGTTTGCACGATTTGAATGCTCCTTTTTACTGCCAATTATTGTAAATTGTAAAAAATACAAGTAAAATAAAGAACTGGTCTATGAAAATAAATACTCACATTTATAAGAAAGATACGACTCTCCATATCAGAGCTAACAAGAACAGCTAAATATTCCCCACAGTGTATCACCTCCCTAACTTCAGCCAGACCATCCAGATCATCACACAATGTAACATCCTCGCTTGGAGACATCCGGTATCGTACCAGCTGCTTCTTACCAGTTTTAGAGTCCGTGCTGGAGATGTGTCCCAATTTAATCAATGAAGTTGGTGTAATCGAGTTGACTATGCAAACAAGTTTCGATAAATCTTGAACATTTCCAATATTTTAAAGTTCCAGATAATCAACAATATTAAATAGAAATTCAAGGAATTCATTCTCAAATTCGTAATCTTACTTGCAGAAGTAGTGGCGTCCATTGAAGAACTGAGCGTTTTGGAGGAACCTAGGGATAACCCTACACTGACTGGAACTCTGCATGGACGTCTTGTCTCTGTTTGTCTCCTCCTCTGATATACCGTACTTCTTCATCGTCCTCTCGTTGTATCTGGTAAAGGGAGATGAGTTAAAAAGTAGTTGATAACTAAATTTATAAATACCTTTATTAGGGGGAGAAATATTTGTGTATTTGAAGAACTAGACAAGTCTCCTCGTTCTAAGGAGAGCACGAAGCACTATCATAATAATAAGGATTGGACCAAGAAGTTTTTAGAAAGTAAGCGACTAACCGTGACAGAAACTCTCTGGCTTTATCCGAGTCAGCGCCTCTGGTATAGGAGAGCTGGCGTACACCATGTAGTCTGGAATTTTCACGTGCAGGATTGTATGTCACGTGATGCCTTATGTGTGTACATTCTGGGTTTAAACTGAAGGAAGAGTGACACCGGGTGTTTGTATAGGACTGCTGGCTGGTGTTCACACTTTTTTCGACAATTCTGGAGCAAATGCGACCGTGTTTTAGTAGCATCCTAATGAACAAGACAGTGGTGAAAACTAAATAATGAACTTGATGATGTAGTGGTTGGGAGGCTTGTTTTTGGATTGCTTATTAAATTAAGGGAGTGGCTGACATTTTTCATTTCTGTCTCAAACAATCTGAAGGATAAGCTTCATGCCCCATTGAAGGGCGAAAACAAGGATTAAATTGGCAACTGTAGTACCAAACCTCCAAAAATAAAATCATAATCACAAAAAGCTAACCATACAACAAAAACTTAAATTTAATGTTCAGTCTAAATCAAGGAACATTCCACCTATAAAGTTTTATCTATATCTTATAAAAAACAAAAATTAAATAAGAGTTGTTTCTCTCTGAAACATTCCGATTTCTTCGGCTTCTCAAGAATGTCAAGATGGGTCACGGTTCTTAACATCCCGATGACAGTTGCACAAATTGCTGACATTAGCCTCACTCCACTGACCGACATTATCTTCAGAGTAGATAATAAGGATAGAATCGAAAACACTTAAACGGTATCACGTGCTCTAGTACATATCACGTGTTCTATTATCACGTGTATTGGGGCTCGTAGGGTGGTATCCTCACGACCAGCCCATCAAAGTTCTCCTGGACAATCACCTGACATCCCAGTCTGGAGTGGTCCGTCAGTCCGTATGCCATGTCCAACATATCCTCCTCATCTTCACAAGGCTCACTTCCTGAAGTAAAGGTTTTAACGTTATACATTGTATAATGTATAATGTACAATGTACAATGTATAATGTATAATATCCTCCTCATCTTCACAAGGCTCGCTTCCTGAAGTAAAGGTTTTAAAGTTATACATTGTTAGAGTTAATAATGGACAAAGGCTCCTTGACCCCTTAATTTCAATCTTAATTACGATTCATGTCATGTATAATGTATAATGTTTAATGTATAATGTAAGCGAACTAAACACCCCAAGAAAACTGAAGGTCCAACTCACCCAAGTTATCAAACCAGTCAGGATGAATGACAAGATGACAGGTACAACAGGAGAGGGTTCCCTCGCATGCTCCTTCAAGGTCGATATCGTGCTGGTGCGCTACCTTCATTAGGTTCTCTCCTGGCGAGTAGAGGGGAGATGTTAGGGGTGGCTGGTGCGGGGGGGGGGGGGGGGGGGGGGTTGGGGGGAGAGGACCTGCTACTGTTATCATACTTTCTACAGTCATAGGAGATCTATCTTGTTATCGTTAAGAAAAACTCGCATTGGAAATAAGGAGATTAAAAGCAGCAGTGAGCACCCAGAAACACTGTTAATACCCTACTGACTCACGGAAAGAGTTAGCTTACCTATTTGTGCATCAACTATAAAAGAGTCGCCATCCCGGTCAATGAATTGAACTTTTACAGTTTTCTTTTCAGATTTTGATGATACAAATTTTCTCGAATCAAGAACCCCACAAGAAGAACGAAGAGTTGATGTTTTTGAGTTGATTGTCGCTGATCTCCAAAGCGGAGCTGTCAATTTAGTGAACGATGACGTCATTCGGAACGATGACGTAATCCGGGAACAAGGTGGCCTCACGTTACCATTGTAGTTAAGCATTGGAAGACATCTGATTAAGTTTCGGAGGTTTACAGTCAGTATTCCAGTTGACATTAGGAAGTTCAGAGTTCAGTCAAGTGGTACTCGCTTAATCCAGTCACGTGATACTGGTCCAATCTCCCCTATCTGGATATATTAGACAGTAGTTCTTTCTCTTACAGCTTTTAAGTTTTTACCAAACATGTGCTAACCTAGGGAACAAAACAGAATTAGGATTTTGAGATCGGAACAAAATATGCTGTAACAGCCTGCACCCTTAAAGTCGTATAATAAATAATTTACCAACTTAAAGCTACAAATCAATCGCATTGCAATAAAAGTTTCAAATTAGTAATTAAATAGCAAAAACCAACTGGAAGAAACATCAAGACCATCCAAGATTGAGAAATCATTTGGTACAATATCACTGAACTGGTGACTAACAGACTATAGTTCAGTTAATATTGTAGTGAAGTAAAAACATAGACAGTGATATAACTCCCGATAAACAGTTTGATAATTTAATTGAAATTCCCGTAGAGTTTGAAAGTGTCCAAGAAACCGACTAATGGAGGTATAGGTTAGGGTAGAAATCTTTAGGGTTAGAGTTAGACTAATCTTTATGGACGCCCCCCCCCCCCCCCGACGCTGACCCTAAAATCTATCCTCAGTGGTCGGACTTCTTAGATACTGCCCAAAGTCCTGCCACGGGACGTTCAGCCACAGTGCAACGTTTCACATACTTTTAACCCTCCTGTTGTCGGGTAAGAGGTGGATTTTGGGTTAGGTTGAAGATAGATGCAAACATTTCTTTTAGGTACTGTTCAAGAACGTCCCAGGGCAGGTAAATGCATCAAGGGAAGTTAAAAAGTCACGTTGTTAACAAAATGAGTATTATATAAACAAATAAGCGAAATTTACTTTACAATATAGTAACACGGTAACAGAAGGTGGTTTATTAAGCCACGTGCGTGCTGTTGTCATGTATTCAAAAATGGTTGTCAAGAAATCAATGATATTAATATAATGATAAATGATGTTAAAAGAAAATAAAAGAAGGAACCAAACCCAACCAGACAAAAAAAAACAGCCGAGGCTAGCTGAATATATTTTGTCCCTCTTTTTCACTTATTGAACGTAGCGAAAATTAAGTAAACATCAACATTAAACATCATTACCTGAACAAAAGCTCACATTAAACCAAAATAACCTTAAACGATTACAAACAAGCCTTCTTTACGAATCCGAAGAGTCTTCTATAATTTTCCAGACGGAGATGGCTTTGTGGGCCACCATCTGCTCAGCTATCCTCTTGCTGCAAGCCAGGGGACCGAGAACCTTTTCTGGAAACTTCTCGTGACTCACCTCCGCAGTGAAACCTTTACCTGTAAGGATAGATCAACAATTTAAGATGGTGTCAGTTTGATGGGGAATAAGTTGGTCGATAAAGTGTGACTAAAAATGGAGCAACATCCAATAAAAAACTCCAACAGCACGCCATAAAATGTCATTAAAAAGGAATTAAGATGTCATTAAAAAGGAATTAAAAAGCAATTAAAATATCATTAGAAAGGAATTAAAATGTGGCACAATTAAACAGCAACTAGGATTTCGCGATTATTTTGGCCAAAAATCGCGATACCGCGATTTCTAACAGGCTATACATTAAACTATACATAAAATTTGTCGCAAATAATGGGAAAAATCGCGATTCCGCACATGCCGCGATTTCCTTTTGTCCCTGAGTCAGCAACAAACCTCCTACAGGGGTGATCGTGTAGGAGGGATACTTTAAACCACACTTAGCAAACTAACCACACTTAGCAAACTAACCACACTTAGCAACTAACCACACTTAGCAACTAACCACACTTAGCAACTAACCACACTTAGCAACTAACCACACTTAGCAACTAACCACACTTAGCAACTAACCACACTTAGCAACTAACCACACTTAGCAACTAACCACACTTTGCAACTAACCACACTTAGCAACTAACCACACTTTGCAACTAACCACACTTAGCAACTAACCTCCTACAGGGGTGATAGTGTACGAGGGATACTTTAAACCACACTTAGCAAAGTATTCCTGCAACTGATTCTTACACCAAGAGTATTTAGAGACACCTGCATTCCGCTTAGGATCCCCGTCTGCTACTGGAACACCCTGTCAAACAATATATATCCATGATGATCAGATAAAAATTGTGTTAAAACGATCTAACCAATGATGATATTTATCTTAACATAACTCAACATCCCATCGTTATGAATAGAGCAGATTCTATCCATCCCATCAAATTTAGAATGCTAAAATTAAATAACAAAGTGAAAGTGAAATTAGCACGTTTCTTACATTTTCATCGATAACGTTCAGGGCTTGTAACAATACACAAGCGGCTGACTTTTCCGCCAAAACTTTAGACTTCATAGTCTTGCTAGTGTAACTGTTCTCATTCACTGTTATCTGAAATTAGTGGTATAATAAGGACAACAAACACACGTAAAGAGGAAAAAGTCAAATTTTCGATACAAGACAGTAAATATTCACATGACCTCCAAAGTCTAAGCTTCAACAAAGACACACTTACAATACTAGAGAAACACACTTACAATACTAGAGAAACACACTTACAATACTAGAGAAACACACTTACAATACTAGAGAAACACACTTACAATACTAGAGAAACACACTTAGGGGGGGGCCAAGTGGATATTTGTAGATATTTGTAGATTAATGTAGAATGGATAATCCACGAAAAAAGTGGATGACATTCTACAAATATCTACATTCATCTCCAAAAATTCAGTAGAATTTCTGGGCATTAACTTCAATTTCATCACGTTTTATATATGCTAAGTGATTTAATGATATTATCTGACTACTTGCACAGTTCTTCTATGTTTATTTGAGTGTATTTACATGGAGATTATGGTCCATAAACACTATCATATAGAGAAAAGCAATGATCTAAAAGGGTGGAACTATCTAATTTAATGTTGCATATTATGGGGGGGGGGGGGGGGGGGGGGGGGGGGGGATCTTTACCGGGGTGCTGTCAGTCTGAACTTCCAACCATGCCATCCGCCTGACTAGGGAGAGATAAAAGAGGTACTGTTAAATATGGCAAAATAAAATTGTCACAAGGTGGAATGAGGAGGAGGAGGTGGAAGAGGAGGCTAGGAGGACTGTGGAGAAGGAGGGGACTGAGGAGAAGGAAGAGGAGAACTGAGGAGGAGGACTGAGGAGAAGGAGGAAGAGGATGAGGACTGAGAAGGAAGAGGAGGAGGAGGATGAGGACTGAGAAGGAAGAGGAGGACTAAGGAGGAATATTGAGGAGGATGAGGATCACTGATCGGCTTAGGGCGAGGCCGAGGGGTACTTTTTTAGCTTAATAGACGAGGCCGAGGAGTGCCATCTTAGTTAAGACCGAGGCCGAGGGAAGCCGTGGGGTGCTTTTTTGACCGAGGCAGAGGTCTATCCTAGTATATGCCCTTTGAATAAACGCCATCATGTAATTAGGAAAAAAATTAGGAATACTGTTTTCAGAAATGAGAAATGAGAATGTGTCGTACATATAAGGACTGAGGAGGAAGAGGATGACTGAGGAGGAGGAGGACTGAGGAAAAAGAGGACTGAGAAAGAGGTGGAGGAGGTTGAGGAGGACTGAGGAAGAGGAGGACGGAAGAGGACTGAGGAGGAAAAACACTCAAGAGGATCAGTAGGACTGAAAAGGAGAGAACTGAGGAGGAAAAGAGGAGGAGAATGACTGGGGAGGAAGAGTTAGGAGGGGGACTGAGGAGGAAGAATCAGAAGGAGGGGGACTGAGGAGGAAGTGTTAGGAGGAGGGGACTGAGGAGGAAGATTAAGGAGGAGGTGGACTGAGGAGGAAGAGGAGGACTGAGGAGGAAGAGTTAGGAGGATCAGGAGGGGGACTGAGGAGAAGGACTTAGGAGAAGGAGGACTGAGGAGGAGGATGAGGGGAAGGAGGAAGAGAAGGAAGAGTAGGGGAGAAGGAAGCATCTAAATTTTATTTCCGTAACAGTTTTTGTCCGTTTTTGTCCATTTTTGTCCGCTTGCGGATGGGGAGACGGAGGACTGAGAAGAAACTGTACAAGCGAGGACTGAGGAGAACTGAGGAGGAAAAGGATAACTGAGGAGGAGGACTGAGGAAGAAGAGGACTGAAGGTGAGGTGGAGGGGGAGGAGGTTGAGGAGGACTGAGGAAGAGGAGGAGGAAAAATACTCAGGATGATCAGTAGGACTGAGAAGGAGAGGACTGAGGAGGAGGAGGACTGAGGAGAAGGATAATGACTGGGAAGAAGGAGGACTGAGGAGGGGACTGAGGAGGAGGTGGAGGGAGACTGAGGAGGAAGAGTTAGGAGGAGGGGGACTGAGGAGGAAGACTTAGGAGGAGGAGGCCTGTAAAAATGTCCGCTTTCTGAGGAGGAGGATGCGGATGGGGAGACGGAGGACTGAGAAGGAACTGTACAATGTACATGCGATGACTGAGGAGGACTGAGGAGGGAAGGATGACTGAGGAAGAGGACTGAGGAAGAGGAGGACTGAGGATAAGGTGGAAGAGGGTGAGGAGGACGGAGGAAGAGGAGGACTGAGGAAGAGGAGGTCTGAGGAGGATGATAAGGAGGAGGATGTCAGGATGAGGAAGAGGATGAGTAGGAACACTGAGAAGGATGAGAAGGAGGATGAACCATCTAAATGTCATTTCCGTAACAGTTTTTGTTCACTCCGGACTGCGGAGGAGGATGATTGAAGAGGAGGAGGAGGAGGTTGAGGAGGACTGAGAAGGAGAAGGACTGAGGAGGAGAAGGACTGAGGAGGAGAAGCACTGAGGAGGAGGTGTAGGAGGACTGAGGAGGAGGAGGAGGAGGAGGAGGAGGAGGAGGAGGAGGAGGAGGAGGATAAGGAGGTGGAAGACTTGGGAGGAGGAAGAGGACCAAAGAGTAGAAGGAGCAGTGTGGTTGACTATTTCGTAATCACCTCATGGGCAAGAGATCATTGCTTTGTGAAATTAGTATGAATTTATCTTGAGCCGTCCTGCAGGACATGCAAACTTTGCTGGAGTATAGTTTTGCGAAACAAACTTAACCCGACCCTTCGAAATCATGACATTTGAACTCCCTCAGCTTCGCTTTCTTGATCGAAAGCTGATGCTAAAATCCCCCCCCCCCCCCCCCCTCCTGAAGAAGAGGAGGTCTGAGGAGGATGATAAGGAGGAGGATGTCAGGATGAGGAAGAGGATGAGTAGGAACACTGAGAAGGATGAGAAGGAGGATGAACCATCTAAATGTTATTTCTGTAACAGTTTTTGTTCGCTCCGAACAAATCATGAACATTTGAACTCTCTCAGCTCCGCTTTCTTGATCGAATGCTGATGCTAAAATTCCCAAAATTAGTTTTTCCCCCGTTCAGCAACAGAGTTTCTGCCGATCTTATGTCGATCGTTCCGAAGAGGGTTGTGCTGACCTCAGTTGCTGCCTCCGAATCTGCTTCCTCCGATTCTAACATATTATAAGTATCATCAGTGCAAGTGGGACAGTCCACTTCATCATTCTCACACTCAGTCAACTCTGCAGGGTCATTTATATCCTCCTCTCATTCAATCGGATGATGTTTTCATCTTCAAATATTTGCAGGAAAGGTAACTTGAACTTCTTACCATCGTCCACGACAGCCTTGGTACCTCGTTCCATGGCTTTCTTCAAGCTATCTATTTTGATGTCACTTGAACTCAAATCGTGGACCTCCTTCGTATCATTCTTCCATGTCTCGTGTGGTAGTGGAACTTCTTCCCTGAAAATACTGCGTCCACGGGAATGGGCATAGGCTGTCATGTCATCTGCAAGAGCGAGCTCTGAGCGAAGATTTCTTTTCTCGCAGCCGTATGCTAAAGTTATGGCATCGAGATTTGTGCGGCGACCAGCAAAGATACCAGTTCGAATCCAAGCAAAGAGTTGTTCATTAGCATCAGATCCTAGTAGGTATGTTGTTACTTTTGCAGAAAAAGGAGATAGAGAATGAGTCCATCGCAAGTACATTTCAGATCTTTAAACGTCTGCCAAGTTATAAACTGACAACTATCAGTTATATTAGATTTCCAGAGAACAAAAAAAGACTTGCAGTACCAAGCCTTTTCTACTCTCTGCTCTGGACTAAAATCCTTGTCTAAGAAAGCCTCAGCTAGAAAATGGATACTCTTCAGAAAAAGTCCTGTGGCTGAATATCCTTCTCTCAAAAAATACTAGTATAAGCAGGACAGATCCAGAACAAGTGAAGGATCTTGACGGTCAGTCAGATTCAAAGCACTGAGAGAAGTATAGGCAAGCATATAGGGGTTGTCCTTGATGAAATTATAGATGAGTGGTTGCATCAAATATGGAACCTAATTCAGGTATTTAATGACATGTATGATTACTGGAAGCTTTCTGGAATCCAATAGATAAAACATGTAATGGATAAGAAATCACACAAATTTCTATACATTTTTTGTAGATAAATGTAGATATTTGTAGATTATTGTCAATGGATAATTCACGAAAAAAGTGGATGACATTCTACAAATATCTACAAATATCCACTTGGCCCCCCCCCCCCCCACTTACAATACTAGAGAAACCGCCAGCACACTTGCTAGTCTGATAAGTTGGTAGAGTCCAGCCTTGTTTGACAACATGCTCCTGGAGCAGGTTTTTGTAGTTGTACTGGACCGGAGGTGGGGTCTCCTTTTTGACGGGACTTATCACCGGGGCTACCTCTTCTTCAACCAGCTCTTCTTGTCTTTCTGCTGGAGAGTATGGTATCTTAAGAGTCTCTTTTGGTTTTAATTCAAAAGATGATAAATTGATCATCTTAATTCAGCATTAGGCATTAGTTCAACTCTAATATATTTTGCAGAAAGTCTACTTATCCAACCCAAGTTTTAATAATAACCTCATATTCACACTTACCTAATCTGTCAGTAGTCTGTATCCCATTTGTTTCTTCAGTTGCTACTGTAGTGGTAACTTCCTCCACGAGGATAGGTTCCGCTATGCATTGAGCAGCACTCGCCAGAATAGCACTCAGGCTCTGTAGTTGCCGTTGAAGCGCTGCTATCGTCTTTGATTGCTCTGCTACCTGAGGAAGAGTTAGTCACAAATAGATTCAAAGTGGAAAGTATGTACGACAAAAGAACTTGACCCCGACGTGATTTGAACACGCAACCTTCTGATCTGGAGTCAGACGCGCTACCGTTGCGCCACGGAGTCTTATGTCACAACTCGATGTTTACCTATTTACTCATAGTATATTTTTATCGCTGACCTTTTCTTCTAGAGCAGCAATTCGTTGATTGTTACTATCTCTGCTCTTAATCGTCATTCCATCAGCCGGACATTTTACCATGCTAAATCTGGGTAAAAAGTGTGTGTAACGTTCAGTTGTAATCCTACGATTTGAACATGGAATAACTGTGCGCGCTTACGCGCGAACATTTGAAAGAATATCGAGAAGTCTACAATAAGGGTACCGCGGCACACGCTGAACAACATTTCTACGTGTGACCAAAAGGACACTACGATAAATCACCTTGTCCGGTTAAATTTGCAATTCGGTAAAACATTATATTCAATCCAGTAGGCGTTCAGAATTTATAATCATATCATTCAATATAGATACTTGAACAGAAATATTCTTGAGTGCTACAATTATAGTCGTATCCCTCGCATTAATGCTATGCCGCCGATGAATTACCTTTCAAATAAAAGTAAATAACAACAAAAATAGCATATACAACCTACCACGTCAGACCTACTGCACGTCAAGAGATTTATAAATGTGAGGAAACTATCGACAATTTTATTAAAGCGTTGTCAAAACTTAAATCTGAAATAAACAAAAAATATCGCAACCACTGCACAATACACATTGTACAGTCAAACCCTGATTTATTGAGAATTATCCCCAGAAAAAGGTGGTTATGATTAACGCTTTCGGGGGATCTGAGGAACTATCGTGGCACCGTCATACAAACCCCAGTAAATCAAGGTTTAACTGTAGTTTGTTTGTTTTCGATATAATCGGCATTGCTTACCAAAATGGTTCATATTGCGGTAAGTGAATAGACTATAAAGCTAATAAAATTAATCTCATAGTTTGGCTATAATATAGAAATAATAAAATTGATATTGAAATGAATAATTAGAATTAGAATATCACTCATAATCCTTTGTCACACCTCTTCAACCTCTACTCGACTGGAATACTACAATTTCCTCCGTGAAATATTACACTACTGATCATTTCCTCACAACTTCGTACCCTCACCTTCCCCACAATTGGGCGCCACGTTTTCCAACTCTGCTCGCGCGTTTGCAACAATCCAAGGGTGCTTTGATATTTCCTTGAGCGTTAAGCGCTTCTCAGGGCGCTTGCGCAGGATCCCACTGATAAAGTGCCGTGCAAGTTTGCTGACGTGCGCAGGAAACTCGACGGGAGTGTTCAGGATACGATTGTAAGTCTCCTCGTGTCCGTCAGCTTCGAAAGGAGGTTTACCGACCAGGAACTCGTAACATAGAATCCCCAAGCACCAGATGTCAACCTGTAAAGAGCTTGGTTTAGGGAACTTGGGGGAACTTGGGGGTCGCCTGAAACATCATGCATTAGGGGGGATCTAGTGGGTCGCCCTGCCCTGGAACATCATGCATTAGGGGGGATCTAGTGGGTCGCCCTGCCCTGAAACATCATGTATTATAGTGGGTCTAGTGGGTCGCCCTGCCCTGAAACATCATGCATTAGGGGGGGTCTAGTGGGTCGCCCTGCCCTGAAACATCATGTATTAGAGGGGGTCTAGTGGGTCGCCCTGCCCTGAAACATCATGTATTAGAGGGGGTCTAGTGGGTCGCCCTGCCCTGAAACATCATGCATTAGGGGGGATCTAGTGGGTCGCCCTGCCCTGAAACATCATGCATTAGGGGGGATCTAGTGGGTCGCCCTGCCCTGAAACATCATGCATTAGGGGGATCTAGTAGGTCGCCCTGCCCTGAAACATCATGCATTAGGGGGATCTAGTGGGTCGCCCTGCCCTGAAACATCATGCATTAGGGGGATCTAGTAGGTCGCCCTGCCCTGAAACATCATGCATTAGGGGGATCTAGTGGGTCGCCCTGCCCTGAAACATCATGCATTAGAGGGGATCTAGTGGGTCGCCCTGCCCTGAAACATCATGTATTAGGGGGGATCTAGTGGGTCGCCCTGCCCTGAAACATCATGCATTAGAGTGGGTCTAGTGGGTCGCCCTGCCCTGAAACATCATGCCTTAGGGGGGATCTAGTGGGTCGCCCTGCCCTGAAACATCATGCCTTAGGGGGGGGGGGTCTAGTGGGTCGCCCTGCCCTGAAACATCATGCATTAGAGGGGGTCTAGTGGGTCGCCCCTGCCCTGAAACATCATGCATTAGAGGGGGTCTAGTGGGTCGCCCTGCCCTGAAACATCATGTTTTAAAGGGGATCTAGTGGTCGCCTGCCCTGAAACCCCATGCATTAGGGGGTCTAGGGGGTCCCCTGCCCTAAAACTCATGCTTTAAGGGGATCTATTTGGTCGCCCTGCCCTAAACACCATGCAAGGGGGGACTAGTGGGTCCCCCCCCGAAATCAGCATTAAAGGGGGTCTATTGGGCGCCCTGCCCTGAAACACCAGCATTAGAGGGGGTCTGGGGGTTCCCCCTGCCCTAAACACCTGATTAGGGGGGGCCCCCCCTTGGGCGCCCGCCCTAAACACCCACATAAGGGGCTAGGGGCCCCCTGCCCTAAACATAAAACATTAGGGGGATCTAAAGTGGGCCCCGCCCTGAAACATCATTTTTAGGGGGGGGTCTATGGGCGCCCTGCCCTAAAAACATATCTTAGGGGCTAGTGGTCGCCCTGCCCTGAAACATCATGATTGGGGGGGATAAAAGGGGGTCCCCTCCCCAAAACACCATCTTAGGGGGGGTCTAGTGGGTCGCCCTGCCCTGAAACATCATGCATTAGGGGGATCTAGTGGGGTCGCCCTGCCCTGAAACATCATGCATTAGGGGGGATCTAGTGGGTCGCCCTGCCCTGAAACATCATGCATTAGGGGGAGTCTAGTGGGTCGCCCTGCCCTGAAACATCATGCATTAGGGGGATCTAGTGGGTCGCCCTGCCCTGAAACATCATGCATTAGGGGGATCTAGTGGTCGCCCTGCCCTGAAACATCATGTATTAGAGTGATCTAGTGGGTCGCCTGCCCTGAAACATCATGTATTAGAGGGGATCTATGGGTCGCCCTGCCCTGAAACACATGTATTAGAGGGGGTATTAGTGGGGGCGCCCTGCCTGAACATCATGCATTAGAGGGGGTCTAGTGGGTCGCCCTGCCCTGAAACCATCATGCATAGAGGGGGGTTCTAGTGGGTCGCCCTGCACTGAAACACCATGCATTAGAGGGGGTCCTAGTGGGTCGCCCTGCCCTGAACATCATGCATTAGAGGGGGTCTAGTGGGTCAGCCCTGGCCACTGAAACATCACGCATTAGAGGGGATCTAGTGGGTCACCCTGCCTGAAACATCATGTATTAGAGGGGATCTAGTGGTCGCCCTGCCCTGAAACATCATGTATTAGAGGGGATCTAGTGGGTAGCCCTGCCCTGAAACACCATGCATTAGAGGAGGGGGTCTGTGGGTCACCCTGCCCTGAAACATCATGCATTAGAGGGGATCTAGTGGGTCACCCTGCCCTGAAACACCATGCATTAGAGGGGATCTAGTGGGTCGCCCTGCCCTGAACATCATGCATTAGAGGGGTCTAGTGGGTCGCCCTGCCCTGAAAACACCATGCATTAGAGGGGGTCTAGTGGGTCGCCCTGCCCTGAAACAACCATGCATTAGAGGGGGTCTAGTGGGTCGCCCTGCCTGAAACACATGCATAGAGGGGGGTCTAGTGGGTCTCCTTGCCCCCTGCAACCATCATACATTAGGGGGGATCTATCATCTAGTGGGAGCGCCCTTGCCCCCCTGAACCATCATGTATTAGAGGGGGTCTAGTGGGGCGCCCTGCCCTGAAACATTCCATAGCATTAGGGGGATCTAGTGGGTCGCCCTGCCCTGAAACATCATGTATTAGGGGGATCTAGTGGGTCGCCCTGCCCTAAACCCACCATGCATTAAGGGGGTCTAGTGGGTCGCCCTGCCCTGAAACATCATGCCTTAGAGGGGATCTAGTGGGTCGCCCTGCCCTGAAACATCATGCATTAGGGGGGGATCTAGTGGGTCGCCCTGCCCTGAAACATCATGCATTAGGGAGGTCCTAGTGGGTCGCCCTGCCCTGAAACATCATGCATTAGGGGGGATCTAGTGGGTCACCCTGCCCTGAAACATCATGCCTTAGGGGGGGGGATCTAGTGGGTCGCCCTGCCCTGAAACATCATGCATTAGAGGGGGTATAGTGGGTCGCCCTGCCCTGAAACATCATGCATTAGGGAGATCTAGGGGTCGCCCTGCCCTGAAACATCATGCATTAGAGGGGGTATAGTGGGGCGCCCTGCCCTGAAACATCATGTATTAGAGGGGGTCTAGTGGGGCGCCCTGCCCTGAAACATCATGCATTAGGGGGGATCTAGTGGGTCGCCCTGCCCTGAAACACCATGCATTAGAGGGGGTCTAGTGGGTCGCCCTGCCCTGAAACATCATGCATTAGGGGGGATCTAGTGGGTCGCCCTGCCCTGAAACATCATGCATTAGGGAGGTCTAGTGGGTCGCCCTGCCCTGAAACATCATGCATTAGGGGGGATCTAGTGGGTCACCCTGCCCTGAAACATCATGCATTAGGGGGGGATCTAGTGGGTCGCCCTGCCCTGAAACATCATGCATTAGAGGGGGTATAGTGGGTCGCCCTGCCTGAAACATCATGTATTAGGGGGGATCTAGTGGGTCGCCCTGCCCTGAAACATCATGCATTAGGGGGGGTCTAGGGGTCGCCCTGCCCTGAAACATCATGCATTAGAGGGGGTCTAGTGGGTCGCCCTGCCCTGAAACACCATGCATTTAGAGGGGGTCTAGTGGGTCGCCCTGCCCCTGAAACATCATGCATTAGAGGGGGTCTAGTGGGTCGCCCTGCCCTGAAACATCATGCATTAGAGGGGGTATAGTGGGTCGCCCTGCCCTGAAACATCATGCATTAGGGGGGTCTAGTGGGTCGCCCTGCCCTGAAACACCATGCATTAGAGGGGGTCTAGTGGGTCGCCCTGCCCTGAAACATCATGCATTAGGGGGATCTAGTGGGTCGCCCTGCCCTGAAACATCATGCATTAGAGGGGGTCTAGTGGGTCGCCCTGCCCTGAAACATCATGCATTAGAGGGGGATCTAGTGGGTCGCCCTGCCCTGAAACATCATGCATTAGAGGGGGGATCTAGTGGGTCGCCCTGCCCTGAAACATCATGCATTAGGGGGATCTAGTGGGTCGCCCTGCCCTGAAACATCATGCATTAGAGGGGGTCTAGTGGGTCGCCCTGCCCTGAAACATCATGCATTAGAGGGGGTCTAGTGGGTCGCCCTGCCCTGAAACATCATGTATTAGGGGGGGGATCTAGTGGGTCGCCTGCCCTGAAACACCATGCATTAGAGGGGGTATAGTGGGTCGCCCTGCCCTGAAACATCATGCATTAGAGGGGGGTATAGTGGGTCGCCCTGCCCTGAAACATCATGCATTAGGGGGGATCTAGTAGGTCGCCCTGCCCTGAAACATCATGCATTAGGGGGGGGGGGGGATCTAGTGGGTCGCCCTGCCCTGAAACATCATGCATTAGAGGGGGGATCTAGTGGGTCGCCCTGCCCTGAAACTCCAGCATTAGAGGGGGTCTAGTGGGTCGCCCTGCCCTGAAACATCATGCATTAGAGGGGGTATAGTGGGTCGCCCTGCCCTGAAACACCATGCATTAGGGGAGATCTAGTGGGTCGCCCTGCCCTGAAACATCATGCATTAGGGGGATCTAGTGGGTCGCCTGCCCTGAAACATCATGCCTTAGGGGGGGGGATCTAGTGGGTCGCCCTGCCCTGAAACACCATGCATTAGAGGGGGTCTAGTGGGTCGCCCTGCCCTGAAACATCATGCATTAGAGGGGGTATAGTGGGTCGCCCTGCCCTGAAACATCATGCATTAGGGGGGATCTAGTGGGTCGCCCTGCCCTGAAACATCATGCATTAGGGGGGATCTAGTGGGTCGCCCTGCCCTGAAACATCATGCATTAGGGGGGATCTAGTGGGTCGCCCTGCCCTGAAACATCATGCATTAGGGGGGGATCTAGTGGGTCGCCCTGCCCTGAAACATCATGCATTAGAGGGGGTCTAGTGGGTCGCCCTGCCCTGAAACATCATGCATTAGAGGGGATCTAGTGGGTCACCCTGCCCTGAAACACCATGCATTAGAGGGGATCTAGTGGGTCGCCCTGCCCTGAAACATCATGCATTAGGGGGGATCTAGTGGGTCGCCCTGCCCTGAAACATCATGCATTAGGGGGGATCTAGTGGGTCGCCCTGCCCTGAAACATCATGCATTAGGGGGGATCTAGTGGGTCGCCCTGCCCTGAAACATCATGCATTAGGGGGGATCTAGTGGGTCGCCCTGCCCTGAAACATCATGCATTAGGGGGGGATCTAGTGGGTCGCCCTGCCCTGAAACATCATGCATTAGAGGGGGATCTAGTGGGTCGCCCTGCCCTGAAACATCATGCATTAGGGGGGATCTAGTGGGTCGCCCTGCCCTGAAACATCATGCATTAGGGGGGTCTAGTGGGTCGCCCTGCCCTGAAACATCATGCATTAGGGGGGATCTAGTGGGTCGCCTGCCTGAAACATCATGCATTAGGGGGATCTAGTGGGTCGCCCTGCCCTGAAACATCATGCATTAGGGGGATCTTAGTGGGGGTCGCCCTGCCCTGAAACATCAATGCATTAGGGGGGATCTAGTAGGTCGCCCTGCCCGGAAACATCATGAATTAGAGGGGTTGACTAGTGGGTCGCCCGGCCCTGAAACACATGCCTTAGGGGATCTATGTGGGTCGCCCGCCCTGAAACATCATGCATTAGGGGGGGGTCCTAGTGTCCGCCCTGCCCTGAAAACATCAATGCATTAGGGGGGGGATCTAAGTGGTCGCCGGCCCTGAAACATCATGCCTTAGGGGGATCTAGATGGGTCGCCCGCCCTGAAACAACATGCGATTAGGGGGGCGGGGCGGCTTGGGGGGGGGGGGTGGATTGTTGGGGGGGGGGGGAGGGGGGGGTGGGCGGGGGGGTTAGTGGGTGCCCTGCCTGAAACATCATGATAGGGGGGATAGTGGTCCGCGAATGATTAGGGGATTAGTGGGTCGCCCTGCCCGGAAACATCATGCATAAGGGGGTTAGTGGGTCGCCGCCTGCCCTGAAACACCATGCATTAGGGGGGTCTGTGGGTCGGGCCTGCCCTGAACATATGTTAGGGGGATCTAGGTGGGGTCACATGTTAAGAGTGGCGTGCCTGCCCTGAACATCATGATGAGGGGATCTAGTGGGTCGCCCTGCCCTGAAACATCATTCATTAGAGGGGTCTAGTGGGGCGCCTGCCCTGAAACACATGCATTAGGGGGATCTAGTGGGTCGCCCTGCCCTGAACACATGCATTAGAGGGGTTCTAGTGGGTCGCCCTGCCTGAAACACCATGCATTAGAGGGGTTAGTGGGTGCCGCCGTGCCCTGAAACATCATGCATTAGGGGGGTCTAGTGGGTCGCCCTGCCCTGAAACATCATGCATTAGGGGGGTCTAGTGGGTCGCCCTGCCCTGAAACATCATGCATTAGGTGGGGGGGTCTAGTGGGTCGCCCTGCCCTGAAACATCATGCATTAGGGGGGTCTAGTGGGTCGCCCTGCCCTGAAACAGCATGCCTTAGGGGGGGGGGGGTCTAGTGGGTCGCCCTGCCCTGAAACTCATGTATTAGGGGGGTCTAGTGGGTCGCCCTGCCCTGAAACATCATGCCTTAGAGGGGGTCTAGTGGGTCACCCTGCCCTGAAACATCATGCATTAGGGGGGGTCTAGTGGGTCGCCCTGCCCTGAAACATCATGCCTTAGAGGGGGTCTAGTGGGTCACCCTGCCCTGAAACATCATGCATTAGGGGGGGTCTAGTGGGTCACCCTGCCCTGAAACATCATGCATTAGGGGGGGTCTAGTGGGTCGCCCTGCCCTGAAACATCATGCCTTAGAGTTCTTATCTGAACCCTATCCACGATGCCAACTCCAACTGCAACTCTTCTGGGGCAAGATGCTCTTGAGCCCCTGACCTAGCCAGTAGCCTGTCACTTAAAAATAAAAGATAATTATAATCTCACTGTTGCTATCTAATTAATTAATTAATTAATCTAATTTCCCACCTTATCGTCATGCTCTTTCCCTACAACCATCTCAGGAGGAAGATAATCCAGCGTACCACACATGGTCTTGCGTCTGTTACTGGGCGCGTGCACACTCCACCCAAAGTCTGCTATCTTCAGTACGTCCCAGTCTGTGTGTCCTGGCTTACCTCCGATTAGTAGGTTCTCTGGTTTTATATCTCTGTGAATCACCTGTGGTAGTATGGAAATTTATAATATTTTAATATTGTGTGCTGTAATGTTATATGGTTGTTTGGGGGTGGATAGCTCAGGGAATTGAAAGGAATACTGGATGTTATTTCTTGATCAAGATCAAATTACTGCTTTTGGAGATTAAACTTTATTTTATCAATTATCTCAAAATACTCAGAAAAGGTATTTACGTTGTTTTGATGACAGTGTTGAAGAGCACATGAAAGCTGGAGAATATAATTCGCAGCAACTTTCTCGTCGAATCTACCAAGTTTAGTGAGTACTCCGTACAGTTCACCTTTAGGTGCGAACTCCAGAATCAGGTATATCCGCGTTTCATCGTGGAACCTACATAGTGAATATAATGAAATAAGTGTTTTAGTTGTGAATTTAAAATGTAAAATTAAATTGGCGTTCAGAAGAAGTCATGAGTTGAAAGAGTTTTATTGAAAGTTGAGTAATTTTACATTTATCCTCAGCAATATTGACTGAAAATAACTGAAAATTATGTAGTAAGTGACAAGAACTTACCAGCCGTATAATCTGAGAATGTTATCGTGATCAAGATGAGACTGAATCTCAATCTCCCTCCTCAGCTGATGTTCCACTCGGTTCTTCCTCAGCTCCGACTTGAACAGCACTTTCAGCGCCACAATGAACTTGGTGCGCTTTTCCCGCGCCAGATACACTCTGCCAAACTTTCCTTTTCCTAGTGGTTTACCAACCTCAAAGTCATTCAAACTCCAGTCCGACTTTGGGAGGTCGCTCAGTGACATGGCTGTTTTACTAAGATGATAGAGTCGTGTTAGGATATTAGGAAACCGTTAGTAAGCAATTAGTAAGCAATTAGTAAGTAATTAGTAAGTAATGAGCTAAGATTATAAGAATATTGTAACTTCCAGGCTAGACGTTTGCAGTTCATCAAACTTTTGTTATTGAGCATGAAATTATTTCAAAGAAAATAAACAAAAATTAAACTTTAGTAACGGAAGTAAATCAAAATAAATTACTAAACTAATATAAAAACGAATAAAATTTAAGAAGTGCTTGCACCATTATTCTTAGATCTTAAGATACTTCTTCGTATAGCATCTTTCTCGCTTGGCAACATGCCCAGTGCCCACTCATATCTGGATATGATTATTTTAAAAACCAAGCCAATAATTCATAATTTATAATGACTTAAAAATTCATGACCACATCAAATTCTAACTCGTTACTGGAACTTCAGCATTTTCGTTATCATCAGTGCTTTTGGGAGCACTAAACCTCTGGATGATTTCCTCAATGTTACTTATAGTGTTCGTTATCTCCTTGATATCATCTCGCGGCAACTCCATCGGAATTTCCCTCTCCTTAGTCTGATACTCCAGCAAACCCTCGCCAAGTGTAAACAGTATGTTCAAAAATTTAGTAGGATCTGCTTCTTTTGCAGTTTCTGGGGGTTGGAAATTTCCAGATAATTGTAACTCTTCCATTAAATCAAACAGCTCTATCTCAGCTCTGATATCAGAAGGAATGTCGTCCTCCTCCGGGAAGGGGGTGGAGAATGAGTTCATGTCAACAGATGATGGAACATCGCCCGGTATTGCGGATATCTTAGGTAGTGGCATGGGTGGGGGTATGGTTATAGCCTGATGCTGATGGATATCATCTGTTGGTTTGATCTGTGGATTGAGGTGAGGTTTAGGCTGGGGTTTAGATTTAGTGGTCAGAGGTTTGGAGTGAGGATTAGGAAGGAGGGGTTTAGCTGGGGCATCCCTTGGTTTCTTGTTAGGCGGTTCTGTTGGAGTACGAGAACGGGACCTCACATTTATTATCTGGTCAGGCTCGTCACTTGATTTGGAACGCTCGTCAGCTGTTGAGGCTGTCGGCATCAACGGACGGCGATTAACTGGCGTTTTTCTGGGGAGTATTGGTTTTTAAAAGATTGAAGACAGACTGAATTACTTTCTTGTTTATTTAGGACAAAGATTCACAGCCTATAACTACATTTGTTCAAAAGAAAGGTCAGCATCATAGTGATCATACCCGAGATCGTTGGGTAGTTTTTTAGTGGACATCACTTGGTACAAATCAAATTGGTCGTCATCTAAACAATCCTGCTCCATCTTGAAGATTTTCTTTGTGACCTCATCCAATTCTGCTTGTGCCTGTTTAAGATTTAAACGTTAGATCTCATAAATAAATTAAGCCAATTGTAATTCAATAAGCTGACCAGAAATTAAACACTCAGCAGGCATTACCATTTTAATCTAAAATTTAATGATCCGAGAATAAAAAAAAGTAAAAGATATGTTAAAAATTGCAGTACACATACCTTGGCTCTAGTGGATGGTTTTGGAAAGTCGAGTCCTTTAGCGATTCTATCAGCAGTCTTTTTTTCCCAATTCCATACAACGTTTATCTTATGATGTCTACCTATAATGGAGAATTGGTATTAAGAACATTATATCATAAGGAGAAGATTATGAGAAAATATAAGATTATAAGATTGCAGATTTAACTAATTGCTGTTTGGCCAACGGAGCTAACTCCGATGCGAGCCATGTTCTTGTACCGACTGTGTTCCAGTTAAATTTAATGTTTATTTCTCTGTAACATAACGATCAAGTCACAAATTAGGTCTCTATAATGATTTAATATTGTTGAATAAAGAGATTTGAATATAATATTTGTTTTATTCTGTTCAAATATTTCAAAATATTTGTTTTATTCGGAACTCACCAATCACGTGATTTCTATCGTTATGGTGGAAGTCCACACAGCACAGGGAACAGTGGTAGAGGGGCAGGTCATTAACCATGGACTTTAGAGAGATACAGTTCATTCCAATAATCAAATCACTCTCCAGAAGACTTTGATTCTGTTAAGAGATCATGTTTTAAGTTATTTGAAGTAAATAAAGTGGTTTACTTTTTGAATAGGGGATCGTTAAAACTCAAGTATTTGTATTGAATAGATCACGTGTGAATAATCAATAAATTTCAACAATAACACTAACAGTGACTTTGTTAACATAGTCCGGATCCTTCCACCCGCAGTCAAATAGCTGGTTCATGTCTTTACAGAGTTTAATAGAGCCGTCCTTCATCTTTACTCCCGGGACGCTCCAGATACACCTGGACATTAGTCCAATTAGATTAAATGATTAATTAATTAATTAATTAATTACAGGGATTAATGATTAAATACTAAATATTTATTGAATGAGTCATTGGAAGTGTAAGTTCAGTTCGTTTATCGTTTCGTGGAGTGATGATTCAATACGATCCATTGAGTTAGATCAATTAATAATTCCCCAAAAAAACTATTTAAATATGTAAAATAATTAACGGCTGATTTGTACCTCTTCCCCAAGTATTCGGATTGTGTTACTAATTTAACGTGTCCCTTTGATTTGATGTGCTCATCCCATGACTTGAGATTCTGGACTGATATAAAGCAACACTTGCACAGTAACAGTCCTGTAAGTGGAATGTTAAGTGGAATGTTTAGTTTGTTAAAACTGATACGTCTTGATAAATTGCACAAATGAATGGTAAGTATACTCTTCTGGGGCAAGATGCTCTTGAGACCCTGACCTAGCCAGTAGCCTGTCACTTAAAAATAAAAGATAATTATAATCTCACTGTTGCTATCTAATTAATTAACTAATCTAATTTCCCACCTTATCGTCATGCTCTTTCCCTACAACCATCTCAGGAGGAAGATAATCCAGCGTACCACACATGGTCTTGCGTCTGTTACTGGGCGCATGCACACTCCACCCAAAGTCTGCTATCTTCAGTACGTCCCAGTCCGTGTGTCCTGGCTTACCTCCGATTAGTAGATTCTCTGGTTTTATATCTCTGTGAATCACCTGTGGTAGTATGGAAATTTATAATATTTTAATATTGTGTGCTGTAATGTTATATGGTTGTTTGGGGGTGGATAGCTCAGGGAATTGAAAGGAATACTGGATGTTATTTCTTGATCAAGAGCAAATTACTGCTTTTGGAAATTTAACTTTATTTTATCAATTATCTTGAGGCTATAGCTATAGCTACTATGTTATTTCTTGAATTTTGTACTCTCAAAATAACAGAAAAGGTATTTACGTTGTTTTGATGACAGTGTTGAAGAGCACAGGAAAGCTGGAGAATATAATTCGCAGCAACTTTCTCGTCAAATTTACCAAGTTTAGTGAGTACTCCGTACAGTTCACCTTTAGGTGCAAACTCCAGAATCAGGTATATCCGCGTTTCATCGTGGAACCTACATAGTGAATATGATGGAATAAGTGTTTTAGTTGTGAATTTAAAATGTAAAGATAAATTGGCGTTCAGAAGAAGTCATGAGTTGAAAGAGTTTTATTGAAAGTTGAGTAATTTTACATTTATCCTCAGCAATATTGACTGAAAATAACTGAAAATTACAGTAAGTGACTTGAAGAACTTACCAGCCGTATAATCTGAGAATGTTATCGTGATCAAGATGAGACTGAATCTCAATCTCCCTCCTCAGCTGATGTTCCACTCGGTTCTTCCTCAGCTCAGACTTGAACAGCACTTTCAGCGCCACAATGAACTTGGTGCGCTTTTCCCGCGCCAGATACACTCTGCCAAACTTTCCTTTTCCTAGTGGTTTACCAACCTCAAAGTCATTCAAACTCCAGTCCGACTTTGGGAGGTCGCTCAGTGACATGGCTGTTTTACTTAGATGATAGAGTCGTGTTAGCAGATTAGGAAACCGTTAGTAAGCAATTAGTAAGCAATTAGTAAGTAATGAGCTAAGATTATAAGAATATTGTAACTTCCAGGCTAAACGTTTGCAGTTCATCAAACTTTTGTTATTGAGCATGAAATTATTTCAAAGAAGATAAACAAAAATTAAACTTTAGTAACGGAAGTAAATCAAAATAAATTACTAAACTACTATAAAAACGAATAAAATGTAAGAAGTGCTTGCACCATTATTCTTAGATCTTAAGATACTTCTTCGTATTGCATCTTTCTCGCAGTTTAATTATACTAATCGCTGATGGCAACATGCCCAATGCCCACTCATATCTTGATATGAATATTTTAAAAACCAAGCCAATAATTCATTTATAATGACTTAAAAATTCATGACCACATCAAATTCTAACTCGTTACTGGAACTTCAGCATTTTCGTTATCATCAGTGCTTTTGTTTTTAGTTCCACCCGAACTGAGAGGTGCACTAAACCTCTGGATGATTTCCTCAATGTTACTTATAGTATTCGTTATCTCCTTGATATCATCTCGCGGCAACTCCATCGGAATTTCCCTCTCTTTAGTCTGATACTCCAGCAAACCCTCGCCAAGTGTAAACAGTATGTTCAAAAATTTAGTAGGATCTGCTGCTTTTGCAGTCTCTGGAGGTTGGAAATTTCCAGATAATTGTAACTCTTCCATTAAATCAAACAGCTCAATCTCAGCTCTGATTTCAGAAGGAATATCCTCCTCCACTTCCGGGAAGGGGGTAGAGAAGGAGTTCATGTCAACAGATGATGGAACATCGCCCGGTATTGCGGATATCTTAGGTAGTGGCATGGGTGGGGGTATGGTTATAGCCTGATGCTGATGAATATCATCTGTTGGTTTGATCTGTGGATTGAGGTGAGGTTTAGGCTGGGGTTTAGATTTAGTCAGAGGTTTGGAGTGAGGATTAGGAAGAAGGGGTTTAGCAGCCTGGGCATCCCTTGGTTTCTTATTAGGCGGTTCTGTTGGAGTACGAGAACGGGACCTCACATTTATTATCTGGTCAGGCTCGTCACTTGATTTGGAACGCTCGTCAGCTGTTGAGGCTGTCGGCATCAACGGACGGCGATTAACTGGCGTTTTTCTGGGGAGTATTAGTTTTTAAAAGATTGAACACAGAGTCCTCAATTACTTTCTTGTTTATTTAAGACAAAGATTCACAGCCTATAACTACATATTTTGTTATTTTTAGCATTTTGAAAAATTAGTCAAAAGAAAGCTCAGCATCATACCCGAGATCGTTGGGTAGTTTTTTTGTGGACATCACTTGGTACAAATCAAATTGGTCGTCATCTAAACAATCCTGCTCCATCTTGAAGATTTTCTTTGTGACCTCATCCAATTCTGCTTGTGCCTGTTTAAGATTTAAACGTTATATCTCATAAATAAATTAAGCCAATTGTAATTCAATTAGCTGACCAGAAATTAAAGACTCAGCAGGCATTACCATTTTAATCTAAAATTTAATGATCGAATAAATAAAAAAAGGTAAAAGATATGTTATAAATCGCAGTACACATACCTTGGCTCTAGTGGATGGTTTTGGAAAGTCGAGTCCTTTAGCGATTCTATCAGCAGTCTTTTTTTCCCAGTTCCACACAACGTTTATCTTATGATGTCTACCTATAAATGGAGAATTGGTATAAAGAACATTATTTAAGGAGAAGATTATGAGAAAATATAAGATTATAAGATTACAGATTTAACTAATTGCTGTTTGGCAAACGGAGCTAACTCCGATGCAAGCCATGTTCTTACCAACTGTGTTCCAGTTAAATTTAATGTTTATTTCTCTGTAACTCACCAGGGACAAAAGGATTTCGCGATTATTTTGGCCAAAAATCGTGATACCGCGAATTACATTTCGCGGTATATTAAACTATTCATAAAATTTGTCGCAAATAATGGGAAAAATCGCGATTCCGTACATGCCGCGATTTCCTGTAATTCACCTATCACGTGATTCCTATCGTTATGGTGGAAGTCCACACAGCACAGAGAACAGTGGTAGAGGGGCAGGTCATTAACCATGGACTTTAGAGAGATGCAGTTCATACCAATAATCAGGTCACTCTCCAGAAGACTTTGATTCTGTTAAGAGATCATGTTTAAAAGTTATTTGAAGTAAATAAAGTGGTTTACTTTTTGAATAGGATATCGTTAAAACTCAAGTATTTGTATTAAATAGATCATGTGACTAATCAATAAATTAAAAACACTAACAGTGACTTTGTTAACATAGTCCGGATCCTTCCACCCGCAGTCAAATAGCTGGTTCATGTCTTTACAGAGTTTAATAGAGCCGTCCTTCATCTTTACTCCCGGTACGCTCCAGACACACCTGGACATTAGTCATTAGATTAAATGATTAATTAATTAAATAATTACAGGGATTAATGATTAAATACTAAATATTTATTGAATGAGTCATTGGAAGTGTAAGTTCAGTTCGTTTATCGTTTCGTAGAGTGATGATTCAATACGATCCATTGAGTTAGATCAGTTAATAATTCCCCAAAAAAACTATTTAAATATGTAAAATAATTAACGGCTGATTTGTACCTCTTCCCCAAGTATTCGGATTGTGTCACTAATTTAACATGGCCCTTTGATTTGATGTGCTCATCCCATGACTTGAGATTCTGGACTGATATAAAGCAACACTTGCACAGTAACAGTCCTGTAAGTGGAATGTTAAGTGGAATGTAAGTGGAATGTTAAGTTTGTTAAAACTGATCATACGTCTTAATAAAGTTAACAAATGAATGGTAAGTATATTTTAAAATCAGTACTAGAACGATTAAAATATTTGGTAACAATAAGAGATGTTAGGAAATATTGCATATTATATTCTAAACACGATAGAGCATAGTGTGGAGTGAGCTATGTGCCCATCCTTGGAGAACCCGGTGGATGTCCTTGCTGTACGGCAGTGTTAAACAAGGAACTGAAACCGAGGGGTTCCGTTCAGGCCCTTCACACTTTGTTTCTGTCTAGTTCTAATGTACCGTCACAATAGTGACTTTAAAATATACTATATGGACACGTTCATTTGAGTTTGAGGATATTGGTAAACAAAAATAATAGCGTTTTCGACGATAGTGGCTTAATTTTGACATGTTCAGAAGTTCTGAACATTAGCCACGTAACCCATACTCCCATACGCACCGCTCAGAAAGAAAATCTATTGTTGTTAGGCACTATAATGGTTCAAATGTCACATTTTGTGTGACTTAGTTAACTGCAGTTGTCTAATTATCATTCCTTGGTCTGAAATACAGTAAATTAGGTCAATCTTACAATTATGATACAACATTGGTTAATGGGCACGGATCGAACGGTTACAAGGCAATATTTGGGTAACTTTGTCACACTCATGATACCATACCTCTATTCTAATGTGAGGTGTCCTAAAAACCCTTTCAACTCATTATTTGATGGTTGCTCTACCAATCATAGCCCTAAAATATATCGTTTTGAATAGTTAGCTAATACAGGCACTTGGTTATTGGGAAATGAGGTTAATTCTGTCACAATATATGAAATTTTAAATTTTGGGCGAATTATTTATATTTGATTTTGGTTTGAAAGGCGGGAAAACTTTATATGATGACAATGTAGTTGGTGCGAGTTAAGATCAGTTGATGTTTACATTGTCACAAGAAATTATACGAAATCGTAAATAGGTTAAAAACAATGATTATAGAATGAAATAGTCTCTTATAATAACTCTTATAATAACTGATGTGACAAAGTGAACATGTCTTGCCCCTATTTTAAAGATCTATATTCTTTACCTCTATTAGAATTCAACATTCTTAAGTTTAACAATTTTAGGTTAAATTTGTCAAAGTCACTAAAAATGTGACAAAATTAACTTTCCCTGCCCCAACAATATCAAGATAGTGTGTTAAAATTGGCATACTAGAATGCTTTATTGCCTATATAAATCAATCCAAACTACAAAATATATGTTAATGTGATGACGATTACCTAACTCTTATAATAACTGATGTGACAAAGTAAACATGTCTTGCCCCTATTTTGAAGATCTATAACTCTATTAGAATTCAACATTCTTTCAGAAACGATTGGAAGAATATTGTCCAGAACATCAGAGCTCAATTTTAACAATTTTAGATTGATTTGTCAATGACACTGAAAATGTGACAAAATTAACTTTCCCTGCCGCAACAATATCAAGATAGTGCACGTTAAAATTGGCATAGGGTGCTTTATTACAGGTATATTAATCGATCCAAACTACGAAAAATATCTTTTAATCTGATGACGATTACCTAACTCTTATAATAACTGATGTGACAAAGTAAACATATCTTGCCCCTATTTTGAAGAACTATACTCTATTAGAATACTATGAAACTTAATCATAAAAAATTTTTCGATAAACTAGTTATTTTGCCAGCAAGGAGCTAACAGAGTTATAATAATTTTTTTGTGACGAAATTATCCTATTTTTGACCATGTTGTGGTAGTTTAATTGTGACACTGTTAACATATTACCACCTGATAATGATTCATGTGACTGGTGCATGGTACTAGCAGTGTTGTTTGATCCATAGTACGTAATATAAGGGGTTTAAGCTGGTATATCATTATTTGTTCAATTTCACACATGTTCAGATATCATCAAGATTATGTGACAAAGTAAACTTGGTTGTGCCTTCTGTGTTTTAATTCCTTACGACTATATGATATAATAACGATTCCCAGCACTTTCAGGCCATCAAATAAACCTACACTACTCAGCATTGCTTATCAGGGTGCCCTAAACATTCATCACATATTTTCTTTAATGTGTGACAGAGTAAACCTGAGTGCACCATCTAACGAAAAAAGTCGTCAAATATGTAGGTAATGGTCATATGTACCCATCCAATCAACTGGACACTCAAAAATTTGGTCAAAAACGGCAGCAAGGGGTCCATATTTACTCCGTCACATGTTTATAGTGTGACAATGTAACCATTTCCGTGCCGGCCGTATTTAAGCGATATCTTATCACCTGATTAAGATATCGGTATGTGACAAAGTTAGCCTAGAGGATGATACGATTATCCTAACCATCAAGGGTTTATGTAATTTCATAGTGTGACAAATTCAACTACACTGTGCCATTTAATAGGGTCACTTATATTTACCAATATCCTCAAACTCAAATGAACGTGTCCATATAGCTTACACTTTTAGCATAATCTGACCTATAGATGTGCCCCCCCCCCCCACTTTTAACATAATCTGACCTATAGATGTGCCATCCATCCTCCTCTCAAACTCCTTCCTATGAAGTTCCTGCTTCTCGTGGTTATTGAAGTCCTCCACAGTCAGATAGCTGTCCTGACAGAGCACACAGTGGAAGGATTGAGCTGCCATTTTCTATACCTAGTGTTGTAGGAGGTAAAAAATTAAAGAAAAAAATTAAATAACATTTTTTTAAAAAATTAAAAAAAACAGTTGTAAGTACTCATAAAGCTAAAGGTGCTTTAATATACATTTCGTTATATTATTAACCACATGGAAACTGCTTTTAAAAAGTTGGATAATGATGATATTATGGATGCTAATTGCTAATATTAAATACAGCGTGCTAACGTTTGAATCTCAATACTTTTTATTGGTTGGAACTACAACAATAATCACATTATATTAAGCAACCACAGATTTATCAACAGTATCACTCAAAAGTCAAAATAGCTATAAAACACTTTTCGAAAATAAATTATAAAAATACCAAATAATGCACGGACCAATTTGAAGAGGTCATGAACCCTTATCAGCGATATTTGTGTCTGTCTGTAATGATTCGTCCTTTGCTATTTTCACAAACTCTGACTGATCGTCATGTAGTTCTTGAATAACTCTCTTCGTCCCAAATAAGTTCTTCGAACTGTGCACTTTATCAATATCAGAAAACGGTGAGATATACCTTTTATGTCTCATCTCTTTTTCGTGCAAGTCATACTTTCTCAAATCTGATTCGTCTATAAACAACATGGATTTAGGAAACAACACTTTAAACTCCTCCCCACTAATCCGAGTGAAATGTTCAAGATCCCCAAAATTACAGTCCTCCACAGGAATGACCCTTGTTTTGGATCCCCCATACCAGGTCAAATTCCTAACTCGCACGTGATCACCTGGTAATAACACAACTTCTAGAACATACGGCGTGCACTTCTTATGAAGTTTTCTATTAACAACACCAAGAGATAACACAATAGATACCAGCGTGATGATATCAAAAAGAAAGAGATCAGAAGTAACAAAAAGACTCCCAATACACCCCAGCCACAGGTAGTGTCCCACAAACAGGTGCTGTCTTCCTTTCAAGTCGTGTTCATCTTTACTGTACATTTTCATGAACATCTTCTCGCCTTCGTTTAGCTTGATCTTACCCACACCGACCCGATGTTTTGGAAATATTTGCTTGAAAGAAAACCAGGCATTTGATATAGCTTTAGATTTGATTCGTGGTAAGAGAGAATTTGTTGGTTCGACAGATCTTCTTTGGCTGAGAGTAACCGGGACATTGGAGCGTGGTTTGTGTGCTCCAAATGGGAGAAGTGAAAAACAAGCGAAGTGAATTTGTAGGTTAGTTACAGAAGGGGTAACTAGTCTTTTGGAGATTTGAGAGGAAATCATCATAATCTGATTGAACTGGGATAGATTATAAGTAATAAATATTTGAATGACATATAATTTTACAATAATTGTTCATTCAAATTATAAATCACATAAGATATCAGTATAATAACTGGATAGTGGTGATTTGTTGTAGAGTTGTGACAACGTAACACTTACAAGATCGTTTGCCTAAATTTATTGCACGGTTTCTTTTCTTAATTGGTTATTATAGCAACTCGATATAACTTGTTTGTTATAAATGTTTATTATTTTAGAAACAACACAATGTTTAGCATCATAATTTACCAAACACATTACACAATAGTTAAAAATTAAAACTCAAGTTAAACAACTAAATATAATTAAAAACTATAATACTGTTTTAAGTTTTTTACTTAAACTTGGCTGCTCTGATGTTTCTGTTAGTATGAGTTGCTTTGGAAATGCTATAATGCTATCCTCAATAGTTGCCAGTTCATTCTTTTGCAAAATACCATTAAAAGTTTGAGTTCTTGTTAATCCTTTGAGAAACACAATCTCACAATTCGTTGAGATAGCTGCCTTTGCAGACTTAAACTCGATACCAAACAGAGTTACCAAATTTATCACATCGTATGGTCCTGAAATTGTTGAATTTAATTCATATAAACCTCAAAATTAAGAGGTTTGGGATAGGTCCTGGGGCAATTGGTTCTGGGGCAAGATGACATGGACAACAATTGAGACAAGACTTTTGGTTAAATCTCTAATAAAGCAGAAGCAAAATTCTCAACTAATCCTAACCTCTGAGAAATAGAGGATCCTCAGCTCCTGATGAAATAATAAATCCTCTCCCTCTTGATGACCAATTTAAATCCTTGCTGTTTGAAACAGTATTTCTGCAACTTGATGAGTCTTTAATGGCAGAAACATAGCAGATTTCAAACACAACATTGTTAAGTTTACATGGATGAAGATGAGTATGCTTCAGTCGAAATGGCAGTTTCTGAGTAAAGTCCAAAGACAAAATTTGAAAACTATTAGGGAAATTCCTGAAAAGGACAATTTTTTTATACAATAATTCATAAGCAATTTGATCAAATATGGTTCAAGAAAATAATAGATATCAGGGTATCATGAATATTACGCACTTGGAAAATCATAGCCAACATTGAAGTAAATAAGATAAATCTTACGAGATACTCTGCGAGAGAAGTTCTTCTGATTTAGGACTGAGTGCTATAATGTCGAACTTCTTGAGCTATAAAATCGGTTTTATAGATTGGTAACTAACTTGTAACTTAGATCTAAGTATTTTATGAAGAGAGTTAGAAATTATATTCCAAAACCACAACACAGTTCATATTAAAATGATATGTTGAAAATCTTAATAGAGCTTGCCTAAGCAAAATTAAGTCATTCTAATCCACGAAAACACTTTCGTCTCTCTTAACCACACAAAATTTTCAACAAGAGATTTGTATAATGTTTATTGTTTATGTATCAAAACTGATAATCCAAATTCCAAGTTTGAATAAAAAGGAAACCTGTGGATTTTTAAGAGCTCTCAGATGGCTAGGATCTGAACACACCAAGGTTATCCTATGTAAAACTTGCAGGTCATCACACTTTTTAAGGTTGCACTTTGGAAGCTTCAGCTGATTTTTCACTAGAGCTGAAAAGTGACAAATGAATTCCATAAAAAATCATATCACTTACCACAATAAAAGTGAAACCCTGTTCAAACAAGGCATGATGAGCACTGATGAAATTTCTTAAGTCAATATCATTCACCCACAAGCCTTAAAGAAAATTTAACATTCCATTATTATTTACAAACAATCAACAAACATTATTGAAGTTCATTCATTTATCACAGTTTATCACAGTTCACAATGTACGTTCGATTGGAATACTAGTATTACAAACCTTGAGACATGTCAATAACATGATTAAAAGCTATTGTCCGATATCCTAACTGGAGACACAGCTTGTAGTACACATCTTCTTGTCCAGCTTTTGGACACATTATGTTGAGATCAGAGAATAATTCCATGACGATCTAAAACACTGTGCTGTTAAAAGGGGTGTAAACCAACAAATTTGATTAGTGCAGTAGTCTTTTAATTTGTAAGTTCAATATTCAAAATAGAAAGCAATACTTGATAATTAACAATCAATTATTCAATCATGTGAGCCAACTATTTGTCTCAAGACCAAGTAGATTATATCTCACAAATTTCTGAATTTGAGATTAACACTATGCAATTAAGTTTCTGTATAGTGCATAGAAAATCCAAGAACATGAGTATGCCAATAACAATGTTCAGTATTCATAAGGTTCACAATATTGTACTTCAGATGAAAAATAAGCACGTATTGTACAATGCAATCGATCACAGTGAGCCAAAATTGTATATAACTTGTATCAGCAAATTATACAAGAAGATTTCAGACTTTTTGACAGGGTCCATTCTCAAATAACCTTCAATTAAGGATTTGTGCATGTCGATCATTTGGCTGAGTCGACCAGAGAGGATTGTAGTTAAGTCCTTCGTGCACCCTACCTCCTTGGAATTTGGATTGATGGCAAAGTGTATCGAACTACTAGCTAACTAGCTGCAAACCACATATTAGAATGAAAACCACATATTAGAATAAAAAAACTAATAATTTTGGGAAAGGCAGCAGAGGAGAATTAAATAACAGTATATAGATAATATCACAATGATTCTATATTTAAAAAATCTTGTTAAAAAACCTTTAAAAACTGAAGAAACATTTATAAACAACCTTCACAGTAAAAGTATTAAAAGTAGCCAAATGACAATCAAGGACATGACAAGAGACATGACAAGGCAGCAATTACCTGGGGACCCCAGACTATTATATTTATGTTCATAATCAGGACGGGAAAAACGGAAACGGAAGTGGAAACTCTATCTACAATGGAGGACAGGACTCCTCATCAAGCGGCCCCCAGGACAAAGGGGACAGTGACGATGACGACGACAACCCTAACAAATCTGGTAGTGAATCTTTCAAAGATACCAGCTTCTCAACCGATCATGACAACAAGGATGAAGAATCTGAGGAATCAGATCCCGCAAGCAAAGAACCCGAAAGCTCCATTCCTTCTACGGAGACCCCAGAGGAAGAACTCCCGTCTCTGAATCAAGATAAGAACAACTTTCTCACGAGTACCTTGAGTTGTCCCGGAAAGCTCAACTTTGGACCCGAAGAATCAGATGAAGACCTACGCCGCAGACTAACACCAACAGATGATCATCTCAACTTCTGTGATGAGATAACATCCGTCAGACGGCTGAATACGTTACCGATCATAACAGGGCTAAACGACCCCGTCATCAGAATGAGAAATCTCTCATCATCTCCAGGATACACCTCAGTCAGTCCAGGAGGTGACTCTGCCGAGCTTTGTCGTGACATATTCCACTGCAAATCTCTCTTCCCAACAGAGCCTGCGAATATCCTATACTGGTCGACAGACAGTGAAGTATCCTTCAGGAAATATGGGATCCACCAACGGGAGTTTTGTCTGTTCAGCTCTCGTTACCACCCATGCAACTCATGGGACACATATGATGGCAAGGAGTTCAAGGAAGTACCTATCCTACTTCAGTGCATGAATCAAATCATCAGCGATCATCGCATCGACGAGAACCCCTCACTCAACAGCTGTGTGGTCGAAAAGATCAGAATGAACGAACACACACCAGAATCAACGGTCTTCCCATCCGACCTTGATTCATACGCAGAGGACAACTCCGTAATGGTAATCCTCTGCCTGGGTCAACAGAATGCGATCGATGTTATACCCAAGTCACACTCCGGATCTTTGCGTGGTAAGGTAGATGCAGGAAGGCTGTCTCCGGATCATGGGGGAGCGGTTTTCTTGTCCAAAGATGCACTCAAACGCTACCAAGTCCGGTCAGGAGTAGGACTCAGTAACTCTCTAAATAACGATGCAAGACCATCCTACAGACTTATCTTCTTTCGCTCGAAAATAGATACTGACGGAACGTTGTTATGGGACAGTACCGATATTCCCAATGAGAGTATCAGATCATCAAGATTCTGCAATACCCTAAGTTACAGAATGGGTCAAGTTCATATATACCAACAAATATTGGACAAGCTTACCCCAGCTGACTTTACTTTGATACTGGATGCCATGGATCAATCCACATCTAGTAGCGACTCCCTGAACGATATGAAAACAAGAACAGAAACTCTCTTAGCAGACCCTTACTCACCCCCCAGCTATGCCGCTGTAAGTGTAATAGTAACTAAGATGAAACTGAAAGACGCGAAAGAGGAGCTTACTGCATGTAACCAGGAAAATAATGGTGTTGTAGCCTTGTTAAGACAGAGACTATGCAGATACTTAACTAGGGACTCAGACCAGTCATGCGACAAAAGTGGAGAGTTCTTATACTCCCCTGAACCGCCACTCTCTGAAACTGCCCCGGTTCCAAACAGCGTTGTATCTCCTACTGAGTTCTGTTTTACCAGCTCACTGCCCAACGCTAAGGATTTCCTGAGATCAAAACTGGATAAACACTCCTCTACACAGCAAGCATCCAAAACTAAGAGGAAAAGACAACAAGCTGACACCAAGACTGATCTAAGCTTTCAAGGACTTGAAACTTACATTAAATCACTCGAATCAGCTACAGAAAATGAACTCACAAAGGAGCTCGGATTCCTCAAACTGAGCAGTGAAGGAAGCTCAAAAATCAGAAAAAAGAGGATCACTCAACATCTGAAGAACCCTAATCAACTCTCCGCTGCTAGCAGCAGTGCTACATCTGAGCAACTCAACGATGTGCAGAATAGACTGGAAGTGATGGAAAGATCCAATGTGTCAATCAGCTCTATTCTTATTCCACATAAGCAATGAAATGCTCAAGGGTTTGAACGTGAAAATGAGGTCCCTCCTCCTTAAACTCTTCAATCTGTGCCTTGAGACAGGAGTCTACCTCTGGAGCAAAAGTGTGATCACACCGATTCACAAAAAAGGGTGCATCAGGAACCCTGACAACTATAGAGCAATAGCAGTATGTAGCTGTATTGGGAAACTGCTCTCCACGATGCTGCTATCTCGGCTTGTCACTCACCGCCAAATCTCTCATCCAGATCCACCTAATCAAGCAGGCTTTACCAAAGGAAGTCAATGTAATGACCATATATTCACGCTGATGTCCACAATCGAAAAATACAAGAAAGTGAAAAGTAAAATATATGCAGTGTTCATTGATCTCCGAAAAGCGTTTGATCTAGTGTGCAGACAAGCCCTCCTGTTCAAACTAGCCTGCTATGGCGTCAACGGCGGCTACTACGACATCATCAAAGACATGTACAGTAAATCAGAGGGTCATATCAAGATGAATGGTAAAATCAGTGAAGCATTCAAGATCCTCAAAGGGACTGAACAAGGACATCCACTCAGCCCCGAGTTTTTCAAAGTCTACTTTAAAAAGCTTTCTGACCTCCTCAATGAAGCCGTTGTGAACTGCCCAACTCTCGCTGGTATCTCAGTGACTCACCTAGCGTGGGCTGATGATCTAGTAATCCTCGCCCTAGATCCTGAATCACTCCAAAAGTTGCTTTCGATCATTGGGGACTACTGTATCGAATGGGGTCTGGAAATCAACATCTCCAAAACCAAATTCATGGTCTTCAACGGTAAAGGACCTGACATTCCAAACTGGCGTCCTTCTATTCATGACAGAGATATAGAGATGGTCTCCAGCTACTGCTATCTTGGAATCATTATAAGCAGCACAGGGAAATTTCGGCAGGCAACTGACTCTCTCTACCGTAAGGGACTCGGAGCTTACTTTAGCTTGAGAAGCACCATAGACCGGAGATACATTGACGCATCATGCCTTAACAAACTATTTGACACCCTTGTCAAGCCTATTCTACTATACGGTTGTCAAGTTTGGGCCCCAGTTCTACCCACCGTCAGTAAGGTCCTCTCTTGCTTCAGCAAGTTTCACAACCTTGATCATGCAGTCTCCCACATCGCAAAACAGAAACTGGAGCAAGTGCACCTACGTCACCTCAAATACCTTCTTGGTATTAACAGAAGGGCAGTCAATGCTACAGCCTGGGGAGAAACTGGCTCATACCCAATTATAATTGAGATGTTGAAACTGAGTACTAAATACTTCAAAAGAGTTATGAGCCTTCCCTCAACACAACTGGTCAAAGCTGCAATGACTGAGCAGATTAACCTCAAATTGTCATGGTTTGTAGGCATCGAATCAGTTATCAAGTCATTTAACAACATCTACCTTCCTGACAGGAATTCATCATCGTTGCTCAACGCAACCTTCCTCGCGGACTCCTGCAGCCCTGAATTGATGACAGAGAACCTGCGAAAACTATTCCGTGATTCCTGGGGTTCTCTTGTGAAAGATTCTAGAAAGCTATCATTCTACAGTGAAGTCAAAAAAGAATTTGGATGGGAGCCATATCTAAACCACGCTAGGTCTTTCCAGGACAGAAGGGCAACCACACAGATTCGGTCCAGTTCTCATCACCTTAGAATTGAAAGGGGGGGGTACGACAAAACTCCACTTGATGAAAGGACCTGTAACTATTGCGAGCTGAACATCAACCAGCTAATCATCGAAGACGAGAACCATATGCTCCATTCCTGCCCCCTAGGGAAAGTTCCAAGGGACAGATTTCAAAGCCTCAGTGGAAATCTAGTCAGCATTGACGGAAATGGTAGCTTCAATCTTGCCTCCACGTTTATCTCGCAACCCGATTGCATGGACAAACTCAGCGATGAGGACGTAAGTTTGATCAAACTCTCGACCAGCACCATTAATAAAATCTACAGACTAACCCTCAACTTCAAAGAAAGTCTAAATGTAGATAACTAGCTTCCTCTTTCAGTCCTTCCTTTCTTCCTTTCTTTTTTCCCCTTTTTCTTTCCGCCTTTTTTTCTTTACCAGCTTTGGATCTGTGACGGATGTGATGGATTTCTTGCAGTCACTTTTATCCCTACATGGGCTCCCGGCCGTGCGTCCATGTAGGAGCCGTGGGGCCTTCCGAGTGATAGGGTTACAGTGACTGTTAGTAGGGAAAGTATGAAGGCTATATCAGTAGACACAATTACCGAACGCAGGGCATTGGCTCGACTTCCAAGACAGGGTATCCGTGAGGACCCTGGTCGTAATCAGCTCTGCACTGCTCCAGTGTATCCTGATGCCTGAAATCTTGGACAATGCCTACGTACGGGGTAGACAGCCACTGATGATTTTGTCTGTGAGTTTTTCATCACTTCCTGACATGAGTCAGACCTCAGCTGGATCCTTCCTGTTTAGCTTTTTCTGAGCTTCCCGCTCGACCTCCTTCTTCAATCATCATCATCAGTTAGAGCTGCCGTGCTCTCGAACTTTCCCTTCACACTCCACCACGGCACCTCCTTCGAGGCCTCTTGCCAGGTAACACCAGCTCTCAGACATAGGCAAGCTTACCGCGCACGGCGTTTTTTTCTTTTTTGTTTCGTCCTTTCCGTGTGTGCCGTTTTGTGCCACCCTCTCTGCTGTTCTTGCGCAATTGCGCTCATTCGCTCTTCAATGGGCTGTTCATTTGACAGAGTTACTGGCTGGCACTCCAAACATCTTCTCACTCACAATCACCATTAATCAAATTCAAAATTATGCAATCAATCACTATACATCCACGATCATATGATCAAAACACAAAACTTTGTTATATACTGTTTCTGTTTGAGATTTGAATAACGTTACTGTAATGTTTCAAATTATATTTTAAATGTTCAAAAAAATGTTAGATTATGAATAGAGATTAGGTGGACCGACAGGCTGAGCGCCGCCCAGTAAGGTGAAATGTGCATTAAACGAATTCCAAAACTGTCGACAAAACCAACTTAGCGCGTATTTTGGTAAATTATGAATCTACAAATAGGACTAAAATTTACAAAACTCTTGCAACGTGCTAATTCTAAAATTAAATATAAAAATACTTAAGTACAATTTTCAAAATAACTTTCAAATTGCATGTCGTGTACAAAATGCATGGTATTTTACATTTTTGTAACAACAAAATTAATTTTTTGCTTGTAGCGCAATGCGTTACTGTGCCGCGCCGCGCACTCAATAAGGCTTCTCACAGCTGACAGCGATCTGGCTAGATCGGCGAAATGCGCTACTGTGCCGCGCCGAGCTGCCATGAATTGACATCGTCAATTAAAGTTTTTGCAAACGTCAAACAATTTTTTGCTTGGAGGACTTCGACGCGCCGCGCAAACTAGCATTCTTGCTGACGAGATCGTTGCTTTGCTTTGCAAAACAACAATTTGGAAGGGTTGACATCGTCAATCAATTTTTTTGCTAAAAAGTTTGGTAACCCTACAAATTATTAGTTAAAATTCACTAACAATTACTTATTACATAAAAATCAGAATTCGCCTTGAAAAATAATTGAGGTTTTATTTATATTATTTTATATTATCTCCATTAATATTGGTAAAACAAAAATTTAAATTTGTTCACTCAGTCGAGTATTGATATAACATACAAGATATAGTTAATATGTTTTATAGCGCCGCGCAAAGCCTTCTTCATGCATCACACGTCAGAATTTTACAATTTTGTTTGGTAAAATCGAGCGCTAGGCAAATAATTCTAAATGCGCGAAGCGTTTGCATTTACAATTTAGCAACATGTGTTATATAACTGTTACTAATTATTTCCCAACACAACAGTTGCCAAACACCGGAATTACATATTTTCTGTCTGACAATATTTAGAATTTACAGTTCTGTTACTGATCTTAATCTTTTAAGAATTTTACAGTAAAATATATCTACAACTTGTACTTTGTCTATATTATACAAAATTTTGTTTTTCTCAAGTCTTGCATCCTTTGTGTGGACGACAGACTCACCGACAGTGTTTGCACTGTTTTTGATTTGTATTTCTTCTTCTTCTCGGATTTATTGTTTCTCCTTTACGTAGCTTTTCGGGCAATTGCAACGGTCTATAATGCTTCTACCTGCCACATACCGAGTGCGAGTGGCCAGCAACTCTTTCACCTATCGGCACAAAAACGCTACAGAAACATCTGCATCATACATACACAACTCGAAGATGGTAAGTTTCTTTATCTGTGAGGTCATGTGAGGTCAGCATGACGACAACAGAGAAAAGCCCTAGGGACCCCAGTGGCATAATGAGTAAAGGGATATTCGTTATGACAACATAGTCAGCAGATCAATCACGATAATGCCGATTATAGCAAATTCAATTCTATCAACATTTATCATGTGGAACATGGAATTTTTATCTTTAGTCAATAATAATAATCATTATCACAGCTTTATTAACTCATTCAGAACATTGATCAGAACAGTCTTGACCATTTAGGGGTTACAGAAACTCATATGCCAGGGTCTAGTCTGAAACTACTCTTTTAGTTGCAGTTTACTTATATTCTCAGGTAGGGATGGTATTACTAGACAAGGGATGGGCCTTTGTCTTCCAAAAAGATAAGGAACTTCCTTATCTTTAAGTTAAGGAAATGTTATTGGGTGACAGGTGACTTCAACGGAAAAGTTACATCAAACAGAATATATGGATTGGCAAGGAATTTCTCCAGACTTATAGATTTCTGTGCAGCCAATCAACTTGTTATTGGTGGAACCAAGGCATATCTCAAATTTTGGCCCTACAATCTCTTCTAAATTATCCCTAGAACATATCCGCCATTCCATAGAAGCAGCTGATAGATATCACTCCTCTCTATCAGAGACAACCATCTCGAAAATTGGTCTCAACATTTGATTCTATTCGATTCTATAATATTCTTATTTATTTATTTATAAACAACTTTTATTAGGGGATCATGTCAACAGAAGATGATGGCAGAAGATGTGAATACCTCATCATGTAAATTACATCTATGAGATGGGAAACCTATCTGGCTATGTTAAGATGCTTGCGCACTCTGCATACTTCAAGGGGATTATTATGGGAGCCATCCTCCTGAACACTGTCACATTTGCTATATCATCTAGTCTTGAACCATCAGAGAAAACGATTATCTACATTAACATACTAGATGGCGTTGATAGCTGTTTTCTTGCTCTTTATTCCCTCGAATTTGTCATCAAGCTATACAGTTATGGTCGTGGTTACTGGTTCAATGGATTCAACTGCTTCGATTTTGGAGTTCTATTATGCTCCTTAATGCAGGTCAGTTGAGTCATTTATACTGTAAATTTAATTTTTAACTTTTAACACAGCCCACTCAAAGAGAATAGTTCATTTTTATTCAAATTGTAATTTCTATGCTATAAATCACAGTCTATTATGAGTGGTTGTCTTTAATAACTTTGGTATAGAACTGAGCACTTCATTTGAATTTCAATGTGTCATTTGTGCCCAATAAATTATAAGGTAATGATTTAACTGATTATTGTAGTTTTATGACTACGTAGTTTTCTTAATTGTTTGAATTTTTTCAGTTGGTGTTATCTCAAACTGAGGCTCAGAACCTTGGAGTCATCAAAGTCATGAGGTCTCTTCGAGCTCTCAGGCCACTAAGATCAATTTCTCTTATCGGTGGACTGCAGGTAATTTATTATTATTCGGTAGATCTAGAGTTTTTCATAATTTATGTTATATCTATGAGCATGAGTAGTAATACTGAAATATCGCATGCTGACTCCTATAATATAATATTGAATTATAAATTTGTTTCAATTTGAACCATTAAAAATTACTTCATTTACAACAATTACTGAACTGAAACCACCCATTAAGGTAGTTGTCACAGCTCTCATTGCCACCTTCACTGGCTCTTTCATTCACATCATCTTGTTACTCTGCCTATTGATGTTTGTCTATGGAATCATGGCATTCTATGTGTACGGCTATGATACTGCTACAGATACAAGCAACGAGTTCTGGGGCAGCTTTGGGAAGTCGTACCTTAGGTACATCACAATATGAAATTACATTTATGTAGTATGTGAACGACCCCTTATATATAATATTATATCATTTTTAAATAATTGCACCTTGCATCACTTTGCTGTTCATTTTATGAGGCAGCAAACTTGTTTGTGTTTGAACTGGGTATTATAAGGTGACAATATCATTAGTTGAACTCAAATTCTTAGAAAAAATTGTATGCTCTAGTCTTTAACAAAATGCTTTGCAGTTTGTTCATACTGATAACAGCCGAGGGCTGGACTGATGTGATGAAAAGTCTTAAGAATGGAAGGGAAAACTTCGGAATGTACTTCTTCATCATCAGTTTTCTCTTCATTGGTCACTTCATATTTGGCAATCTTTTTGTTGCAGTTGTTATTGAGCAAATCGATAGAGGTAGGTCAAAAATAATTGGCTGCTTCTTTGAATGTAATTTCGCCATTTAACAAGGTACCATATACAGTAAAACCCCGATTTACCACGGCCATCTCTTTCCCCCAAATAGGGTTTAACATGTATAATGTAAACAACCAATACCCCAATTTACTACAAACCCTGATTTACCGTTGATGTTTCCTTTCCCCCAAACTCTGCGGTAAATCGGGGTTTTACTGTAATGTATTTTGCCAGATTCTATATAATATTAATAAACCATTCAGCAACGGCTGGCTACCAAAAGAGGATTGAAACGAAAAAAGCAACAGTTATCTACAATAAAAAGAAAAAAGCCAAAGTCGTTCAAGAATCTGAAATAAAACACATCATTAATCAAATGAAGTCAGGGGATTTCAAGAGCTTTCCCAGAGCAGTGCTCGATAAATACAAGCACGTTAGAAAAGACGAGTTCTTTATTAAACAAGACGTTAAATGTGTTCCTTTATGGGTTGAGAGTTTCAACCTGGAATACAATAAACTTGGTGTCCATTATAAGATGATCAGGGATTATCACTTTGAGGTTAGTTAACAACGTTAGTAGACAATGTTAGTAGACAATGTTAGTAGACAATGTTAGTAGACAATGTTAGTAGACAATGTTAGTAGACAATGTTAGTAGACAATGTTAGTAGACAATGTTAGTAAACAACGTTAGTAGACAATGTTAGTAGACATCTATGCTTTTAATTGATCTGACTTGTTTTCTCAATTTACCACTTTAATTTGCTTCAATCATGTCTTGAAATAATCATGAGATAACGATCAAATTGTGATTAAAAAGCTCTAATTAACGCCCTAAAAGCATAGACTAGTTCATTGGCCAATTTCTTACAGATTCCTAACACAGTATCTGGAGTTAGTTAAAGTTAAACTTTGTCTTCAGGTGGTAAACTGTTTGGGTAACCTAATGAGCGATATGGACCAGTCAGTCCAAGTAATGATCATGGAGAAACAAGCTGAAGAACAGGCAGTATTTCGTCGCAGCTCTAGAAGTGCCAGCTTCTTAGGGGGCTTGAGACGACTCAGCCATAGAATATCTATATTTGGCCCGAACAAAGGTGGACAAAATCTTCTTGGTGAAACAATTGTTAACGAAAATCCAGCACTGGCTATTGAAATAGTAGATTCTCAAGAGGGGATTAAGGTTAGCACTAAACCACATTATCTGTAAGAATATACCTTAGTTAAGGTTAGTAGTTTCAAGAAAACCTTAGTTCTTTGAAGTTATCATGTCTATACACAGCGTACAATTATTTGATGATTTGAAAAAATCACAGGGAAGCTGTCTGAGTTGCTTTGGATTCGTTGACGACTGTAGATGTGCCAACCCTGAGATTGAAGCACAAGCTCTTGAAGAAGAGAGAGAAGGTAGAACTGGGCGATTGTACTCGACTAACACCACCAAATGGTTTGGAGGCGAGCCACTTCAGGGCCCCAGACATAGCACCTCCTCAAAATCCTCAGCAAAATCGAGTTACAAACGCAATGATTAAAGCCTACTATGGCCATGGCATCCATTATTTGTCTATTTTGTAAAAATATGTATGATATGTGTGATTACTTATTCAATTTTGATGTTACCATACTTGGAGTGTGGTAATGGGAAGGTTTTTAAATTTACAAATAGATATCAAAATTACCACTTTGGCCGTGGTGTACAACATTTTCCCCATATCTCTTTGTTCCTAATGCTATATCTAATAGTACAACCGACAACGAAGATACAAATTAAAGTCCTGATGAGGCACAATTTGTAATGTTCATATAATCGAACATTCTCTACTATTAGAAGAGCTTATATTTTATTTTAAAATATAAGCTTTTAATTTTATTGCTCTTTAATGGGTTTAGTTACTACTATTGTTAACTTATATAGTTTGATTATTACTATTTTGTGTCAATGGCTGTTTATGATTACAAGTATCATAACTCTTGGCTATCACTGCACTGCAACCTCCAATTCAACAATGAAAATATGTTAAAAAAATCACAGCAACTATTGTATCCAAATTATATTTTTTAGTCTATCTGTCTTTAGAAAAATCATCACGATCTCATAAAATTTATTACTGACTTTGACCTATCAACCAGAATGTTGTAACCATTAAAGCAGCTATATTCTCCGATCCTTCAAGCTCATGGAAACTGAATCAGATGAAGAAGTCACAGTAATTGTGAACTTAGAAAATGTAGATGAAATTGAAGACGTTGCCGATATCCAGATCCTCGAGTTGGACTCAGAAACACCCTACATCCAAGTTGGGGGAATGGTATTCAAGGGAAAGTACCGGGAAAGCATCGGTACTCACATGCTATTTGAAAAAGAAGAAGGAGGAAAGTATGGGTATGTTATGAAGACAGAGAAGGAGCTGAACTGTAAAAAAGTTGTTGTGCTACCAAAAGAGATGTGCCAAGACATGGGAACTGAACCTTCATGAAACATGTTAATGATATTTATCATTTCTAGAGATAATGATTTCGTCAGATCAAATGTTATGTATTGAATGCTTTTTTTGTATGAATAAAGTTGTTGGGTATATTTTAAGCTTCATGGTCAGATAAAAAAGACAGCGGTGTTGGGGGACTTGTTTTAAATTTGTGTTTTTGCCATATATTTTGCTTTACCCTATTTGAAAATATACTACATGGTATTTTATTTTGAATTCGATAATTTGCACTAATTTCATTTGTAATTAATAACATGAAAAGTACAGCAAGAAACTCATACGGGACTCTGAAAAAAAAACTTTAATTCGGTGTTAATTAATTAATTAATTAATAAATAATTAACTTTAATTTGGTGTTCAGAACTAACTGATAACCTTATAATGAGGAATATAACAAAAACTTATTCAGACCATGACAGAACGTTTAAACGAGTTGTCAAACAATGTCCTGATAACCCTACAATCGGGTAAAAAGATAGTAGACGCAGTGACCAGCCTAAGAGAACTGTACTTGTATCTGTTTAAGCACAGTGTCCCTCTTCCCTCGACTACATACAATTATCTTCTCGTTGCTATTCAGGTTTATTTACTTGCGATACAAAACCAGAAAATGAAACAATTGTTGTATGTAGACTTTTATAGGCAGTGTCATGGGTAGGTAATAATAAATCGTATAATTGGCTGTCCAAACTAACTATTTCAGCTCTTAGCGACATAAAAAATACTCACTTCATGATAACGTAATTTATTAATTAATGTAATTTAAAATTAAATTCTAAAATATTGCCAGGATCGTGAGAACAGTCGACTAGGAAACCCTAAGATATGTCAACTAACAGTGCTAGTTCTGTTCCAGGCTAACCGCCCGGTTAAGCAGCTACAGAAGGGTTATACTCGTGTTGGGGAACTCTTGAAGGTTAGTTAGTTAATTAGTAAATTAAGTAAGTAAATAAGTTAAGTTATTAAACAAGTTAAATAATCCATCATACTCCAGTTCAGGCCAGTAATTTAATCATTAATTAAGTTTTCCCATCTGTTAAAATTTACTTCGTGCCGAGCATACTCCAGGCCAAGAAATTATGATCTTAATATGGGCTAGAAATTGGTGAAACATTAAATTTTTGTAAATTAACTACTATACTGATAATATAAAATATTGGTTGTTGTTTGCAGTCAGGTATAGCAATAACTAGAGAGTGCCTGCACCACCTAATCTACGATCTTGACATGAAACTACTATTTTCACAACCTACCATATGGGCCAGTGTACTGCAGCATGTCATGATGTAGTAAGGAACTTGTATATCTGTACTTTGTGTAATTAAATAAATAATAAATAAGGTTACATTTTTTGTGTTTTGTGCTTGGAGCTAATTGATATTAGTTGATTAGTTGATAATTATGATGTAGAAAGCTGTAAGAAGTTATAATTATGAGTGCTATCATGTGTGTTGTTTGAAAATAATTGAGATTCCATGATTATTGATTACTCGATAACTAAGTTGCTCATTTTGGTGTAATTTGGTTTAATTTGATGGTGCAGTTTTTTATGTTTAGAAAAAATTCTCAACGTTTTCTAAAGTAAATAGTTTAGCAATTTGGTAAGCTTAATAAAGGGCAATAATTTCAAAATGAAGATGAAGTGATGTTCAAATCACGCCAACCAGATTAAAAAATATTTGCTTTCAAAATTCTTAATGGTTTCTGTTCTCAATGTTAACATTACCGCACTAGACATGATTTAAAGTTCGCATAAATTAAATATTTGTATTGTATAAAATAAGATATTTGAATAATATCTTTGACCTGCATTATCTCCTTAATTTAGCTTATGACAAGAGATATTCTCGGAAATTATGATAAAGTTTTATAATAATAATATAAATTAAAATTAATAGAAAATCTCACCCCTCATCCCAACTCAGCTCAAACAAGCTCCTGACCCACGACGAGCTCAACTCCATCAACACCAACATGTACAACCTGATCCGGTGCAACCCCGGTCTGGTGAAGAGATCACGGTTCTCACGGTCCCAGAAGTACTACGGTCCAAACAAGACGCCCCTTACTACCGCCCTCACTGTATTGTGCACTTCGTCTAGCAGTAAACCTTCTCCGCTACTCCTTCTCCAGGTTATTTGAACATGTGCATAACGTTGAACACTTATTTTGTAATATTTTTAGTTTTTTACTAAATTCCAGTTTTATTCCAGTTTTATTCCATTTTTATTCCAGTTTGAATCCTGCACTACATAATATACAGAAATCTTTACACTTATAATTTAATTAACTAAAAAGGCCATAAAATCATTCAACCCAGCCAAGAAAGTTTCAATGGTATATCTCTCACGGTTTTTGCGGAAAGTCATGTTAAAGATATGTCATGAAGTCTAATATTCTCAAGTAATTAAAGTAATCATCATTTTTGAAACGTTTAAAGGCAATTTATAATTTGCATGATAATTTGCATAAATTAGCTGACGTTTCTTTCAGGCTATTTCGTTTTCCTCGTTGAGAAGGTGGCTACTATTTCTACCCACTGCACCTCTTGTAAGTACAATGAACAATGAACATGTGCCACACTACCGTAACTACTGCACTCATAACTATTGAGAGGCTAGGTTCAACTCGTTTTGAATATAACTAAATCTTCAAGTATATAGTAGTATTTGAACTTTTAACAATAACATTTTAAATCAGCTCTAACTCCAGGAAGTATACCAAGGAAACAACAGATCAGACCTAGTATCCGAGTACAACGAGGTCGAGTCCCAAGTAGGGGGCAGCACTTATGCAGCCTCCACCTACACCAGGATTACTGATGTCACGTTCCATCAGCAGGGAATCTACAACGACAACTTCTACGACATGAGTATGTAATACTAACAGATTTGTATTCTAGTTTGGGTAGCTTCTATCGAAATCTATGCGTATGGCGTGTTACGGTGATTTGGTGAACTCGTCGATATACAGTTTATCACCCGTGTTGTACATGCGGTTGGCAAGATGCCCTAGCCTCTAAAAAATTTGTATTTGTAAATGTCCAATAAATAACTCCTCAAAAAAATCGGCATTAAATTTGTTTCAATAAGCTGTAAATGTACATGTAAATGTACATGTAAATGTACATGTAAATGTACATGTAAATGTACATGTAAATGTACATGTAAATGTACATGTAAATGTACATGTAAATGTACATGTAAATGTACATGTAAATGTACATGTAAATGTACATGTACATGTAAATGTACATGTAAATGTATATGTAAATGTACATATAAATGTACATATAAATGTACATATAAATGTACATATAAATGTATCCAACAATACCGTTTCCAGGAAGTGAGATAAGTGCAGCAACACGGTACAACCCCAGAACTCTAAACCTGTCCATAACCAGCAGTACAGGTAGCCCAATACTGGACGCTGCACTGGCACATGTTACTCTGGTTATAGAGCACTGTACTAAACTTACCTTCAACAACAAAGACAAGGTCAGCCGCGCGCATCTTTGTTTGACACGTGCTTTCAGTTTTGTGTTTTCGTGATCATCATAATGCTTTTTTTCTAGCTTCAATTTTTATCAGATTTCCCTAATAATTTGTAGTTAAAACTAAAACTCTAAAAGTGAATGAAAATGTGGGGTTTAAAGGTTTAAAGGTCTAATGACGCACAAAGACCTGCCAAAACATGCTCGTAACATAGTTACAACACCAGATCGTAGGTTTAGCAGCACAAAGACCTGCCAAAACATGCTCGTAAAATATTTCCAACTCCAGATCGTAGGTTTAGCAGCGTACCTGCCAAAACATGCTCGTAAAATAGTTACAACTCCAGATCGTAGGTTTAGCAGCGTACCTGCCAAAACATGCTCGTAAAATAGTTACAACTCCAGATCGTAGGTTTAGCAGCGTACCTGCCAAAACATGCTCGTAAAATAGTTACAACTCCAGATCGTAGGTTTAGCAGCGTACCTGCCAAAACATGCTCGTAAAATAGTTACAACTCCAGATCGTAGGTTTAGCAGCGTACCTACCAAAACATGCTGGTAAAATAGTTACAACTCCAGATCGTAGGTTTGGCAGCGTATCTGGAGTGCATCAAGATATTGGATACTATCTTCGAGCCGTGCCAATCAGTGGAGGTGCAGCACGAGATCCTAGCAGCCATGACCATGATACTATCCAATCTGAAGAGTGATAAGACAAAGTATATCCTGCTTCCTGCTGCTCTGATCGTGGTCATGAAACATAGTCCTGAGTTTAAGGTGAGCAGTGGGACCAGGGACAAAAGAAAATCGCGATTATTTTGCCCAAAAATCGCGATACCGCGACAAACCAAACAGACGACACATAAAATTTGTCGCAAAGAATGGGAAAAATCGCGATCCCGCACATGCTGAGATTTCCTTTTGTCCCTGAGTGGGACAAGTAACTTCTTGCTAAGATGAAATGTATGCAATATTTTAACTAGCTGTACTACAAGTGAACAGGATTAGATAACGAAATGTATGTATGTCACTCAGCACCTTACAAGACATTTAGTCTTGACCGCCGAGTACGATTTCTGTTGGTGTTGAGTGAATTAAACAAATTTATAATAATAACCACCTCGCTGGTTTGATTTATTACTCCACACACGTTATAACTGTTAAGTACTTTTCTTTTTTGTTGTTGCCTGGACGGTGCCGCGCCGGTAGCTCTAATGACCAATTTACAAAAAGTTATATACATAATAATATTATATTTTAAGAACTGCACCCCAATTTAAGTGTTCGAAACGTCAGCTCTTGACTCAACGTATGAAACGAATTAAAAAAATCAATCTTAGATCCTGAAATCTGTTCACTATAAATACCACTGTGATCCTCAAATATCTATTCTTAGAGTACACTGAAAACCAGGATTTTCATCTTATTCTATTTCCCAGTTGAATCCGGAGCAGAACGAATACATGACATTCCTATACTCTGACGTCATCGCCAAAAGCTACGAAACCTGCTCACTAATGTACGAGATCATCATGTTCACCCTCTCCTTCGCTCCTCGTATCTCTCGGCTCCTTCAAACATACATTCCCAACATTTTCAAGATTGTAGCTTATCGTCCGACTACGTTTGCTAGGGAGATTGCAATGATGCTTCCGCATTTTTATCATTCCACTGTATTGAAGGAGCTGTTTATAACCATTGTACAGATGCCTGTCCTATCTGCTCTCATGCTGGCTAACCTTAAGGTATACAATTCAAGTTATTTCAGAATTCCACAAATGTGGCCTTTAAAAAGATAAAATTCGATTTGACTTCGACTGCACGGACTAGCGAAACATGTTCAAATTAAACACAAAGACTTTTAAAAACCAGACATGTTATCTGTTTGTTAACTCGTCCAGCACATAAAGGACTTCTTATCTCCCAGACGAGTAGCGCGACTGACTGGTTACAGAGACTGCGAGTAAACAAGATGTCACCAGTAGACATAACCAGGTTGTACAGCGAGCTGGATCTTGCTCATCCTAGAGTTGTGGCTGCTTCTCAACTTTCTGCTGTTCTTCTTAAACTATTCCTTGCTCAGGTCAGGGTCGTTTATCTTAAATTATACGTTTTTAAAAGAATAATAATTGTTACTATAGCAGATAATTATACTCGAGTTGTTTTTTAGTAACAACCCACGATTTCTTCCTTAACGAATCGTTTGGAAAGTCTGGGAAGGGCAGTTAAGCGCATACTGCAGACCTATCCCTAAGTCTCACATTCCAGATTTCGGGTCGTCTTATCACATGACATGCACTCAGAATAGTCTCAAGGCGAGTCAAGTGACGTCCAGACGTTTCAAATCACGTGATACTGGATTTTCGACTATGCAGGGTCGGGTTACATGACACGTGCTATGTAATTAGGAGTGTTTTACTAATCCAGTCTTAATGAGCCCTGCCCTAATGAGAGGCTATAACTGTCCCGTATAAATAGCCTTGTAAACCTGACCTGATTATCAACAGTTCCCTCTACAACACCACAACATCCACCCCACTTCTGACCAGCTCTCGTAATGTCCAAAACCAGAAACGTAGATGAAATATTTCCAGACTGCTACAGCCTGGAATCCCAGATAGGAGTTGGCGGATACGGCAAAGTGTGGACCTGTACGGACAACCAGACCCAGGAAACCCGCGCTGTGAAGATAGTCCCTGATAAGATGGTTCGGAGAAAGTCCTGGAGCCTGGAACACGGTAGAAAGATCCCAGATGAAGCTGTCCTGTGGTTACCCCTCTCTCATCCTAACCTGGTGTCTCTTCTTGAGGTGTTCTACATCCCTAAAACTAAGTACTGGTTCTTTGTTATGGAATACGACGAGGAGTACATCGACCTCTTCAACTTCATCGACAGAAACGGCCCCTTCTCCTCTGCCAACGCCTGCTTCATCGCTCGGCAAGTCATCACAGTGATGCTCTACCTCATCTCATACGGAGTGGACCACAGAGACATCAAGGACGAGAACATCATGATAAGCCCCACCACTCTCCACATCAAACTCCTCGACTTTGGCTCCGCTAGCAGGCTCTGTCCGGACACTCGCTACACCACATTCCAAGGAACGGACGTCTACATTCCTCCGGAATACTACCGGCACAAGATGTATTCCCCTCTCCCGGCTGCTGTGTGGAGTATTGGATGCCTGGTTCACTGTCTCATAGCGGGAGATGGACCTTTCAGTGACAAGTCGGAGATAAAGGAGTACTCGGAGATAAAGTGGCTGCATGTGGGAGATGAGCTGGCTAAGGAGTTTGTGGAGAGGTGTATGATGAGAGATGAAGATGAGAGGTTGGGTGTGGACGATTTGTTGAGGCATAGGTGGTTCAATGAGCCTGAGATTGGTTCTGTCTGAGTTCTGACACAATATTGTGTGCATGATCATGATATTATAATCTATATTAATTATGGCAACCTTATTTATATTAAATATAATATGTATGTAATGATTTTTGAAATATTTTGCCTAAAATACAATAAAAACTGGGTTTCTTTTTTTCTTTTTAATCCAAGTTAAAAAGATGATAATCAAATAATAACCAATCTAACTTGAAATTGACCATCATATTAATTGTCTCGATTTACAGTTAATTGAGCACGGTGACACGCTAATATTCTGGGATTGTTTCCTGTACCTTTACAAAATACCAGACATACCGGGATACAAAGACAGCGTTTCTAAAGCTATCCTCAACCATCTCAAACGTGTGAGTTTACTTACATGTCATGTTTCAAAAACAATCTATATAATCTATATAATCTCTATAAGTATTTTGTTTTTGCAGCGCAACTGAATTTAAATAACCTTCTCGCTGGCTGACCATTCAACCAAGTATTAAATTTAACACCTTACTGACATTCTTAGAATTCCATCTTATCCTAACAGGTATGTCAGTCGAGTCCCAACAGGATAGTGAACGACAACCAAGACAAGATGTTTGAGTACGTGCGGAAAATAGAGCAGTACCCTAACTACTGTGTTTAGCACCAGACATCATAAACATTCATTCCATTTTCCTCCCCTCTGTAGGGTAGACTTAGCTCTGAGGTAAGCTCATTAACATCATCATCCCTCCCAGTACGTGCGGAAAATAGAGCAGTACCCTAACTACTGTGTTAGCACCAGACTCATTAACATCATCATTCCTCCCCTCTGTAGGGTAGAACTTAGCTCTGAGGTAAGCTCATTAACATCATCATCCCTCCCCTTTGTAGGGTACAACTTAGCTCTGAGGTGACACCACGTGACACGTTTCTAGGTTAAACACGCGCAGAGCACGAAATGTAAGATTCAAATTATTGAATCGATGGCATCATTTTTACACGATTACAGTGTAAGTAGTAGGTACTAAAAAGAAACCAATATTTAGCTATTAATTATATCATTATCTGACTGACCCCAGGTACACAAATCAGTACACAAGTCAGTAGAACAACAACTTTACATTATATCAGCCATGTCCTACACTCCCCTCCTTAACTCCTTGTTACTCCTTCTTGTAGTGCTGTCCGCTAAGGAACCAACTCTTAATGAGAGGACACTGACTTGTTTGGAAAACATAAAAACTAAGGTATTATCTTGTTGAAGGAAATTATACCTGTCCAATATATAATTACAATATATTAATGATGTAAGAACAAGGCTGAAGTTATAGGGTTTGCCTCGCATGTCTTTCCTTAACGTGCTATATCATAAGATTAATTATGGTAGTTGCATAAGGCAATGTGAAAACGATCATGTGATATGACGTACAGAAACTACATTCTACTTAAAGGCCGACAAAACTCACTCAACACATCTTCTAACACTACCAATCTCTAACAGGTGTTATCACGAGGCCCAACAATAGAGTCACAGTCCCTGATCCAGCTGGTTGACATGCTGTCCTCCACCCTCCGTCACGGTGGTGGGAGTTTGGTGGAGATCTACAAGACGGGAGAAACAGTGGGGCATGTTAACACTATGAACATGTTGGGTGCTCTCAGTTTTATTGACAAAGCAGCTACAGTCTGAGCCTGTCACGTGACACACCCTGAACCTGTCACGTGACACACCCTGAACCTGTCACGTGACACACCCTGAACCTGTCACGTGACACACCCTGAACCTGTCACGTGACACACCCTGAACCTGTCACGTGACACACCCTGAACCTGTCACGTGACACACCCTGATTTACAAGACGGGAGAAACAGTGGGACATGTTAACACTATGAACATGTTGGGTGCTCTTAGTTTCATTGACAAAGCAGCTACAGTCTGAGCCTCCAACTTGAATCGTAGTTTTTACAGTATAGTAATGGAGTGTTCAAAAGTTCAACTTGTAATTGTTGTTGATAATTAAATGTGATTTTTTAAGTTGACATTTTATGTAGTAAGTCACAGATCGTATTGTAGGGAAAATTATGAAATGAAACCGGGGAAGCTCCAATGTGAGCTTGTATGAATGAGACTAAGCAATTAACATTTCTTTAAAGAAACAATTTTCAAATGCAGTCAGAAAAAGTCTGATTACGAATGCAAATCAAATATCTAATGTGAAATTGATTAGGTTTGATGTCTTTATCATTATATAAAGAATTATAAATACAGCTTATTTGATTTCAAACATTTTGTTCCTACTCCACACAGGCTATTTTTACTTCAAAATCTCCAGCTTATATAAAGCTCTGTTTTTTAAGTCTACGTCACATGATCAAAATACAGCTTTCTGATTGGTCACCCCCCAGCTAGCGAAATGTCATGGAGCTGCCGGAGGTCAGGAATGTGGACTCACCACGTGACCTGCTGAGGGACCTCGGGGAGGTTTACACGGACAGTGCAAAGCTTGGTAGAGATGTGGTGTACAGTCACATTCTCCGCGAAGGGGTGAGAGTCCAGGGTTATTTTATTTTATTTTTTAAGAGAGGCTGGGCCTGGTTGGCCCACGAGAGGATAGCATATGGATGCTTTGCCTACCTCTGGGGTATGGCAGTCCTGTGGGAGGATGCCTGTGGAATCAAGATATGTAGTCCAGGGTTATTGTTATCAGGGAAACTTGTTTTCTTTTTGAAAAGTCTTTCTGAGTTGATACTTTCCTTAAATTTGTAGGAAATGAAAGAGATATGGTAAATCAGGGTATAGTAAATTTGGGTTTGTTACAGGTTTTAAAGAATGAAGATACGGTTCACTGGAGAGAAGATTTCGCGCACTACTGCTATAACCTTCGTCACAGAGGTTTCTACGATGACACCAACTCTGTTGAGGATTCTGTAGAGCAGCTGGAAGGTTAGTTTTTGAGGGCCTGTTTTCGTTATTTTTTTTCTTCTGAGAAGCTTTAAAATTGAATCGATTCAAACTACGTTTGCACCTCTTGAAGGAATGTCGTCCCAACTTATGAGTATTGCTGAAAGCACAGTGTAAGGCCTACACGGACCGCCTCTAACTAGCCAATCCCTGTTTACATGCCGTGTAGCAGGGGACTAGAAAGAGCTAAACTAGTAAGCGGGGCATAGCCAATACACTATACTTCCATCATTATAATTTATCATGTAGTTAGCTTACTTGCTGACCAACATGTTCCATTATTCCATTAATATATGTGTCCATATATAATATTTGCAGAAGAAGTGGGTGAAGGGGAATGTGACAGGCTGATGAAGTTTCTAACCCTTCTCGCTGGTTCTGTGTCCCACATAACCCCACGATCTGGCCTCATACCAACCGGCAAGCAAGTGGAAGTGTTACCACACCACGTGCTGCCTGCTGCGCAGAACCGGTACCATGGTGACTCGTGCGCGCCTGGCGTACACAGCTCCGGGTATCTTATGTACAGAGATGAGCTGTTCACCAGTGTCAGCTCTTGTCCGGACATTAACCAATCTGAAAAAGTAAATTTATTAATTATTACAGGGATTTGTTTCAGTAGATTATAAATTGTGTGACCAACTTCTCTTACTTCAGTACGGCAAGTACTAAAAGCAGATTCAACCAGGTCATTCTTTAATATTTAACTCGCCTAGATCAAGTAATGACAAATTGTCTCCATCAGATTTTGGCTGGATTTCCAGAGAGTTCCACAGTATCACGGTTCATCAGACCACCCAACAACAAACTGCCGCCCCCTAAAATCACCCTAACCGGGCTCCCAGTCCCGGAGCCAACCTATCAGCTCCTACCACTTCCTGCACCCCCTTCTAGAAGCCATAGTGTCGAGGAGTACAGTTCTAATCCTGTCCTTGCTGATCTGCCTGCTTTACCCCCGCCTACTGTTACTGGGTGGGTTGTCGTCCCAGATCAGATTTACACTGATATACATTATACACGCTGGTTTATAATTATAACGATTTTTGTAATAAAGGTGTGTAAGTATTCTTTTCAGCAAATAACAAAGTTAAAATTAACTGGTGAAAAGTCTTGAGAATCATGATAAAAGCATACCTTTATAATTGAAAACTTCAGTATATTCAAGTCCCTGTCCCTGAAGAGTGATGATCTGCCAGTGTATCTGGGTCCGGTACTACGCACCACTGTCAAGGAGCGCTACCAGCCGACTCAGCGCAATATCACACAGAGATTTGCTCCTGTACGGCCCTCTAATAGTGCTGTTTCAGGTGCGTGCTTACTTTTGCTTGCAGGTATTCCTTATCTTCTTGTTACTGAGTTAAGCTCATTAAAGGATTGGTAATGTTTAGATATTAGTAAATTGATAATTCTACCCACTTTTAGATTATGAATTATGGTCGATTTTAACTTGTTAATTATTTAATTAGTACTAACTTGTTAAATACCAGACAGTTCTGGTGTAGAATCGGATGACGACCATGAAGCCTGGGAAGAAGCGTACAAGGACATGGACAAAGAGTTCCCAACTCCTACCTACGAACTTATGGGCAGGTAAATAAATTGGTTATTTATTAAAGTAATACATGTTACATGTAACTGTTACACTATGTAATTATTACATGTAACTGTTACAATATGTAACTGTTAGGGCAGGTGTTGCTAGACAAGTATGGAGTGAGCATTTCCAGATATATACGAAAACTATTTTAAGCCAGCTATGTAAGCTCACAATTCATATTTACACAATGCTAACAATCCTCCCTAACACACACAGGAAGGTCCTACAAGAGCGACCCTATCTGACCGAGTCAGGATCCCAAGTGTTACATGTAATTGTTACATGTAACTGTTACAATATGTAACTGTTACAATATGTAACACAATTCATATTTACACAATATTAACAATCCTCCCTGACCCACAGGAAGGTCCTACAATTCATATTTACACAATGTTAACAATCCTCCCTGACACACAGGAAGGTGCTACAAGAGCGACCCTACCTGACCGAGTCAGGATCCCAAGTGTACACCCGGCTCTGCGTCTTGCTGTGCTCCCCGTATAGTGACCTAGATGTTGTGACCGAGCAACATGTTCTCTATCAGTGCCAATACGTTCTCATCGGTATCCCTACTAGCATCTTTCAGTTTGATAAGGTAGGATATTCAACAGGATCTTCGGCGAAGTATAAGTAGATACTGGGGCAGTGGGCAGAACTGAGGAAATACAGGGTGTTTCAAAAATAATGTCCTGATTTTAAAAAACACTACAAATTCTTAAAAAGGAGCAAATGCCCCCTATCAGTTGCATTAGTTCATAAAGCTTACAAATTTAAGTTTTAAGCACAATTGTTCAAGCGCTTCAACTTAGTTAATTTTTTTGGCTCTGTACCAAAAAGTCGAATTTTGAGAAAAATGTACATAATATAGTAGATCTGAGAAGTGATACTTAAAAACCAATTTTACGATATTTGTAAAACAAACGTTTGCCGTTACATTGTATAGTACTTTTGGTTTTGTATGATCATTTCAGTTAAAGTAGACAAAGCGCCATTGATACAAAGTTGTATTATGATTATATTATATTCAAATCGTTTGTCGTAACCGTGCTCTTTCAAATAAAATACACGAGTTTGACGGTGCTACCCCCTATAAAGTATAAACCTTGTGCTTAAAAGTTAGACAGCTTTCTTCGATAACAGCTTTCGCTAAAAGCTTATCTTCTGGATAAGCTGAGATCCCTTAACTCCTATTTTGTGGATCCACCGCTATATTTCTCAAACCCTGCCTAGGCCCTAGGTAAAATACAAATTATTCGGATCACGGCTGTATGTTAAACGCACATTTCCAGTATAAAAACGAAAACACGCCATTTATATGGTCACGTCACAAAACAGACCAGCGTGTACGTCTGCACTCTGCACGCTATCTCGCAAAGCTCGCAAGTGCTTTATGAATGTTGCAGTCTGTAATACAGGTATATACTCTGTTTAATTGCAACTTTGTCCAAGTACAATTTTAACTTTACGTTAGTTTTGGGCCAGACTGTTGCTTGTGCTGTTGTTGTTGAGATAGTGACATATTTATACTCGATAACTGTGATCATTTTGATCAAATTGGGCACGACCGCCCCCCCCCCCTCACTTTGATTTAGATTAATAATTCGTTGATTGCTCTTGCTGATCTGATGTATCTGTGATGTACTACGCGAAGTTTAAGTTTGATGTGGATAATTACCTAGTTATCAAGAAACCATGTCCCCATGAGGTTCCTTAAAATTTAATCGTCTGATGATACACGTTACTATTTGTAGTAAGATCTGCTGTTGATCAAAAGAAACTAATTCCGTAACTGAAGCTCATAATTTCTTACTTGCTGCACTTATGTCATCAAACTGTTAGCCTGAATATTAGAAGGTCCCTCTATGACAAACTCGAAGCTTTCGAAGCTATTTCGAAGATTTCGCTGTCGACCCCGTACACATCTATTAAAATGATTAACATTCATTTTCCCCCTAATTTCTTGTATTAGCTTATCAATATTATTAACTGACAAGTTTTACAGTTCTTCAGTTTGATGACCAATCACCCGATGTGGAGACTGTTAAGAACCCTCTTGTCGGAGCGAAGACGGATATTATTCTTACTAGCCATGATCGTTGCATCAGTTCTATTCTTCTCTTACACAAAGCTAGAAGATAACGATAACCTACGTCTCTTACTGGCTGGTAGTCCGGTGTTATCTTATCGCATTCAGCTCTGGTACCAGGGAAAATGTGTAGGTTCCTCTCCGGACGGAACGTTACAAGTCATGTTCTGTAATCCTCGAGAGGAACAATATTTCCAGTTGTTACCTGACGGGAAGTTGATTTTCGGAGATATTGGAAATGTTAGCGGCTTTGAAGGGAAATGTTTGCAACTGGGAATAGTGAATAATATAACCCGGTTAGTGCTCGGTCACTGCAATTCAGCAATCAAGTTAGATATTGTTAACGGTTCATACCTTCAATTACAAGGGCACAGTAAGAAATACCAGAATTACCAGGGTAATGAGGAGCGATGTGTTTCACCCATAACCGTGTCTAACGAGGGCCTGATACCCAATTCCAGCCCTTCAAACGGAGACACTGTGTCCCTCACTACCTGCCACGAAGAAGCTTCCAGAATCACTCTTATCGAAGAGAAATATTTCCAAAAGAGCAGGAAATACCTGCTACTCCCCCTGCCACAAACCAAGACTAAATGTGATTTTCCAGCTTGTGGAATCAACAAATCAGCCCCACGCGCAGCCCTGCTCCCTCCTGATATAGTTGACAGATTTTATTATAATTTATCTGAGTGTGTAACTGTAGTTACTAAAACTGCTCGGAGACCTCATCTCGTCATGAGAATGGTACAGTCAATGATTAAGAAATATCCGATCTGTTGGCTATCGCCTATGATGATGGAGTGGGGGAGTTTTCTAGTGAAATCATGGAGGGTATAGGAAATGTAACTAATTTAAAGTACATAATCGGGGATGATAATGACCTGGGCATAGCTCAGGGTAGAAACTTGGCCCTGGAGCATGTGAAGACAAAATATTTCTTCTTAGTGGATGATGATAACATTTTCACTGATATGACAGATTTGGAATTGCTAGTGGATATTTTAGACACGACAGATGCAACCTTAGCTGGGGGAACATTTGCATCTTACAAGGATTTTAGTAGTTATCTCACCTGTGGTTATACTAAAAAGAGAAGAGACTTATTTGTAAAACACGGAAGTTGTTTAAAGGCAAACGTGACAATTCCGAACTTTCCAAGATGTGTACGGTGTGAGTTAACTTCTAACGTTTTCCTGGCTCGGACACGTGACATTATAGATGTTGGAGGTTGGAGCGAGGAGCTGAAGGTTCTGGAACACAGGATATAATTGCGTCAGATTATAAGCGGCTGACGAAAAAAGTTTATGAGTACGTCCCGATGTTAAGGTCGTAATGCAGACCGACTGGAGGGGAGAATAATGACGAGAAATTATAAGATAAAAACACGGTAGAGAGGAAGGAAGAAAAAGTTTTGTTTGGTAGCAGGAGGAACATTTAAAAGTATCCTTAAACTAATAATAATCCTTGGGGGGTAATATGCCTGTTAACATCGAATTCTTACTATTTATTTATTGTTAATTTGATTAAATTGTATGTGCATATAAAATGTTTAGTTTCTTATTGTATGTTATAATTATGTGGAATATATTTTACGTTCCGACACGAATTAATATCATAATATTGCCATGATAGTTTTAATAGTTCTAATTTATTATAAAATCGTCATCTCTGAGTTTAACCACTAAAAGTAATGAGAAGCGACCAAAAATTGTTTGAGTTATTAATTATTGGTCATTCAAGAAAAATTCAGTCAACACAGTGAAATTTGGGCCGCGGAAAGCTGAAATCTGAAATGTCCTAGCGGTAGGACATTTTCAAAATTTCATTCCTCAGAAGTTTTCCTCGGGATTACTGGTTCAAAACTTGAAAACGTCTTGGGTCACTCTCACCGACCTCACTGATTGGTCACTGGTCAAAAATTCAGCCAAAACCGCGAAATTTAGGTTAGAAAAGCTTATCTTCAAAAATCTTCAAAAATCTCTTTTTATATTCTAATGATTTTCCGTGCTTTCTTTGGAAATAGAACTTTGAGTACACCTAAATCGTGTCTTGTGTCCATCTCGTTGACCTGTGAAGATGATCATTCAAGAAAAATTCAGGTCAAAACAGTGAATTTGGGTCGCAGAATCTGAAATTCGAATATTCATACGGTAGGACATATTTAAAATTTTCATTGCTCAGAGTTTTCTCCGGATGTACGCTTCCAGTACATTAGAATGCGACTTGTACACTCTCCACCGACCTCACCTGATTGGTCACTGGTAAATAGATCAGTAAAACCCCTGAAATATTCGGTCAGGTGGACGCAGAAAAACTTCCCTCTTCAAAAATCTTCCAAAATCTCTTATTTATAATCTGATGATTTTTCCGTTTATCAAAGCTTTCCTTTGGGAATATAACTTTGAGTACCTCAACCGTGTCTGTGCCATCCTCAAAGACCTTGTAAGTGGTCATTCAAGAAAATTCAGTCAAAAAAGTGAAATTTGGGTCACGTAAATCTGAAAATGTCCTCTACTACTAGGACATATTATTCAAAATTGTCCTTTTATCAAAGATTTCTCCCGATATTCAGCTTCCAGTACCTCAATGGCGACTTGTGTCACGCACACTGATCTCACTGATTGGTGACTGGCAAAAAATTGAGTCATAACTGTGAAATTTCGGTCAAGGAAGCGGGAAAACAGCTTCTTCAAAAATCTTCCAAAATCTCTTTCTATTCTGATGATTTTCCGTTTATCAAAGTTTTGTTTTGTGAATAGAACTTCCAGTACCTCAATCAAGGAAACAGCAGAAAAGTTTCTATTTGATAAGCTCTATGAGTATCTGCGTTGTCGAGAAAGGCCATGAAATTAGTTTACAGTTACTGAACTCTTACAGTGAAAGTGAAAGTGAAAGTGAAAGTGAAAGTGAAAGTGAAAGTGGAAGTGACATTTATATTCATGATATTGTGATATAATATCTTACAAACTAATATCCTCAAACGCTCAAACTCCTCGTATCTTCAGACGAAGGTTGAGTTTGTTCCGCTCCAGAACATTTGCTACACGGGTGTCTCTCCGGACTCTCTTGTTGATTGCCTCTACTCTATTGCTTACTCCGGTAAGATCTGTGCACTATCCAGTATCCAGTTTGAGAAATGATTGAATTGGTAGTGACACGTGGAAGGGTAAATAAATTCAGATTATTTAATAGGGTGGATGTATATTTTGTATAACTATTGTCTCCTCACTTATTTCACTTACATTTCTGCCAGGGACCCTGTACCTGCGTCTGAAGATGTTTTGTGATCAGTACAGCACTGTTGAGAGATACGGTAACGTTGTTAAAGGTCTCGTGTCTGCAGTGGAACAATATCTCAACCTGTACCAAGCTTTTCTAAGCCAGGTTTGATAATAGACCAGGGTTGGGAGCGGACCTTAAAACCTTTAAAAAAAAGAGAGAACCTTAAATCACAACCCTGTCATAGACTCATGGTCCGGTGTCCGTGACGATACAATTTTACATGGAACTTTAACTCGGGAAATCGAGTAACGGTTAACATATTATAAATTAACCATAATATAATCTTTTATGCATCTCAACATTATTTATTGAACTAACCTTAAAATTTAATTTTACAGATCCCGATTTCCAGTCTTATACAGTTGATCTGGAAAACAAAGGACCTTACCTCTCAGCTAGAGTTTTTGTGCAACTTGCTACTGCTTGAAGAGGTATCCAATCTTTATGTTAACCAAGTGCATGTTGTGATTAGAATCGAATTAAGGAAGAACCAGGAAAGGCCCGCCTCCCCATTAATGACATTTTCACTTTTCATTAATTGGACATTACTGGTAATCTTGTTTTGCTCTTATGAGTGGGTCAATCATTTATTTTTAATTGTAGTTGACGAAATGAGAGTCTCCACTCAGTGTGTTAAAACATAATTCTTTGTCGACGTTTCGGCTACATGCCTTTGTCATAAACAGGACGTACTGAAAACTTACATAGCTGCAAAGATACAATGTTAAAATAATCTATTAATACTACGAAATATAACAACAACAAATAACATTTTGAAACACAACAACAATCACAAATTTTTCCAAAAGAAACATAAAATAAAACGGCTAAAAGAATCCAAATCGCAACAAGCCGTGAACAATTCTTCATACTACTACAAACATTTTACCAAGATAGCTCCTTCATAAAACTGATTAATCAAAAATTATCTAGGTTTATAAGTTCAATATTACATTAACTTCCAAGTATATTTTATCCAATCACCTTCATTTACGGACTCAGACAATTGAGTATTTATTTCTGGGTTTTCACGTTTTATTAGAACCGACTGCCACAATTGACGGTCCACATAGTCTTTACATCTTTTTCGAACTATAAACCGAAACGGTATGTTTGGCATTGAAATGTCTGCATGCTCCTCTAGGTAGTGCTTCCCCATGGCCGTAGATTTGTTGCCATCCCTTACTGATTTGTAGTGTTCCCAGGCTCTACTTCTTTTAAACCTACCAGTTTCCCCAATGTAGGACTTATTACATATTTGGCATATTAATTGGTAGCAAATGTTTTTGATCATGCAGGATTTATCGCACTGGTAGCATTTGCTGTCACTTTGTTTATTGCATTTTGTTTGCTGTAGGCTAGATCTTGTTAAAGCTTCCATGAGACGTTGTCCTGATGTGAATGTTACCCTGGTGGAATCCAAGAGGTTTTGATTTCTTAGGGTATAGTAGACTTTTCGACACGTCTGTTCATTTATATAAGGTAATGATAAGTAAGCTATTTTTGAGTTCTTTTTAGGCGCATTTTGTTTATCCAGTGTATTCTGTGTTTCTCGAATAAGTTTCTTGACAATATTAGGAGGGAAACTATTCTTCTTTAGCATATCAGCTATTCTGTTGATACTGAGATCTTGTAGTTCAGGTGTGGAGCTGTTATTGATAGCCCTTCTGATCTCATTTTTGGCTGAGTTCAGAATCGTTCTACGAGGGTGAGCAGAGGCATAATTTAGGAATATGTCCTGGCTGGTTGGTTTAACAAATAAGGAAAAATCTAACCTCTTGTCCACCGTATTCATATAGATGTTCAGGTCCAAAAATGCAACACAATCTTTGGAGCACTCATATGTGAACTGTATATCCCTGTTCAACGAGTTAAGGCAGGGCCGGGGGGGGTCTTCATGGAAATTTTCTCAAAATCGACTTTTTAGTTGTTTCTAATAGAGGGGAGTAATATTACTCCAGTAGCAGGGAATAGTTGAGTGTGCACTTCGATGTACACGATTTCTGACAACACAGGGTTGTTTGTTCGATCATTCTTAACCAAAATCGTTTAGGTACGCAATTTGTGTCGCTAGACATAACCCTACAGGGCAAATTTTCTAAATTACCCTCAGTCGCGTATACGGGATTTTTGTATTTCAGTTCCTAAAGGTCATAGAGAATTAAATTTTAGCTTAAAATTACCGCAATGGCCACATTTATATACAAGTTATGAAGCAACATAAGGTCTACAGTGCATTGTTTTATAGATATTGACAAAAAACTGTTTTTTGGCTCAGCGAACCAAAAATGGCACTGAATTTTGGTAACTTGAACTAGGAAGGTCGTAGAGACTTGAATTTTAGCTTAAAATGACCGCAAACATCATATTTATATACAACTTATAAAGCAATATAAGCCCTTTAATGCTTATTTGTTAAGATATTGACAAAAATCAGTCATTTTGGCTACACGCGTGAGGAAAAATACCAAATTGGGCAACTACTTTGGTCTTTTTTTGACAATTTTTGTGCTCAAGTTATTAAAATGTGCTTTGCAGTTGTAGATCGGATGTTTTCTTCCAATATGGGTTTCGGTATAAATCCGGAAGCACCCGGTTCATGGGTGATAGGGGTTAAAAACCCTGAAATGTCAGGCGATGGGCGAGACAATTGTCTGAATTTGGTTATAAAATCACTCTTTGCTAGGGTTTGCTTTTTACCGCTACATTGATCCGCTTTCTAACTACTAATCATCCCCCTCTACATCATTGATCATTCTCCTTTAGATACATGATTTCTATAAGTTCTTGAAGGTACATCCGGCATGATGTAAAGTCTATATCAAAGCATTTTAATGTGGTCTTAACAAGTTGCAAGATATTCAAGTTCACTAATAAAACAGAGATTGTAGGATATCCTTCTTTTACATATTGAGTAATTGTGGGCTTTTTGAGGGGGAGGCTACAAAATAGCCAAATATAATTTAAACGTAAACGACCCAATAATAATATTAAAAGTAGAATGAAACTACTTAAAACTTATACAGATTTATGGTATCCTGTTTCAAGACGCTTGCTCCTGATTTTTAGCAACAATATCGACTGACCCCACGACGTTGTAATATGATTGTGGGTTTTGAACGGTAGTTTGTAAAAATAATTATTTCCAAGGTAATACTAACTTTCAAAGGTACATCTTAAGTTATCATCAAATTATTCGGGTTGACAGTATTAAACATTTTGAATCGGGAAATCAAAGCGTAACTTTTTGATTACAGATAAACGATGTGGATGCGGATGTTGTAAAATGTACATTAACTTCATCTTAAATCTATTTTGAATGGAGTATTATACAGTAGTTCAACTATATAATTGCATATCCAGTATTCACCTACAAGCATAACTGCTTGGCGTGATAAGGTACATCTTTGAATGGTAGTAGGGTCTTTCAGCGACACAGCAATATCACTTCCATGGTAGTCCCCGGCTTATGACGGGTTCATAGCGGTATCAAACATGTTTTATGGGCCTAACTCCCAATCATCTGTCCATATAATGGTGTTTCTGGACAGATAGATGGTGTATGGTGCCCTCATGCTAATTTCAGCGATCTTCATGCAGGCCTTTTTCTCTTTAGTGTTTACGTTCAGGTGGTTCATAAAGGTTTGGAGGCTGCAGTTGTAAATGACTCGAACTCCAACTTCTACTGTCTGGAGCTTGCAAGCCCATCCGTTGGCTTCAATCTCTTCTGTCAGCTGCTGATATCTCCCCCTTATCTTCTTTTCTTAAGCAAAGTTCTCCTCATTCAGATGCCCTTCTTCTCTTTATCTGAATAGATCACTACATCTGGTCTCAATAGTATTACCCTAATGTAATGTCTAACAATAACGTTTATAAGCGCTAAAATTTCGAACTAGCGGACCGTATTCGGAGGAGAAATTTGGGACAGTTTTTTGCTTGGAAATACTGATGTAATCGAATTGTAACCACAATAATATAGTCTTATGGAAAGTATGGATAAATATTAAATATTAAAAATAATACAGGTTTGACTATGAAGTTTCGTCAATAATCACGTAAAGAATAATAGATAACCTACAATCTTCGTTTGGTAAACCAATTTGGTATCTTTCCTCACATGTGTAGCCAAAATTACTCAATATTTAAAAGAACGATATCCTACAATCTCTGTTTTATTAGTGAACTTGAATATCTTGCAACTTGTTAAGACCACATTAAAATGCTTTGATATAGACTTTACATCATGCCAGATGTACCTTCAAGAACTTATAGAAATCATGTATCTAAAAGAGAATGATCAATGATGTAGAGGGGGATGATTAGTAGTTAGAAAGCGGATCGATGTAGCGGTAAAAAGCAAACCCTAGCAAAGAGTGATTTTATAACCAAATTCAGACAATTGTCTCGCCCATCGCCTGACATTTTTTTAACCCCTATCACCCATGAACCGGGTGCTTCCGGATTTATACCGAAACCAATATTGGAAGAAAACATCCGATCTACAACTGCAAAGCACATTTTAATAACTTGAGCACAAAAATTGTCAAAAAAAGACCAAAGTAGTTGCCCAATTTGGTATTTTTCCTCACACGTGTAGCCAAAATGACTGATTTTTGTCAATATCTTAACAAATAAGCATTAAAGGGCTTATATTGCTTTATAAGTTGTATATAAATATGATGTTTGCGGTCATTTTAAGCTAAAATTCAAGTCTCTACGACCTTCCTAGTTCAAGTTACCAAAATTCAGTGCCATTTTTGGTTCGCTGAGCCAAAAAACAGTTTTTTGACAATATCTATAAAAAAAAGCACTGGAGACCTTATGTTGCTTCATAACTTGTATATAAATGTGGCCATTGCGGTAATTTTAAGCTAAAATTTAAGTCTCTATGACCTTTAGGAACTGAAATACAAAAATCCCGTATACGCGACTGAGGGTAATTTAGAAAATTTGCCCTGTAGGGTTATGTCTAGCGACACAAATTGCGTACCTAAACGATTTTGGTTAAGAATGATCTAACAAACAACCCTGTGTTGTCAGAAATCGTGTACATCGAAGTGCACACTCAACTATTCCCTGCTACTAGAGTATATCTATCAGATGCTTTTGATCCCGTGGAAAAATATCGTTCCTAGCCGAAATTATTGCCGGTCATAAGTCAGCGCGTGTGTGTAATTGTATTGCGCGAGCGATTTTTGATCGCGTGCCCTGAAAATCGAGTCTAAAAATCTATCTTCTCCTACATTTTTTGAGCAATCGCCCTGAAACTTTCAGGTTACGTTCTAGGGATCATTTAGAAGAGATGAGCCGGGCAGAATTTTGAGATAGGCCTTTAAAAATTTTTTATTCTATTTTGAAAATTTTGGACCTCATTTTTTGATGATTTTTCGAGGTCCAAGATTTTCAAAATCGAATAAAAAATGTTTACAGGCCTATCTCAAAATTCTGCCCGGCTCATCTCTTCTAAATGATCCCTAGAACATATCCTGAAAGTTTCAGGGTGATTGCTCAAAAAATGTAGGAGAAGATAGATTTTTAGACTCGATTTTCAGGGCACGCGATCAAAAATCGCTCGCGCAATACAATTACACACACGCGCTGACCTTTGACCGGCAATAATTTCGGCTAGGAACGATATTTTTCCACGGGATCAAAAGCATCTGATAGATATAACTCCCCTCTATCAGAAACAACTTAAAAGTCGATTTTGAGAAAATTTCCACGAAGACCCCCCCCTGCCCCCTTAATGTAGTTAAACAGCAATAGTACTGTGTCTTCATCTCCCTCGATTATGCTGAAGCAGTCATCTACATATCTATCCCACATATCTATGATTGGGAGTCCTACTGGTTTGGGGGGAGCTTCTGGTATGTAGGAATAGTCGTTCTCCATCAGAGGCAATTCGATTGTACAGTAAACATAGATTATTGCAAATGGTGGAGCTGGTTTCACACCCATGCCGAGTCCATTTAGTTGTTGGTAGAACTTTGAATCAAATCTGAAGTATCCTGCCTGTATGACTGATTTGAGGACCAAGTCAAAGTCCCCGAGGTCCATTCCATTTGTATCGATTTTATCCCTGTTGTTTTTTATGAACTTTATGATAACTTTGTGTCCTTCTACAAGTGGGACATTTGTGTAGAGGCTTTTCACATCAGCCGTGAACATTATGTGGTTTGTGTTTATTCTTCCCATCCAATGATCTTCTAATTTTTGCCGAAATTGAGGAGTGTTCTTAGTGTTAACGGGAACCAAGTCTAGTGCTTGGTTAAGTATATTGGTAACAAAATGACCTAGTCTTTCCGCTGGTGAATCTACTTGGGATGTGACAGGTCGCAAGGGTGGCGGTGAAATATCTTTGTGTGTTTTCCATGTACAATAAAACTCTGGTATACGAGGAAGATATGGATTACAATGTTCTCCGATCCAAGGATATTTTTGTGTAAGTGAAATTATCAAGCCATCTATATCTGTGTTCATGCGAGGAAGAGGATTTTTGGGCAGTTGTTTGTATGTACGAGTATCAGATAGCATTTCCACTACCTTCTTAATGTAGAAAGTTTTATCTGAGATCACGAACTGTTTATCTTTATCAGCTACTTTGATTACAATGTCGTCCCTAGCTCTCAGCTCTTTAACTATCTTCTGTTGTTGGTCAATAGTTTTCAGAGTGGTGTGGTGTTGTTTCTTTCCTAGGGCCTTGTCATAATCCAATATAACTGCGGCTTTCACTGCCTGGAGAACGTGTTCTTTGGCTGGGTTATTAATTTGTTGAGGCTGAAATTTGAAATCTTCTGGTTTTCTTAGAAAACCTTGGATCGGAGAACATTGTAATCCATATCTTCCTCGTATACCAGAGTTTTATTGTACATGGAAAACACACAAAGATATTTCACCGCCACCCTTGCGACCTGTCACATCCCAAGTAGATTCACCAGCGGAAAGACTAGGTCATTTTGTTACCAATATACTTAACCAAGCACTAGACTTGGTTCCCGTTAACACTAAGAACACTCCTCAATTTCGGCAAAAATTAGAAGATCATTGGATGGGAAGAATAAACACAAACCACATAATGTTCACGGCTGATGTGAAAAGCCTCTACACAAATGTCCCACTTGTAGAAGGACACAAAGTTATCATAAAGTTCATAAAAAACAACAGGGATAAAATCGATACAAATGGAATGGACCTCGGGGACTTTGACTTGGTCCTCAAATCAGTCATACAGGCAGGATACTTCAGATTTGATTCAAAGTTCTACCAACAACTAAATGGACTCGGCATGGGTGTGAAACCAGCTCCACCATTTGCAATAATCTATGTTTACTGTACAATCGAATTGCCTCTGATGGAGAACGACTATTCCTACATACCAGAAGCTCCCCCCAAACCAGTAGGACTCCCAATCATAGATATGTGGGATAGATATGTAGATGACTGCTTCAGCATAATCGAGGGAGATGAAGACACAGTACTATTGCTGTTTAACTACATTAACTCGTTGAACAGGGATATACAGTTCACATATGAGTGCTCCAAAGATTGTGTTGCATTTTTGGACCTGAACATCTATATGAATACGGTGGACAAGAGGTTAGATTTTTCCTTATTTGTTAAACCAACCAGCCAGGACATATTTCTAAATTATGCCTCTGCTCACCCTCGTAGAACGATTCTGAACTCAGCCAAAAATGAGATTCGAAGGGCTATCAATAACAGCTCCACACCTGAACTACAAGATCTCAGTATCAACAGAATAGCTGATATGCTAAAGAAGAATAGTTTCCCTCCTAATATTGTCAAGAAACTTATTCGAGAAACACAGAATACACTGGATAAACAAAATGCGCCTAAAAAGAACTCAAAAATAGCTTACTTATCATTACCTTATATAAATGAACAGACGTGTCGAAAAGTCTACTATACCCTAAGAAATCAAAACCTCTTGGATTCCACCAGGGTAACATTCACATCAGGACAACGTCTCATGGAAGCTTTAACAAGATCTAGCCTACAGCAAACAAAATGCAATAAACAAAGTGACAGCAAATGCTACCAGTGCGATAAATCCTGCATGATCAAAAACATTTGCTACCAATTAATATGCCAAATATGTAATAAGTCCTACATTGGGGAAACTGGTAGGTTTAAAAGAAGTAGAGCCTGGGAACACTACAAATCAGTAAGGGATGGCAACAAATCTACGGCCATGGGGAAGCACTACCTAGAGGAGCATGCAGACATTTCAATGCCAAACATACCGTTTCGGTTTATAGTTCGAAAAAGATATAAAGACTATGTGGACCGTCAATTGTGGCAGTCGGTTCTAATAAAACGTGAAAACCCAGAAATAAATACTCAATTGTCTGAGTCCGTAAATGAAGGTGATTGGATAAAATATACTTGGAAGTTAATGTAATATTGAACTTATAAACCTAGATAATTTTTTTCCCTACTCTTGCCGAAGGCAAAAAGATCGTAGGGAATAAGTAATCGGGTTTGGATATATGAGGTGGCCCGACGGTCCTACGTTGATGACAAAAGTCTGCTCCTTCGCAATATAAACCACTCCCCTATAATTATGTGTATAAAAGGAGTATATTTTGCGCGCGCGACGCCGGTTATGTGTTAATTAATTACAGGCATAGCAACGAGTTTTTGGTGCTTGACGACTGTTACAAACGGATCAATCATCAATTTAAGTGTTATTTTGGTGAAACAAGCTTAATAAATTACCGAGTGATAAAATTCAGCACGTCTGAAGTCAAAACAAATAAAATTATGATATCAGCAGTCAGCTGATAAACTCGTGGCTGTGGGCTGATTATTTAACAGTTAATCGACACTGAATGGTAGAAAGCATTGGAATACATAGTTGAGAACAGATGTTACTTTACAGTTACATTCAAGAAGCAACTATAATATCAAGATTGGGGCATGCTTTTAAAGAATCGTATAACAAATAAAAGGCTCGAAAGTCGATGGTGCTGTGATGTGTCGAGTAAGCATCAAAATGTATTAGTTTATGTTAGATACAAATAATAACTAAGACGAGACAGCATATTTTATTACAGTCAATAAGTTGGCATACGATGCAGTAATATGACGTGACATGATACGCATATCGTTAACTCGTTATTGTTAACACGAAACAAAACCGCGCAAAGTATGAAATGATCTACAACCAAACCACATTCAGATCGACGGCGACACCTCAAATGCGCGCAGGATTTTTCAAGTTCTGCACGCCTAATATAATATAAACGATTATTACATTGTACATGCGCCAAACACCACTCTGGGATACAATAAAGTAGAACAATTAAATTGTATGCAGTAGGGAAATTTGATCGTGCGTGGTGTTACCGCGGCGAAATTCTTGTTGATTAATCAGTTTTATGAAGGAGCTATCTTGGTAAAATTTTGTAGTATATATGAAGATTTGTTCACGGGCTTGTTGCCGATTTGGATTCTTTTAGCCGTTTTCATTTTATTGTTTCTTTTGGGGAAAAATTTGTGATTGTTGTTGTGTTTCAAATGTTTTATTTGTTGTTGTTATATTTCGTAGTATTAATAGATAATTTTAACAATGTAAACTTTGCAGCTATGTAAGTTTTCAGTACGTCCAGTTTTATGCAAAGGCATGTAGCCGAAACTTCGACAAAGAATTAAGTTTTTAAAACACACTGAGTGGAACTCTCATTTCGTTCGTCAACTACAATAAAATAAGTGGACATTACGCTTTCTATAGCTCGAATTTTTAAAGCTCCATGCATTTCTATCTTCTTCTATTTGAATCATATGATGATTTTTGAAGTTTTGGTAATATTTTATCATATACTTGAATAGAAACTAAGCCGTAATCAAGCAGATGTTAACAACACATTGTTATGATTTCAGGGTTTGCCGACAGGAACAGCACTGATAGAATATCTCTACCACACTGCTGAGATCCTTACTGCCTCCCCCTACTACAAGATAATGCTGGCTTTAATACGGGCTGCATTTGCACCTATGTCGAAGTAAGTCCCCACTACAATCTAAATGCTGGCTTTAATACGTCGTGCTTTTGCGCATTATAGTCAAGTAAGTAGCCTCCCCCCCAACTCAAGAAATGCTGGGCTTTAATACGGGCTGCTTTGCGCCTTATTCCAGTAAGTTAAGCCTTCCCCCAGACTACAAATAATGCCTGGCTTAAAATACGGGCTGCTTTTGCACCTTATGTCAAGTAAGTAGCCTCCCCCTACTACAAGATAATGCTGGCTTTAATACGGGCTGCTTTTGCGCCTCATGTCAAGTAAGTAGCCTCCCCCTACTACAAGATAATGCTGGCTTTAATACGGGCTGCTTTTGCGCCTTATGTCAAGTAAGTAGCCTCCCCCTACTACAAGATAATGCTGGCTTTAATACGGGCTGCTTTTGCGCCTTATGTCAAGTAATGTAAGCCTCCCCCCCTACTACAAGATAATGCAGGCTTTAATAACACGGCTGCATTTGCGCCTTATGTCAAGTAAGTAGCCTCCCCCTACTACAAGATAATGCTGGCTTTAATACGGGCTGCTATTGCGCCTTATGTCAAGTAAGTAGCCTCCCCCTACTACAAGGATAAAGCTGGCTTTAATACGGGCTTGCTTTTGCGCCTTAAGTCAAGTAAAGTATCCTCCCCCAACGACAAGATAAAGCTGCAGGCTTTAATACGGGCTGCTTATTGGCGCCTATGTCAAGTAAGTAGCCATCCCCGAACTACAAGAAAATGCTGCCTTATACGGCTGCTTTTGCGCCTTAAAATTCAATAAGTACCGTTCCCCTACTACAAGAAAATGGGGCGATGTGTGCATTAAAAAGGGCGGGTTGTGCTTTAGTTGCGGCTTATGTCGAGAGTTATCGCTGATAAGCCTTCCCCTAGTACTACAAGATATGCCTGGCTTTAATACGGGGCTGCTTTTGCGCCTATGTCAAGTAAGTAGACCTTCCCGCCTACTTCAACAAGATTAATGCCTGGCTTAATACGGGCCTGCTTTTGCGCCTTATGTCAAAGTAAGTACCTTCCCCCTACTAACTACAAGATTAATGCTGGCTTTAATACTGGCCTGCTTTTGCGCCATCAGTGGTCAACTAAGTAGCCTCCCCCTACCTACAAGATAAATGCTTGCTATTAAATACGGCTGGCTTTTGGTGCGCCTTATGTCAAGTAAGTAGCCTCCCTACTACAAGAATAATGCTGGCTTTAATACGGGCTGCTTTTGCGCCTTATGTCAAGTAAGTAAGCCTCCCTCCCCAACTACAGAGATGAGATGCTGGCTTTAATAACGGCTGCTTTTGCGCCTTATGTCAAGTAAGTTAGCCTCCCCCTACAACAAGATACTAGCTGGCTTTAATAGGGCTGCTTTTGCGCCTTATGTCAAAGTAAGTATCCTCCCCTACTACAAGATAATGCTGGCTTTAATACGGGCTGCTTTTGCGCCTTATGTCAAGTAAGTAGCCTCCCCCTACTACAAGATAATGCTGGCTTTAATACGGGCTGCTTTTGCGCTTTAAGTCCAAGTAATGCCCTCCACCAACTACAAGATCATCTGGCCTTTAATACGGGGCTGCTTTTTATGCGCCTTATGTCCAAGTAAGTAGCCTCCCCCCTACTACAAGATAATGCTGGCTTTACTACGGGCTTGCATTTTCGCCTTATGTCAAGTAAGTAGCCACCCCCCACAACAAGATAATGCTGGCTTTAATACGGGGGGGCTTGCTTATGCGCCTTATGTCTAGTAAGTAGCCTCCCCTACTACAAGATAATGCAGTCTTTAATACGGCTGCTTTGCGCCTTAATGTCAAGTTAAGTAGCCCCCCCTACTACAAGAAAATGCTGGCTTTAATACGTGCTGCCTTTTGCGCCTTATGTCAAGTAATAGCCACCCCCTAACTACAAGTATCATGCTGTCATTAATAACGTCTGCTTTTGGCGCCTTTATGTCAAGTAAGTTATAAACATAGTTATAAACACAGCTTCAATAATTATAAACGCAGTTATAGAAGCAGTAGTTGCAGTCGTTGAAGCGAACATTGGATTTCAGGAACACTAATATATATTATCTTGTCAGTCCTTGTTACCAATTAATTTTGTTCAGGTTTTTGGAGCTGTGGCTGTGTGAGGGACGGGTCTAGTGACGACGGACGAGGTTTAATGTTGTCGATCACATCATCGAGTGGATAACAAAGAGACTATCTCTTCTGGCAGGTATGTACAACGTTTTTACCAAATATTTAACGGATAATTACCATGAACAAAGTAAGTGAAATTATAAAGTGACGTTTAAATGCCTACCAGTAGAACTTGCTTTCTTTGCAAGACTTCTAATTCACATACTTGTACAGATATAATAACACAAGTTGTCTATGTTTCAGTACGCGTACACGGAGCGAGAAGAAGTGAAATTGCCGGGATTCCTGGAGGAGTTAAGGGAGCAACTTGTCAACACAGGCAAACTAATCAACCTCTTCCGGCTATGTGTTCCCGATGGCAGTTTTAATTGTTTCTCTCAATTATCTGAATTAATTTGAATTATCCTGCGACCTGTCTGTGCCATGATTGTCGTCGTTGGATCAGATATAGAGTGAGCCACTAGCTCACTTAGTAAAACCTTGTGTTCTAATTTTTTTTGATCCAGATAACTCTAATTTTAACAAATCTTTCAGCACCCGCTTAGTGTATCAAAGATACGGCCCCCGAAATTACAACTGACGTTTAATGACCATAACATAACACTGAACATGAAGAAGTGGGAATCTTATCAAGATGCTGTTGAGAGGTGAGCAGTCAACTTCTTTGTTGGGTGTTGAAATTTGTGGGGCCATTTTTCTACACCTTGAGGCGTATGTTAGTTTGTTCTACAGTACTAGCTACGAAGATCTATTTTGGAATTCACTCACTTTTGATTAGATCTTTGGTGTGTATAATGCATATACATTTAATAACGATAAACAAACGTTTATCTATAGGGAATTAAACACACAAGCTGTCGTGAGGGACATGAAGAAACGAGAAGAGGAAGATCGTAGAATAGCGAAGCTTGCCGCCGCAAAGGACGATGCTAGAAGAAGGTATCTTGTAATTCTTAATTAATTCCTTTTAAAACTAGAAACATGTAATTACGGGACAGCAAGTTGGCAGGCAACGAACTGATATTTGCATAAATTCTTCACTCCTCACTCTTCACTCCTCAGGATAGGGATGATAATGGCGGAAGCAGGAGCGCTGCGTGCCAGTGCTGTCTCCAACAAGAAACAAGAACTGCAGCGGTTACAAGAGCAGATGTTAGACAGAGCAGAACAGAGAGCGGCTATGTTGGAGGCTGAGAAGAAGGAGGAAACGGAGAGGATTGAGAGGAATCAAACTGAGCAATACGAGGTGGTGTACCTGATGTATCTGTAAATGTACCTGATGTACCTGTAGCTGTAAATGTACCTGATGTACCGTAGCTTGTAAATGTATCCTGGTGTAACTGTAAATAAACTTGTGTGTTTTAAAAAGAAGCGTGATTAAAGTTTGAGTGGTCCTAGGGCTACATGGCTTATAGATTATTATTCAGATAAAAAATTATTAACTGCTAATTACAGTAATAAAAGCCCCCTCCGCCAAATTTACAATATTCTCCTTGCAGTTGGTAGGAAAAATGCGAGCCCAGCTAGAAGAATACTACGGCTCACTAACCAGAGAGAAAGCTCGTGAAGAAAGACGTAGTCTCTGGAGGATACAGAGGATGAAATTAAACAGACTTCGTCGAGCTCACCTCATGTTGGAAGCCAGCCATCTTAACACAGAACTGCGACAAAAACTGGAAGAAAACAGGCCGAGTGGAAGTCAGGTTATTCAGTCGGATGTTCAAGGACAAGGCACGCAGTCTGACCTTGGGACTGTTTCAAACCCTGAGACTTCACCAACACTTTCTCAGACTTCTGATAATACAGACTTTATTAGTGAGACTGTGTTAATTGATGCTGGTTCTAAAACTAGAAAAACTTGGGATCAACCTATCAACATCAAATATTAAACATCATTCCGACGAAAATGATGAGGCTGTGAAGCTTCAAGATATAAGCATTTCTAGTAGTGTGAATGATAATGGTAATGATATCGGGAATTTTGATGCTTCTGATAATGATTCTGAAATTTCGTTTACCGTGAGTCCTGGAAATCCATGCAAATCGGATACCGATGAAACTGAGGTTTCAAATTCTAAGGAGCCCTTATCTCGACTTAATAGTGAAGGAAGTGATATGAAGAATGTTTTGTATTCTGGAAAAGGTGAATCGATTCCAGAGCATCACGTGACATCAAAGCATGAACCCGATGGGCAAATGAAAGACGTTTTGTACGGAAAATCAGAGACTGATAAAACTGAACATCCAAAATCTAAGGAGCCTCTATCAAGACTTGACAGCGAAGGAACTGAAATGAAAAATATTCTTTATTCTTGCCAGAGTTCAGGTAAAACCGTATGATTCGAATAAGAAGGATCCATTGTCCAGGCTTGATAGTGAGGGAAGTGAAATGAAAGACATTTTGTATTCGAATAATTCCCAATCTAACGATCACATTGTTGCTTCAAATGAACCTGCTGGACAAATGAAGGGGCTCCTTTATGGAGAGGAATCAACATCTGATGATAAAAGTGATGACTCGGAATTGAAGAAGCCCTTATCAAGACTAGACAGTGAAGGCAGTGAAATGAAAGACGTTTTGTACGGAAAATCAGAGCCTGATGAAATAGATCATCCAAATTCGAAGCAGCCTCTATCAAGACTTGATAGTGAAGGAACTGATATGAAAAATATTCTTTATTCTGGGCCAGAGTCTGGTAATAGTGATGATTCTAATTTAAAAGATCCATTGTCCAGGCTTGATAGTGAGGGAAGTGAAATGAAAGACATTTTTTATTCTAATAATTCCCAATCTAACGATCATATTGTTGCTTCAAATGAACCTGCTGGACAAATGAAGGAGCTCCTATACGGTGAGGAGTCAACATCCGGCTACGGCTCGGCGAAACCTGGTGATTATGAAACAGAAACAGAAACTGAGATAACAGAAGAAAGTGTGACACCAACTCCATCTGTTAAAGATGTGAAAAGTAAGGTGGATAGGATGAGAGAGATCTTGTATGGTCAGCCCCAGACTAAACTGAATGAGGAATCAGAAATGATCAAAAAATTTCCCAAATTTCCATCAGCGGTGAGTTTGTCAATATTATATTTTGATAATCACAGTTTCTACGATCCGCCAAGTAGTATTCAAACTCATGATTCTCAAATATCTAATTAGCTAATTACTTAATTACTTGCAACTCTTGACTTACTAATATTTGATAACATATATAATATAATATATCCTCATCAACTTCTCAACTTCAGATGACTCTGGTATCGACATGGATTATCAAGTACAGCCGATACAGCTTGCGTATCCAGAGTTGGAAACAGGTCCCAACCCAAACATCATGACCGATCGTCTAACTAAATATTACGTTGCTGAAGAAACATTTGACGAAGGTACACGATTTTTAGCTAAGGTTGTCTGCATCGAAATCGTCATGATGAGTATTTAAAGATTTAATTACAAGTATCGATAAAGCCTATTAAAGCCTGTTAAAGGAATATAATACTGACAAGTGACAACTTGTTTATCATCGAGGATTAATTTACAAGTGTTTATTGTTTCAGACGAGGTAGAAATGTACAGAACTTTAGAGATAACATTACGAAGGCTGCTTCTTCAACCGTTACTGCTCCAGACAGACCTGGTCAACGCTGCAGCTGTTAGATACTTTGTAGATGAATTGAAGATAAACTATCACTTTGACGCTTTGAGGTAGGATAAACTTGCCTTGTACGGATGTTCACTGTCCACTGTCCAGCTTATGATTGTTATTCTATCCGTAAATTTTGCTTCACAGTTTAGGTTAATTTAAGTCAGGCAACATCACATTCCTTAATTTCAGATCTTATCTTTGTATGAGTGATGGAATGTTTGGTGACTCACTATCAAAAGGAATCTTTAAAATGGTATGTACGGCACGGTCAATTTTTTAAAGCAGTGTGAAGCACAATACAAAACGTACGTAAGTTCAAATTCTGCTATCCGTTCTTACTTCCAGATATTAAAATATCAGTAAACTATGACACACGAAGGATCGTTCTGCTAGGTGTTCTTATCACGTAAAGCATTTATTTAGATTGACAGTGGAATGGATCTAATGAGTTCCCCTGCTAAACTAAACGCTGTTCTTCACGAAGCAATGGAGTGCTCAAAAATCAACAACCACTTGTTACTGGAAGGTGTTAGAAATCAAGGTTCGGTCCCTTAGCATCTCGCTTGTTTCCGTAAAGCTTTAGAAAATTTGAGCTATCGAAAAAGCACTCAAAACCATGTTTTTGGATTGTCCCAATTGGCCTAAACTTGGAGGGATTCCTTTACTGATCTTGTAACGCGCGAATACATTTTTGTTCTTAAAGTGAAATTGTTGACTCGAGCAGAAACATAAAACGCGCCTTGCGCGGCTCATCGTATCAATCATCAAATTCACGTGGTTTATTTCCTAGTGTCCGGGGATGTCCTTAACTGCTTGGTATTGAGATACGATGTTGAGTGGCCCAGCAACATCATCATTACTGACAACAGCTTGTACAAGTACAACGAGGTAACTCTTCAAACTGTAAAACGATAGTTAATATCTGGATACTGGTGGGAACTACATTTGTTTTGGCACGTGACAGCAAATCTTTGTTTTAATTATTCGGTGCATCAAGTTGACAGGTTAATCAATGTCACGTGTCAAAAATCACCATTCACCTCCCCACCAGTATCCAAATATACTTGTTAATCCAAATAGCAATCTGCAAAAAAAACATCTTTCAGGCTTCAATCGTAAATTTTACAACATAATTTTCAGATATCAAGTTCCTCCTTCAACTCAAGCACGGCTGTTATGCTGGAAAAGATATGGTTTCGATTAGGGTAGGTAACTTTGTATATTGTCAGACGCTGTAAGCTGTTCGCCTACAATTCATGATTGAAATTTCTATATATTTTATAATTCCGACTTCGTGCACGACGCCGTACATTTCAGCACTGCTCACACACGTTGTACCCTTCAATAATACACATGCCATACAACAATGTGCTTCTTTTTCCACTCCAAATTCCGACCTGATAACACCACTACTCAGTTCGGTGGACCAAAAGGGCACATCGCCCCAAATCCGACGTTTACAAGTGTGCCGCTACGAAGTATCCCAATGTCTGCACGCGGTCCAGATCTACATGACTCACCAGCTACACAACATTTCCTGGCACGAGCTCCAGGCTGAGCTTAAGGGGGCCAGCAGTGTTTCACAGTTACAGGACGCTCACGAGAATTACCTCAACAACGCTCTTGAGAGGTTAATTTTGGTTACTTCATAGTTTAAGTTAAGATACAAGGTAACCCAGGTACCCAGGTAACCAGGTATACCAGGTAAACCAGGTAACCAGGTAACCAGGTAACCAGGTAACGCTCACGGAGAATACCTCAACAACGCTCTGGAGAGGTTAATTTTGGTTACTTCATAGTTTAAGTTAGATGCGATGTTGCTTGGTATCAAAATAATCCTAAAACCTTCCAAATATTTTTTTAAATGGCTTTTTGTCGTAACAACCCACTTACATTAGTATTGCAAATTTAAAACCGCTCCTGATAAACAGATTACTTCTGGGCGAGAGCACGAGAGCTCCACACGACATAATACTAAAGATCTTCAAACATGTGACCTTGTTTGTAAGGCTCCTGGAAAGTGCAAAATTCTCCACGGACGTTCAGGGACTTGTGACACATCCTCATTTTGAAAAGATAATTCAGAGACACGATGACTTTACCAAGCAGGCTGTTTTTATTTTGAAAGGTTTGTAGCTGCAATGATTCCGCTGTTATTTGAGGATTATACCCAATATTTTTATTTTTTCGGTTGTTGTCAACAGTTCAACATGACTTCGACAGTACAAAATAATCAAGAAACTCATTAACCACCCGATATTTCAGTGGCTGAAAGTTCGAACAACTCCGGCTACAAACCGTACATTGACGAGTTCATGCTGCGACTAGACTTCAACCATTACTACCAGTCCAGCAACACAATAGTAAAGAGACGCAGCATGGCAGGTCTTAACCTGCTGGGGAGTGGGAGCAAAGCTAAACTCACAAACTCTCTTAGCAGTCCTAATACTAATTTAGCTTCTAGGAGTGTCGTATGATTGCGTGGCAGTGAAATTTTAAGTCACATGTTACATTCTAAAATATTAACTGATAGCAAACAAAATACGAACATTGAGAGAATTGACTTAAGCTTAAATGTTTCGGCAGGTAGAATTTTGATGGATTGTTGTTAGATTTGGTAACAGTTGGGCTAGGTAAATACCTATTTTTATCTCATGGGCTTTGTAGGGTTTTTTGCAAATTCTTTTGACTTTTTAAAGATTGCAACTGCTATTTTAATGATTATTATGTATATATATTATGTGTTATGTATTATTATGTATGATTATTTAAGTATTTATGAATTACAATTTTTTAGATTTGGTATTTTGAGTAAGTTTTGTCGTTTTTATCATTGTTTGTCATCGAAATAATATTGCTTATTGATTCAAACTTCGGATGGATTATAAAATTCTAAAGACGACTAATTTCAAAAGCTACCCAACGGTCAAAAGCTATTGCATTCTTGTCGAATGTTTGCGATAGATATGTAGATATCAACGATTTCCTCCTCCTAGAAATACAATGTCTAAACGAAGACAAACTATTGGCAGCACTGCTTCTATCACGGACCACAAAAAGTCCAAGTTCGATGAATCTGGAACTGATTGTAACGGAGGTGCCAGTCGCCGACCTAACAAACAAACAACTCAGAAAATGTTTGGAGGACTTCGGTGAAATACCCGGTAGGGAAAAAGAGCATGTTTTCAAGTATTATTGTCTGATCGATGTAACCGATATCACATCCCAGTCCCTGTCTTGGGAGGATTATCATGATAATATCCCAGGTCCAGTTATGCCGTCAACGAGAACTTTATACGAGAGACAACTGGAGAAATATCGCAACGGACAAGTTGCCCCTAAAGAGAATAAAACCACCGATAATCCTCCACTGAGACCTTCATTTCAATCCACTCCAGCCAGACCCGAAACTAAAGGAAAATCTCTCGGAGCGAGGGCGTCTAAAAGAAAAGGTAAACTGGAGCTTGTGGATGATTCAAGCCCCGAAAAGCTAAGCCCAGTGAGTACCTCACCACCAGTGGACATTGAGTCCCTTCCTGAGCCCCCCAGTGCTACCAGGAATCCTCGTATCAGTACACCTAAGATTAAATAACGTACACCACTCAAACCAACCAACCACAACCATATCAATATCGAGAGTCTTTCCAACAAAGAAGTCCGGGATATGCTTGTTGCCAAGGGGGATACACCGGGACCAGTCAACGACAAGAACCGAAAACTGTACAATGAACTCCTGGCTAAACACATCCGGGGCGGCCAGATTGGTAATTCGGGAAGGAGGATGTCAAGCGAAGGAAATGGGGGTCCGATCCATTCGTCAACCAGGATTGATCAGGCTGGCGAAAGGTCCGGGAGAGCCAACAGGACCAGGCCTATTGTAACCGGAAGTGGAAATAACTTTCCTCAGACAATCCACGAAGGTATTTCTAAATCTAAATATTATTGAGCTACATAATAGATTTTAATCTATTCTCCATCTTGACATGATTCGGAGTGTTATACAATGTTTATTATTATTGTACAGTGTAAATCAAGTAGTGTAATTAATTGGATTGCTCTCAATAATAAACTTTCAGAGCTGGCAGACTACCCAGAACCCGAAGATATGGAGATACAGATAGACCCCTCCATGTGTGTATCCTATGTCAAGAGCCCGTATAAGAAGACAAGACGCAGTATTTGCAAGGTACGGAGAGTAAATTTATTAGGTGGACATTTAGGAAACTGTTTTGAATATCATTCAAGATTCGACAAGAATAGGTAAATCAGTCTCCAAAGCTATTAAAGGAGTAACCAGATTTGGAGGAAGCAAAGTCTACTAATATAACTTTTTATGCTATCGTACATTTCCAATACAAGAGTTGTTTTTCTAAAATAAAACAACTTTTCCTTAATTATAATTTCGACTGTAATATCACCACTTTCTCCTCAGGCGCAGTTCACTGACATAGACTTTTTAGCGTTCTGTCCCTCCCCAATACCCTCAGTGCGGCCCTCCTACTACCACGACCTCCACTCCTCGGGGGTTCAGGGCCTTGTTACTCAGGATTGTAGCACTATGAGTCTTGTTAATGTTGTCAAGGCCGCGCAGGGTTCCGTTAGGATCTACGCAGGTACGTGAAAATTACAGGGGTTAACACAAACTTTTGTTGATTAAAAGTTTTTAAGATACATACAACATTTTACGATACATAGGTAAATTTGTGTTTTGGGTACACTGAATAAGCTTTAAGCCAAACCTTTATGAACTTAACACAGCCTATTTCTTATACTCTCCGAACTAGGCTTGACCGTGGACACCGTGGACGAGAGCCGTCTTGCAGTGTCAAACGCCCTACAATGTGGTAGCGACGCCGTTGTTATCAGTTTTAGTAAACACGACTGTTCAAATGCTTCTTCGTTCGCTTTTACCATCAAACAGGTATCTTCAATTTTAATTTCAGTTTCAATTTCAATCACCTGTTCGCCCAAAATCCAGACCAAAAGTTCAGCTTTTCGCAAATTACAAACTATTTACCCCCTCAGCTGATGGAGGGCCACTTGACGGCTTCATACTTCTACCATCACAACCCTGCCACAAAGGCCTGCCCCATTAAAATATCCAAACTTCTTCTTGAGTAAGTACTAAGGAGTAACAGTCTTTGTTTCGTTTAAATTTCAAAAAATTATCTCGAATATATATTCATGATCACAACTCGACGATATTATAATTATATCTAGATATATTATATATATATAGACAGTTTTACTTTAAATTTAAACGTCTTCGGATTCGTATCGACAATACTTTCAAATTTTCCCCATATATCCAGACAGAACAATGGATTCCAGGGAGTGTTTATCTCTCCAGATACAGAAGAGCGACTACTTCTTTTGGAGTCTCTGGCGATCAAGATATACGAGACAGATACCACCAAAATATTGAGATCTCTGGCTCATGGCATAGATTCTTGTCTAGTTATGAAGGTTGGTAATTACACATTAAGATGCTGTCGTGCGATTGTTAACTTATAGTTGATTTTCATACGGACAGATTCTCGTTAGATTCAATCGGCAATCTACATACAATTATATACTAAATCAGCAATGCGCTAACTCATCCCAAAACAAAAGTGTTAGTTACTGTTTAGGACTAAGTAAACAAATAATTAAATATTAAATATTGTAGGATTGATTGCTATGCCGGTAATCAGAAAGTTAAAGGAGGAGTACTACGAAGGGAACACGTCAGAATCCTGCAGACTTCAGCTCATTTTGTGCAGGTTAGAATGAAAATGTTTATTTACAAAACAATTGCATGAGTAAACACAAAACAGTTACATCAATTTCAATAAAATATGTAAAACGTAAAATATGGATGGACAAATACCATGAATATCCACAATCCGAGAACATAAGGATTAAAATTTATCACTCTCAAACCAAGTGAGCTATTGAGTCCTATTAGGATTCAGAATCTGTCCACACTCCACAGTCCACATCCTTTTGTTTTCGTAATGTTTTCAAATGATCTCAACACGGCTGAACGTTGACTCGTCCTATCGACGAGCTGGGATTAACAGTATTTGTATCAACATCCAGTGGGTATTCAGCTACCACCACTGCCACCACTGCCTCCACTGCCACCTGATCCATGCCTTCTATGCTTCTTATAATGTTCTCGATGTGTAGTTGAAGGATATTCGGACATACTGATTGGTTGTCCGGGAAGAGAGGGCTCATTAAAGGCAGGGTTAAAAGCAGGCTGCTGAGCCCAGAGTGAATGAGGCTGGTAGTTGTAAGCAGGTTGTGCAGGTTGTGCAGGTTGTGCAGGTTGTGGAGGTTGTGGAGGTTGTAGGTAATCCCCTGATACTGGGTACGTAGCTCCTGTGTACCCGCCAGGGTGCGGATTGGCAGGGTAAACTTGGTGTCCATTGTAATCCTCGACAACAGTTCGGTGTTTGAAACGAGATCTGCCACTTCCTATTCGCATGGCACCGTGGTGGTGAGTAGTGGTACTTTTAGCACAACACATTCCACAACAGCAGGCACATATTATGATGAGCAGGAATATCACGCCGATAATAACCCCGACTGTCATAGCTAGTCCTTCTAAACCCATTTCTGATAACGACAAATGTTGTCCGATTTACTTCAGATCAAAATGAATGTTGTTACGATAAGGTTCGAAAAGCAACGCAAAATTTCTGTTGACAAATGATGTGTAAATTAGCGTATGCTCCGACGCTCTGTTCGCTCCAACAATATGTACTATTCAAATATCAGGAAACCTTTAAAAAGTGATCGTATTCAGTATGCACGTACAAAACTAATATAAGATTAAATGACAGTAAACTTGAGAAGATAAATCATTTGCTGGTCCATACAACATATGTTACATAGGTAACAAGCATCCGCTCAAGTTAAACACGTTTAATCAATTGAAAAAGAGTCAGAGAATCCATTATGACATAGTTTTGTACTTATAGGAGATCTTTATATATATGTTTCTATATAGTAATACATGTCATCCCTCCGCTGAGCGTGTATATTAGGTATAACAAGTCGGTTGAGGTCACAACTGATGCTTGCAATAGTGAGAGAAAAAGAACAGAGATGTGATCTTTTGCTTTTGGAATCAATTGAATCGAAAAGCAAAAATGCCGAAAGCGATTTCAACTTCGTCTTGCTTACCATCACACTCGTGTACTTTTAAATTAGAGCTCGTAACTTGTATAATACCGACAAATTTAAAGAACAAAATATCCTCACAAAACATTTCCAATGAATCAGGAGCGGAGGGCCCGTCTTAAAAATCTGGTATTGTCCAAGCGCACACGTTTAGTCGCTACAGTTTTCAGAACAAACCTAGCTGTCACCCTTACTAAGAGTAGTAGTACGAACAGTAAGATATCCATGGCTACATTCCATACTGCCCCCCCTCACTACATCATCCCTACTCTCTCCCCGCAACACAGACTCGGCTGTTCAAGTTTCCAGCAGTAGTAGAAGACGAGGTTGATGAGAAAGAAGGCGGCAGAAAACAGAACAATAACCACCCACAGTTCCGGATGCACCATCAGGGGAGATGTCATATCGGGGCGTAGATCTGAGACAGAGGCAACGTTTAAGTGCGGCAAAATGTCGCATAAAGTGCGATGCCCTTCTTTCCTTAAATTGGTTAATGTGCGGCAAATTTATTGAAAAGTTCGGATCGAGTGCGCGGCGGGAGATAGATCTGGGAATGTCTTTAGTTTGAGATGTTCGCAATTATAGAGTCTTTAATAAAGATAGCTGTTGGATACAAGTTCAGGCTGTGTGACAATATGACATAGGAATGAATGCAGTCTCGGTGGGATAATTCTATTGTCTTAAATTCGTATAAATATTAAATATTTATATGTGCTATATCAATATTATTATTATGTTGTACGATATACTGAGCATTGAGCAATGCTCAGTGAGCATGTTTACCGACAGAAATGTTCAGATGAATGGGAAGAGTTAATTTGTTGCGCTATGTTGGGATAATTAAGAGTATTGTGCTCTTTGCTCCACTTTTATAGCCCGTGTAACTGATCATGCAGCATGATATGGTCATAGGTCATTCAGTCATTAGCTAAAGTGGTGACAGAATGCCATATGCAGTATGCCAATATCTAGTTCTTTATTCTCCTCCAGACGGTTTGAATTTTCAATGAAAAGCTTTCCGAATACTTAGGATCGAACACAATTTAAAAACAATAAACATATTTAAACGGTAATACAATTACAATGCATATTGCATACAGAATAAGGCAAGTCGAAAGATTACATTTGAATCGGGTGTTTATTAGCGACTAATGACTATTACAGCCTATTTGAACGGGCACCACATTTTAAACAGTGCCAATATGGAGATCAGATTTACCAGAGATGCAGGACTGGAACACAGTGAAAGTAGTGTCAAATTACTTTAAAATACACATGATAAGTGTTTCACAGCAATGCTGTTTGAAAGAATGTTATTTGTATTAATATCATGCGTATTTTCTGATATTTTATGTCAAAAAGTATCTGAAGCAATGAACAAGTTACTCATCCTTATCCTCCCTCAAGAAAAGGGTTCTTTTGACTTGTGAGATTAGGGAAAACAGACTAGACGAGATGATTGATGGAAAATAAAAAAAATACACATTGCAGCACAAAGGGATCGTTCACATATTACGTAATCAATATTTTAGCAACTTTGACCCCCCCTCCGTAATCAAGACCCAACCCCCCCCCCCCCCCCCCCCCCCCCCTCCTGGCAGTAATATTACGTAATATGTGAACGACCCCATATTTTAAATCCAAATAAACGGGTAAATTTTTACATTTCTTTTCAGACGTTGTATATAATTTAAATCTATGGTTCAGTTGACCAGAAACAAACAACCGAATCGACGCTATGGAAATTAATCATTTAAAATCTAATGTAACTTTCAATCTGTTATGCGCATCGGAATAAAACGATTACTGATCAAAAATGTATTGAAAATCACTTGATCTGGTATCTTCAAACAAATGACAATATTCAAACTATGATATTGATATTGATAATACTCCCACCCTATGTCCTACACTCACAAATAGATCGGTAAATGGACGTATCCAACTCCCCAAACATAGCGACATTCGAACTGCACTCAACTCTGTAATCTGATAGTATTTGCGTGGCTTTTTATTCATACTCTGGTTTCCCAAAGTTTACCCGGACCAAGAAAATGAGTACCATTTGCCCGTTCTTCCAACTCAATTTATCCAGATATTTGAAAGTAAAAACGTATGCTGCCTATCGTCTTGCAACCACTGCTGCTGCATTGAAAGAACTGCCAGGATTCCCCCTCTCGTCACGAGGGTTTCCTAACATATCTCTTCCGCGCTCGTCTCTAGACCTCCTTTCCGGACGGCTTTCTTCCTTCCCTAACCCTTCTAGCATCGGTATACTCGGTCCAAATTTTTTCCAGCAAGTGTGCAGTATAAGACTGATAAGGATAAATATTGCAGACGATAGCGCCAGAATTAGCAATATTTCTGGTTCGTCCATTGGTTAAAAAACAACTGATACACGATGAGTTAAACGGACAGGATACTGTACAAATAAGTAATGTCCAGGTCGGAATGTCGCGAGCCCTTTTGTTCCTAGATTGTGGTTTACTCCTTTGTGTGTCCATCGGGATAATTGAAAGTATGAAACGCTATTCGCTGTTTGGCTTTAAGGCATGTGGAGTCCGAGCGTAATTAGAATATAATTTAATTTGATCTACCTACCTTTGAATGTAATGGTAAATGCATTTTATTTCCGACTGCTTGGCTAATGATTTAATTATCTTTAATCTTGGAACAATGAGGTTGTTGCCTGGCATTGCATTTCAGTTCATATCTGTTGTGACTGATTTTCATTGGACTACACCCTTTGTTAACGGAGTTAAGGCACGGTATTACTGGTTAATTAAATTAATGTGCGGACAGATAAATTAACAACTCAATTCAATTCTTGAGTAAGCTAATATATACTCGGCAGGGTGTGAAATATTTTTAATAATTTTTATTGGAAATATTTTTAATTGAAAATTTCCCACTAAGTTACAGGCGCCGGACACACAAAAAACGGATTAGCAAAAAAATTGGCAATTGACAGTGAAAGTTAAAGTTGTTTAATACCATATAGTTATATAATAATGATCGAATTATAAATTGATATTATAATATAATTAAGATATTATATACATCCAGTACATGTCAAATTCTGTAAAGGTAAAAACATCCGAAAAATGTTCTTCCATAATATAGCACATGCACACTGCACAGCGGATCAATCGAAGATATGGCTAATTCAATGTCATTCTCCTTCCAATATAAATGAAAAAATCGCCAATAACTCTTCCTCAATAAGTATTCCTTTGATCGTCGTCAACACTGCTCATTATGAAACTCATAAGAAGGCACCCGACGGCTATATGCCTTAGAGTCTTGAATCTAGAGGGTCCTCTTCAGAGAACCCTTTCAGACCCTACCACTCGGTGTAGCTATTCGTCTCTCGTACTCACACATCATGACTACTCTCGATGCTTCCTGTCCTTTTTCCCATCCAAAGAACTACAGTAGTAAAAATTTCATATAAACTCGTCCCCCTTAGTGTCTACCGACCACAGCTGCTGCATTGAAAGAGCTAACCGGATGTTCACTACCATGGGCGGCGCTGGTTGAATAATGCACCCGTTCCCTGACGTCTTCTCTTTTCCCACGCTCCAAATCTGAT